GAGGTAGTTGGGTGGGCTAATTACAGATGGGCTGTGTACAGGTGCAGTGATCGGTAAGCTGCTCTGACAATGTCATTAGCTCGCTTTCACAAACACAAAGTGGCAGACACTTAAAAGCAGTGTCCCTGTCTGGCCGTCATGCCATAGCCTCAGCCATCACATACTAGCATTACATAACAAGGATTTTAATCAGTTTCCCACTCCACAGGCCTGCATGTTGACCTATAAATAATCCTCAGCTCGGATTGAAAAGATGATCCATGAAATAATATCTGTGTGTGCTTCTATACTGTATAACCCACACATTGAGAGAACATTCCATTGAAGTTGTTTGGTTCTTTATACTTTGGCTGTGAAAGAGAAATGTCTGTGTCTCGCTATACACACATTTATTGTATGAGCTAGATACAGTAAGTAGCCTAATAACCTAATATGTTTTTCAGTGCGTTAAAAGAATACTTTGCAATTCTTCCCCAGAGTCAGATAAACTCATGGATACTATTTTTATGTCTCTGCAATCAGTATGAAGGAAGTTAGAGTTAGTTTCGCGAGCCAACGCTAACTAGCGTTAGCGCAATGACTGGAAGTCTATGGTATCTATTAGCATGCCATCATAGACTTACAGTCATTGTGCTAATGCTAATTAGCAATTGCGGTACCACTAGTTAGAAACTTCCTTCAAACTGCATGCAGAAACATAAAAATGGTATCCACAAGTTCATCTTACGTTGGGGAAGTAGATAACTCTCACACAAACTTGCCCAGCCTGACAACCAACTGCAATGTTGCATAAACACAGCATAGTTATTGTAAGCATTCATCCTCTCATGTTTCCATAAAAGATAGAGGGCAAAATGTATTAAAGAGAGGCTGCCTGGATGAAGGAGTTATGACACAATATAAGCTATAGAGAAATAAAGAGAATAAAGTACAGTATGATGCATACGAGCTATAAAAAAGCTGAGATTTTGTGCAAAAAGAACACAATTCATATGTGGATATTTTGAGACTAGAGACAGATCCTTCTAAGATGGCAGCGTGTTGGAGGGACTGGGATAGCACCAACAGGAGATATTGAGATGAGCGAGATGCAAGACTTTGCTCTCATATAGTCACACAGTATCTGCTCATGTGCACGGGTTCATTTCACGCTGTTCACAGCGTGGTAGCCAGGACACCAGAACAGCGGAGAAGTTGAGCCTCGCGCTTCAATTGTTGTGGAAATTGACCCACTATGCTGTTTACTTTCTGCATCTACATCATATCGCTGAGTCTACCTTTAATCATTGTTAGGAAGAGGTTTGGTCCAAATTGGATGTTGGGTGCTATATTTATTAAATATTAAATGAATCCTATCAATTTAAATGGCCAATTTGGGTGCATACAATAAGGTTAATTTCTCAGTGTTCAAATTGTCTTTCAACAAAACAATGTCTCATCTGTTTCTAACTACAGAAACCATTTTAGATCAATCTGCAATGGTGGGTGTCATGGCTTTCTGAAATGACATGGAACAACCCTAATGCCATTCTAGGGTTAGGGTTAGGGTATACTACTTGTAACAAGTATACTTAGGCCTCTATTCAATCTGTAAAGTTGAAAAGTTACAGATTCCACAATAGAAATGTAAAGGTAATTTCCGACATATGCAGCGTTTATTATGAATGCAGTCTCCGCTAACGCAGGAACATTGCCTTTAAATTTAAATCACGCTGTGATGCGGATTGAATAGAGCCCTTACACTTAAAAGAGTGTAAACCATCCCATGTGGCGATGATATTTTACATTCTTGGTCCTCCAGGTGCATTTACTGTTGTCACAGGCAGGGGGCAGTAAAGAGAAGAATGACTCGGATGTGTGTGCGTGTGGAGTGGATTATTACTCCTGTGGAGGGGATTATTACTCCAGTACCATGAGGAAATGTACTGCTCGTTCCATCTTTGAGATATCATTCATTAACACATAGCAAAGCAAAATGACAGCTAGAGCAAAGAGGAAATATGGCACCACTTTTAACCTTTGATCGCCAGGCTCCATTCACAGTAGTCAGTAGGAGATTGAATGTGTAATAGTACATTTGTGAGTCCATCCCTCATCTCTGAAAAAGAGGGTAGTTCTGAACTTTTTTCGAACTAAGGTTGAATACATTATTAATTCAATAACAGAAAGTTACCAGATACATGTCATACAGTTGAAGTCAGAAGTTTACATACACCTTAGCCAAATACATTTAAACTCAGTTTTTCACAATTACTGACATTTAATCCTAGTAAAAATTCCCTGTTTTAGGTCAGTTAGGATCACCACTTTATTTTAAGAATGTGAAATGTCAGAATAATAGTAGAGAGAATGATTTATTTAAGCTTTTATTTATTACATCACATTCCCAGTGGGTCAGAAGTTTACATACACTCAATTAGTATTTGGTAGCATTGCTTTTAAATTGTTTAACTTGGGTCAAACGTTTCGGGTAGCCTTCCACAAGCTTCCCACAATAAATTGGGTGAATTTTGGCCAATTCCTCCTGACAGAGCTGGTGTAACTGAGTCAGGTTTGTAGGCCTCCTTGCTCGCACACACTTTTTCAGTTCTGCCCACATATTTTCTATAGGATTGAGGTCAGGGCTTTGTGATGGCCACTCCAATACCTTGACTTTGTTGTCCTTAAGCCATTTTGCCACAACTTTGGAAGTATGCTTAGGGTCATTGTCCATTTGCAAGACCCATTTGTGACCAAGCTTTAACTTCCTGACTGATATCTTGAGATGTTGCTTCAATATATCCACATAATGTTCCTTCTTCATGATGCCATCTATTTTGTGAAGTGCACCAGTCCCTCCTGCAGCAAAGCACCCCCACAGCATGATGCTGCCACCCCTGTTCTTCACGGTTGGGATGGTGTTCTTCGGCTTGCAAGCAACCCCCTTTTTCCTCCAAACATAACGATGGTCATTATGGCCAAACAGTTCTATTTTTGTTTCATCAGACCAGAGGATATTTCTCCAAAAAGTACGATTTTGTCCCCATGTGCAGTTGCAAACCGTAGTCTGGCTTTTTTATGGCGGTTTTGGAGCAGTGGCTTCTTCCTTGCTGAGTGGCCTTTCAGGTTATGTCGATATAGGACCCGTTTTACTGTGGATATAGATACTTTTGTACCTGTTTCCTCCAGCAACTTCACAAGGTCCTTTGCTGTTGTTCTGGGATTGATTTGCACTTTTCGCACCAAAGTACGTTCATCTCTAGGAGACAGAATGCGAATCCTTCCTGAGCGGTATGACAGCTGCGTGGTCCCATGGTGTTTATACTTGCGTACTATTGTTTGTACAGATGAATGTGGTACCTTCAGGCGTTTGGAAATTGCTCCCAAGGATGAACCAGACTTGTGGAGGTCTACCATTTTTTTCTGAGGTCTTGGCTGATTTCTTTTGATTTCCCATGATGTCAAGCAAATAGGCACTGAGTTTGAAGGTAGGCCTTGAAATACATCCACAGGTACACCTCCAATTGACTCAAATTATGTCCATTAGCCTATCAGAAGCTTCTAAAGCCATGACATCATTTTCTGGAATTTTCCAAGCTGTTTAAAGGCACAGTCAACTTTCTTTTTTTCTTTTTTTTGGGGGGGGGGGGGGGGGGGGGGGGGGGTGGATCAGCTTAATATTGCAGATAGATTGTATCTTCTATCAATGTAATTGTCTGCATCACTTCCAATACCCCATGTTTTTTATATATATACTCCCCTTTATTACTTTTCCACCCTGCCATCCTTTCCCTACTTGGAGTAAATTAGTGAACAACAATGCCCAGGCCTCTACTTCCGGTCTATACTTACTATCTACACCTTATGGACACAGTTAATTTTACAATAATTATATTATATATATATATATATATATATATATATATATATATATATATATATATATATTTTTTTTATATATATTTTTTTTTTTGCTCCTGAACTTCTTCTACTCTCAACCTCTCTGATCATTTTCATGATGTCCATCCGGTTTGCTTCTATATGCCATATCTTTCTAACTGTGCTCTTTCCCAAAAGCTCCCAATATACAACCTATATACTTATTGTGGACACAGTATGCTTACATTATTAGCTATCTTTGTTATTATTTGTTGTTATTTGTTATTAGTCCCAACTTCAACTCTATTCAATACCTCCCACATATCTCTTAACACCATCCATATAGGATTTCTATTTGCCATATATATTTCAACCGTACTGTGATGTTTTACAAAAGTTCTGAACCTTTCTATTCTCATTGCTTCTACAGATTGTGAATTAAAAATAAACATTTTTGCTAAAAGTATTATTATATTATTGATCGATTGACTATGACTTTTCAGATCACCCAGTAATGCTATCTGCAAGGTTAGCTCCAGGTAAATATTGCAATCCTTTAGCCATTCCTGGACCTGTGTCCAAAAACAAGCTACAAATGGAGAGAACCAAAACAAATGATCTAATGATTCTGTCTCTTCACAGCAAAATCTGCAGAGCTGGGAAGATTGTATCCCCCATATAAATAACATTCTATTGGTAGCAAGAATTTTATATAATAATTTAAATTGAAAGATTCAAATTTTTGAATCCGGTGTCGTTTTGCGTGTCAGTTCATAAACACTATGCCATGGGATCGGTACGTCAAAAATCTCTTCCTAACTATTTTGCAATCTATATGGGACGGCTGTCAATCCTTTGGTCCTTAAGTGAAACTGATATACTTTTTTATTTATTTAAGGCACAGTCTTAAATAAGTATGTAAACTTCTGACCCACTGGAATTGTGATACAGTGAATTATAAGTGAAATAATCTGTCTGTAAACAATTGTTAGAAAAATTACTTGTGTCATACACGAAGTAGATGTCCTAACTGACTTGCCAAAACTATAGATTGTTAACAAGAAATTTGTGGAGTGGTTGTACAGTGTTATCTTGGTAATGATACTCTTTCAAATCTTAAATTACATGAGTTTATTCATACTGCACCCCCACCTAGTGTATGTAATATACCGAAATATAGAATGTTCATGAAGGTCAGAAAGTTCAAAGTGAACATTGGATAACATTGGACACTGAGTTCTATTCAGATCTTTCATCATCATCATCATCATCAGTATCATCATCATCATCATCATGATCATCCTCTTTATCATCATCATAATCTTCATGACACATTCAACATACATTTAAAGTCCACAAAGCAGAGAACAAAGAACACCAACCGAAGGAGCGTTGTGACTCCCAGTTAGAGAGTCCAGGCCAGTCATTCAGGTATGGAGCTAGGTAAGGCGTTCGTAGCATTGACCACGTTATGGAGGTGTGGAGATTACAGAGTTAAGAGGTTAAGAGGGACCTGTACAGATGATGGATAGAGGGAGGGAGTGTAAGAGAGAAGGCAATTTACAGTGCGTCGTGGGCCTGTGAGTCTGGGGAGGATTTCAGGTTTGAAAGAGGAGGCTCCTCAAGTTGATGGTTTGACAGGCCAGACTCCAGGGCACTGGAGGTCCAGGATGAGGAGATGTTTAACCGTAGAAGCCGTGCAAGAAGACACAGACGCACAGGAGGATGATGGCGTTGGCATTGACCACGTTCCTCCACAAGGGTTTCTCTGAGGTGTCTGTGAGTTGCCTCTGCAGCTCAGCCTGCTCCTCAGCACTCAGCTTGGGAGCATTCGATTTCTCCAAACCACAGAAGCTCAATACTGCCTTCTTACAACAGCCTGGCTCCTCTGTGGGCTCTGCACAGACACACAAACACAGGGATGAGGAGACAGTGTGTGCGTGCGCACGTATGAATGCAGATGTGAGAAGAAACATCTGTATGTATGTCACGGAATAACAGATAGAGATGGGAGTGAGACCTCTCTTACCTTCAATATCCATCGAGTCAGGTTCTTGGTTTTCTGTCCAATTGTCTAGCTCCAGATCCACCCTCTCCTCTGTGCTGTTCCTCAGCTGCCAGCACAACCGGTACAACTGGAGATGGAGGGAGGGAGAGGCATGGGACAAACAAATGGGGAGAAGTTCATTTAGAGATAGCAGAGTGACAGAGTTTTTATTAAATTACATTCACAGATGGAAGAATAACAAAATAAGTTTGGGTATCGGGGGCAGTTGTAACTTACATGTTTGTCGTCGATGGGTTTGGTCATGAGGGAGATGCTGACTATCACCAGGCAGGAGATACAGAACAGAATGATGGAGAAGTAGAGGTAGTGGACCCCACAGATTATCTCAGGACAGTTAGTGGGGGTCACACAGCTTCCTGTCCCATAGGCAAACTCAGCGATCATCCTGGTTAAGCCAATAGCCAGACCTAACGTAAGGCCATAGAACACACCCTGAAAGTGTGGGGGGGTATATGTAACTCAACACATTTTCATGGTTCACTTTCTATTGCACAAACATCATGTATAACACAAACATACACAGGAACAAGGCAGTAAATGGTGAAAGTGGTAACCAGGGTCCCTTGAAACTAGCCAGCAGAGTACAGATAAACTACTTAAGCAATAAGGCCCAAGGGGTGTGGTATATGGCCCATATACCATGGCAAAGGGCTGTCCTTAAGCACGACGCAACGCAGAGTGGGCGGCAGGTAGCTTAGTGGTTAAGAGCGTTGTGCCAGTAACCGAAAGGTCGCTGGTTCTAATCCCCGAGCCGACTAGGTGAAAAATCTGTCGATGTGCCCTTGAGCAAGGCACTTAACCCTAATTGCTCCTGTAAGTCGCTCTGGATAAGAGCGTCTGCTAAATGACCAATTATTTATTTATTTATTATTTATTATTTATATTGGCCATATACCACAAACCCCTCAGGGACCTTATTGCTATTATAAACTGGTTAAAAACTACATTCTTTGGTCATAGCCGTGGTATACGGTCTGATATACACGACCGTGTTGTGTCGTGCTGGATTTCGTCTCGGGCCTAACAACACCAGTGCCAATATATCCAACAAACACCAAACACCAGCTTCTCAACAAAACACAAAACAAACACTGGCTTCTCGGGCATTATCACTTAAATACCACACCCCCTCGGGCCTTATTGCAGGTTAAATAAACCAGTTCAAACCACAAGTAGCTAAAGGAAACTAGTTTATATCACACTGATTTTGGTTTAGTTGGAGACTTACCGGCTCGTTGACGCGCTTACAGAAGATAGCGAGCATGAAGGTGGCAGCGATGGGCGGGGTCAGGTAGCTGGTGATGGACTGGATGTAGTCAAAGAGCTGGCCACTCTGAGCAGACTGGACCACAGGGATCCAGGCTATACTCACCCCGATCAGAACCAGGATAAACACCCTACACAGCCAAGAATAATACATCAATATCAATATTACCCATTTATCTAAATACAAACATACACAAACACTAGCATATACACACGTATTAAAGCAATTGAACTCCAAAGAACTTGAGCACGCTGAGATGTGTGTTACTGTACCTCCCGGCAATCATGAGTTCCTTCTCAGAGGAGGCTTTGCGTATCTTGGTGTAGATGTCCATGGTGAACAGGGTGCTGGCACTGTTGAAGATGGAGGTCAGGGAGCTCATTAGAGAAGCCATCATCACCGACAGCATCAGGCCTCGCAGACCTGCAGGAGAGAGGGGGAGGACAGGAGGAGAGGGCAGGGAGGGGGGAATGCAAAGGAGAACAGGAATGGAGGGAAGGCGGATTAGGATAGGCGTGGAAAAGAGAAAAGAGAAGGAATGAAGAGATGAACAAATGTGATTGTTGGTTGAATTAGCAGTAAAAAATGTTTTCCTGGAATAAGGAGTAGTACTTTATTGAATGCACTATTGGTAGCAGTAGTAACAGTGTTGTAGTAACATAGTCCCTGTGCCCAAGAAAGCGAAGGTAACCTGCCTAAATGACTACCACCCCGTAGTACTCACATCGGTAGCCATGAAGAGCTTTGAAAGGCTGGTCATGGCTCACATCAACACCATCACTCCGGAAACCCTAGACCCACTCCAATTCGCATACCGCCCCAACAGATCCACAAATGACACAATCTCAATCGCACTCCACACTGCCCTTTCCCACCTGGACAAAAGGTTGTAGTGGAGCGGGTTGATCGTTTCAAGTTCAACTATCATGGTCCAAACACACCAAGACAGTCGTGAAGAGGGCACGACAACACCTTTTTCCCCTCAGGAGACTGAAAATATTTGGCATGGGTCCCCAGATCCTCAATAAGTTCTACAGCTTCACCATCGAGAGCATCCTGACCGGTTGCATCACCGCCTGATATGGCAACTGCTCAGCTTCCGACCGTAAGGCGCTACAGAGGGTAATGCGTTATGGCCCAGTACATCACTGGAGCCAAGCGTCCTGCCATCCAGGACCTCCATACCTGGCTGTGTCAGAGGAAGGCCCTAAAAATTGTCAAAGACTCCAGTCACCCAAGTCATAGACTGTTCTCTCTGCTAACGCACGGCAAGCGGTACCGGAGCACCAAGTCTAAGTCCAAAAGGCTCCTTAACAGCTTCTACTCCCAAGCCATTAGACTTCTGAACAATTAATCAAATGGCCACCCGGACTATTTACATTGACACCCCCTCCCTTTGTTTTTACACTGCTGCTACTCACTCTTTATTATCTATGCATAGTCACTTTACCCCTACCTACATGTACAAAGTACCTCGACTAACCTTTACCCCTGCACATTGACTCGGAACCGGTACCCCCTGTTTATAGCCTCTGTATTGTTGTTTTATTGTGTTACTTTTTATTTTATTTTTTACATTAGTTTATTTAGTAAATATTTTCTTAACTCTATTTCTTGAACTGCATTGTTGGTTAATTGCTTGTAAGTAAGCATTTCACGGTAAGGTCTACACCTGTTGTATTCGGCGCATGTGACAAATACAATTTTATTTTATTTGATAGTGGTGCTAGGACTGTCATTGTTACTAGATGGACTAGTATCTTTTGTTACCCACCATTTGGCATGAGGTCCACCACCAGTTTGGGATAAGCAATGTTGGTGCAGCCAACACTGGCCCCACAGTACCTCAGACACTCATCTGGTTCCACACACGCCACCTCGTCTGGGTAGAGGATTCGGCTGATCATGCCAGGGAAGACCATGAGGAACATGGGTAGCAGCTTCAGGTAGCCACACAGGATACAGCCAGCCTTGACGTGGGAAAGATTCTTGGCAGATAGACAGCGCTGGACAATCACCTAGACGACAGGGGAGGAAAAAAAGCCTCCAGTTACTAAAGAGGTGATGGATTCAATCTTCAAGGCTCAGTTTTCATGGTCAAAACATAAGTATGGTGCCTCTGTATTGCTTGAATATGCCAATATCAAGAGCAGAGGGGAATGAAAGGGGTTTGAAGTAAAATGCACTCATCATTCCTTCCATGCACCATACAACCACATAACTTCTGACAGGCACAAATGTGTATGCAGCTTTTCTAGCTGAACTATTCATCAAATGAAATGTTTTCCATTCCAAACGTGACCCAAATCGCTGATCACAGGAGAAGGCATGGCGCTATCATATATGAATTAGAGAAACAGAAACCCAGTTAAGCTTTGAGTTCTGCTAATTTAATAAACTGTTTTTCAACTTTCGTATTTAACATGTGTGAGTGAGTGCTTGCTCGTGGGTGTGGTTGTATAAATCAACATCCTGTTCTTTCTTCACAGTCACCTCTGTGTGCCTGGCTTTTAATCATATCTAAGTCTGTGGGAAGTACATTTGGGTCTAACTAAAAGCATGCCTCTCTTCATAAGGTAGTCACTTCAGCTAAGACAAGCTGAGAGCTGGGGGGGGGGGGGGGGGGGTTAGATAGAGTGCATGTGTACAAGCGTATGTACACAAGACACGAGTGTGTGTGCATGTAAATGAGGGTGGGAGGGTGTTAGACTTGTTCATTCCCTACAGAGCAGTAGGCTACCTGATCAGTGCACCAATACCAGGTGGCCTGGACAGTGAGGCCAAACACCAGGCCTGGCCAGGGCAGGTCCCCTGTCACTGCGTCCCTGAAGATGTGGAAGGAGTCAGGCCGAGGGGTGTAGCAGCTCTCACTGATGTTGACCCCAGTCAGAGTAGGTATGGCCGTCATGTAGCGCGTCTGGAAGTTCTCATAACCTCCCACCTCATTGAAGGCTGAGGAGACAGACAGAAAGGGGTTGTGAAAGAGGAATAAGAAGATAATAAATAGAGGAGAAAGGGGGAATGAGAATGAGGAATGCATGGAGAAAGGGAATGAAGGGAGGATAATTATCAGGAGGAGGACAAGGAAGAAGAGATATAGAGTTATAGGAAAAGGAAAAGAGGGACCAGGCAGTATAAATGAATAAACACATTACCATAACCCATGAGGATGAAAGATCCCACGACCATGATGATGGTCTGCAATGTGTCTGTGTAGATCACTGCAGCCAGTCCACCTGAGGTAGGGTGCAAATGGTGAGTCAGCACAACACAATCCCACTCATTACTCATACAGGGTTACACTCAATGACTAAGCTGTGGAAAACCACCGTAGTACTCATTTACACTGTAAATGTGATATTTCTTTTTTACTGTAATGATTGGCCTTGGTCAAAAGGGATAGCATGTTAATGGTCCAGTTGTTCATTTGATGTTTGTCTATCATATAGAATCTATAACTACCCCTCAGTAGTTGTGTATGGTACAGTGGGGGAAAAAAGTATTTAGTCAGCCACCAATTGTGCAAGATCTCCCACTTAAAAAGATGAGAGAGGCCTGTAATTTTCATCATAGGTACACGTCAACTATGACAGACAAAATGAGAATTTTTTTTCCAGAAAATCACATTGTAGGATTTTTAATGAATTTATTTGCAAATTATGGTGGAAAATAAGTATTTGGTCAATAACAAAAGTTTCTCAATACTTTGTTATATACCCTTTGTTGGCAATGACACAGGTCAAACGTTTTCTGTAAGTCTTCACAAGGTTTTCACACACTGTTGCTGGTATTTTGGCCCATTCCTCCATGCCGATCTCCTCTAGAGCAGTGATGTTTTGGGGCTGTCGCTGGGCAACACGGACTTTCAACTCCCTCCAAAGATTTTCTATGGGGTTGAGATCTGGAGACTGGCTAGGCCACTCCAGGACCTTGAAATGCTTCTTACGAAGCCACTCCTTCGTTGCCCGGGCGGTGTGTTTGGGATCATTGTCATGCTGAAAGACCCAGCCACGTTTCATCTTCAATGCCCTTGCTGATGGAAGGAGGTTTTCACTCAAAATCTCACGATACATGGCCCCATTCATTCTTTCCTTTACACGGATCAGTCGTCCTGGTCCCTTTGCAGAAAAACAGCCCCAAAGCATGATGTTTCCACCCCCATGCTTCACAGTAGGTATGGTGTTCTTTGGATGCAACTCAGCATTCTTTGTCCTCCAAACACGACGAGTTGAGTTTTTACCAAAAAGTTATATTTTGGTTTCATCTGACCATATGACATTCTCCCAATCCTCTTCTGGATCATCCAAATGCACTCTAGCAAACTTCAGACGGGCCTGGACATGTACTGGCTTAAGCAGGGGGACACGTCTTGCACTGCAGGATTTGAGTCCCTGGCGGCGTAGTGTGTTACTGATGGTAGGCTTTATTACTTTGGTCCCAGCTCTCTGCAGGTCATTCACTAGGTCCCCCCATGTGGTTCTGGGATTTTTGCTCACCGTTCTTGTGATCATTTTGACCCCACGGGGTGAGATCTTGCGTGGAGCCCCAGATCGAGGGAGATTATCAGTGGTCTTGTATGTCTTCCATTTCCTAATATTTGCTCCCACAGTTGATTTATTCAAACCAAGCTGCTTATCTATTGCAGTTTCAGTCTTCCCAGCCTGGTGCAGGTCTACAATTTTGTTTCTTGTGTCCTTTGACAGCTCTTTGGTCTTGGCCATAGTGGAGTTTGGAGTGTGACTGTTTGAGGTTGTGGACAGGTGTCTTTTATACTGATAACAAGTTCAAACAGGTGCCATTAATACAGGTAACGAGTGGAGGACAGAGGAGCCTCTTAAAGAAGAAGTTACAGGTCTGTGAGAGCCAGAAATCTTGCTTGTTTGTAGGTGACCAAATACTTATTTTCCACCATAATTTGCAAATAAATTCATTAAAAATCCTACAATGTGATTTTCTGGAATTGTTTTTCTCAATTTGTCTGTCATAGTTGACGTGTACCTATGATGAAAATTACAGGCCTCTCTCATCTTTTTAAGTGGGAGAACTTGCACAATTGGTGGCTGACTAAATACTTTTTTTCCCCACTGTATATGAATATACATGTAGGTCATTGATATTCATTTGAGCACAAAGATAATAGAGTAGACACGGTGGCATACATACATTTCCGATGGGCTGCCTTACAGACTGAACATCAAGTCCTTAATGTCTAACCAAGAATAACAGTGCACATAACCTTTGCTGTTGACTGCATCTCGAAAGCATCGATGTGTCACGTGTGCATCACAGTATTTGATGCTGTGAGTCACTCTATTTTCAGCAGTTAACACACCTTTGTGTGTGAGATTTACAACACCTGCACTAAACTCCATTACATGTTTATTTGAGCATTATGGAAACCCATAATATAGAGACAGTCTTGTGCCACTGACCTTGCGGATGGCCTGTCAGTGAACTAAAGTCCAGGCATTAATGCATCATTACAGAGGAGAACAACAAGGTTTTATCAGGGATTATGGGTAATTACCCATGTGGGACAGAAATTAAACAGCCTTGGAGGAAGGCATATGTGTCGTCAGACATGGCCTGTTATAAAGAATCAAATGCAGCGATACAGGACGGACTTTACTCCATTCTGCCATGGTTACAGATAAGAACTCCATATTGGTTTACAGGGACACAGTCGATATAGCGCTCCTCTCAGTGAATTAGTTAGATATTGCTGCTATTTTACTGAGTGGACAAAACATTAGGAACACCTTCCTAATATTGAGTTGCACACTCTTTTGCACTCAGAACAGTCTCAATTCAACGGGGCATGGACTCTACAAGGTGTCGGAAGCATTCCACAGGGATGCTGGCCCATGTTAACTCCAATGCTTCCCACAGTTTGTTAATGTTGGCTAGATGTCCTTTGGGTGGTGGATCATTCTTCTTTAATCTGTCTCCTCCCCTTCATCTACACTGTTTGAACTGGATTTAACAAGTGACATCAATAAGGGATCATAGCTTTCACCTGAATTCACCTGGTCAGTCTATGTCATGGAAAGAGCATGTTTTGTACACTCAGTGTATATCGCTGCTATATACAGTTACAGTGCTATGAAAAAGTATTTGCCCCCTTTCTAATTTTCTCTACTTTTGCATATTTGTGATACTGAATGTTATCAGAACTTCAACCAAAACATAATATTAGATAAAAGGAACATAAGTGAACATATAACATAACAATTACATATTTATTTCATTTATTTCATAAACAAAGTTATGCAACACCCAATTCCCCTGTGTGAACAAGTAATTGCCCCCTTACACTCAATAACTGGTTGTGCCACCTTTAGCTGCAATGACTCCAAACAAATGCTTCCTGTAGTTGTTGATCAGTCTCTCACGTCACTGTGGAGTATTTTTGGCCCACTCTTCCATGCAGAACTGCTTTAACTCAGTGACGTGTGGGTTTTCAAGCATGAACTGCTCGTTTCAAGTCCTGCCACAACATCTCAATTGGGATTAGGTCTGGACTTTGACTAGGCCATTCCAAAACGTCCAATTTGTTGCTTTTTAGCAATTTTCATGTAGACTTGATTGTGTGTTTTGGATCATTGTCTTGCTGCATGACCCAGCTGCGCTTCAGCTTTAGCTCACAGACGGATGGTCTGACATTCTCCTGTAGAATTCTCTGATACAGAGCAGAATTCATGGTTCCTTCTATTAAGGCAAGTCGTCCAGGTCCTGAGGCAGCAAAGCATCCCCAAACCATCACACCACCACCACCATGCTTGACCTTTGATATGATGTTCTTACTGTGGAATGCAGTGTTTGGTTTTCGCCAGGCATAATGGGACCCATCTCGTCCAAAAAGTTGACTCAAGTTTGCCAAAAAGCACCTGGATGATCATCAAGACTCTTGGAAGAACGTTCTATGGACAGATGATTCAAAAGTATAACTTTTTGGACAACATGATTCCAGTAATGCCTGGCGAAAACCAAAACACACAATCAAGTCTACATGAAAATGGCTAAAAAGCAACAAATTTGAAGTTTTGGAATGGCCTAGTCAAAGTCCAGACCTAATCCCAATTGAGATGTTGTGGCAGGACTTGAAACGAGCAGTTCATGCTTGAAAACCCACACGTCACTGAGTTAAAGCAGTTCTGCATGGAAGAGTGGGCCAAAAATCCTCCACAGTGACGTGAGAGACTGATCAACTACAGGAAGCATTTGGTTGGAGTCATTGCAGCTAAAGGTGGCACAACCAGTTATTGAGTGTAAGGGGGCAATTACTTTTTCACACAGGGGAATTGGGTGTTGCATAACTTTGTTTATGAAATAAATGAAATAAATATGTAATTGTTGTGTTATTTGTTCACTTATGTTCCCTTTATCTAATATTAGGTTTTGGTTGAAGATCTGATAACATTCAGTATCACAAATATGCAAAAGTAGAGAAAACTAGAAAGGGGGCAAATACTTTTTCATAGCACTGTATATAGTGTATAAGTGGAGAGTATATATATATATATATATACCTGTGACTGTGTATAGAGCAGTGATACTTAGCAGGAGAATCACAGCAAGGTAGATATTCAGCCCCAGAGCCTGGTTAATAAAGATGGCTCCAGAGAACATATCTGCCTGAGAGAGAGAGAGAGAAAGAGAAAGAGAGAGAAAGAGAGAGAGATAAAGAGAGAGAGAGAGAGAGAGAGAGAGAGAGAGAGAGAGAGAGAGAGAGAGAGAGAGAGAGAGAGAGAGGCAATTATTGTATAACCGTGTAACCGACGGTTTTGGTTGAAGACTGTCATGAAAATACAATAACTGACATAACCGTAAAAAAAACAACGAACAGCTGACTGAAGACCGGATGGCCGAGCATTCGTGCGGTTAAGTCCGTTTCTACAATAACATAGACTTTTAACAACGTGATGAAACTTTACTGCCCCTTGCTGAAACAAGCAAGGTGTTGTAGCAGACAATGAATAGAATGGGCTAACCCTAACCCTGGCAATTTGACTGGTAAACTCATGGTACACTCGCAATGGCTGCCTGGTATTGTGATGCAAAAATGTCCATGATAACGTAGAATGTTCATTCAAATAATGGTAGAGGTAGGCACAACGAAATGATGTTGCCACGAGAGGCACTGCAGATATTAATAATAATAATTCATTTCATTTGTAAAGCACTTTTCTCACACCCAAGGCACAAAAATATAATAATAATAATAATAATAATAATAATAATAATAATAATAATAATAATAATAAAAACACAGAACATAAAACACAGACAACAAACAACACTATATACAGGTGTCATCAGATCCGGAAGACATGAGAACAGAATTCCTTGAACGCTTTTCTGAACAGCAGGGTCTTGAACTGTGCCTTAAAGAAGGACAAAGACTCTGCAGCCCTAATAGTGTCTGGAAGTGCATTCCACAGCCGCGGTGCCGCACAACTGATAGCCCTGTCACCCATAGTTTTCAGTCTGCTGCAGGGCTGCTGAAGGGAGATGGACCTGGAGGAGCGAAGGGCGCGTGTGGGGCAGGAGGGTAGAATGAGGTCAGACAGGTACTTGGGTCCAGAGTTGTGGATAGCTTGGTAAGTGTAAACCACGATTTTGTGGTCGATGCGTGAGCATATGGGGAGCCAGTGGAGGTTAAACAGCACTGGAGTGATGTGCTCACTGGGGGAGGTGTGGCCATTGAGATAAGCGAGATGCAAGACTTAGGGTTGGGTAGGTTACTTTCTAAATGTAATCCGTTACAGTTGCTAGTTACCTGTCTAAAAACTTAACTTTAGGATTACCCAAACTCAGTAACGTAATCTGATTTTGTGCTTGTGTGCGGCTGCTCGGCCATGGAAACCCATTTAATGAAGCTCCCAACAAACAGTTCTTGTGCTGACGTTGCTTACAGAGGCAGTTTGGAACTCGGTATTGAGTGTTGCAACAACTTTTACTAGCTACGCGCTTCAGCACTCGGCGGTCCCGTTCTATGATCTTGTGTGGCCTACCACTTCGTGGCTGAGCTGTTGTTGCTCCTAGACGTTTCCACTTCACAATAACATCACTTACAGTTGACCAGGGCAGCTCTAGCAGGGCAGAAATTTGACGAACTGACTTGTTGGAAAGGTGGCATCCTATGACGGTGCCACGTTGAAAGTCACAGAGCTCTTCAATAAGGCCATTCTACTGCCAATGTTTGTCTATGGAGATTGCATGGCTGTGTGCTCGATTTTATTCACCTATCAGCAACGGGTGTGGCTGAAATAGCCGAATACACTAATTTGAAAGGGTGTCCACATACTTTTGTATATATATAGTGTACCTATTTGTTTATATGGACTGAACATCAGTAATATACAATGAACAGAGATATGAGTGACTCACTGAGATCTTAGTGAAGACATAGAGGAAGAGTGAGAGCACTGAGAGATAGATGCGGATGCGCTGCCCTCCGAACCTCTTCCTCAAGTACTCTGGCATGGTCACCACCTAAACACATCCAGTAGACATGATTACATTGTAGAATAGCACTTGATTTTATGCTACAGAAATGTAAGAAATGGCATGGTAAAATGGTAATTACACTGTAATAGCACTAAAGGTTGTTCTCACCCCAGCTTTGATGTAAATGGGCACAAAGAGCCATCCAAGAATGATCACCACCACAAGGGCCTGAAAAACACACACATCCTAAGGGCTCAGATGGGGAATTTATAAAATGACAGATTCATATTTTTACTAGAAGTGTTACTTCTTTCACCCACTGCTGTTCTCTGGTAATGATCATATAGTCACATTTAACCTACAGGCTTATCAGCCCCAAGATATATAGATAATAAACATATAATCTATTTGTTTATCACCTTTTATACAAACAATTGCAAAGTGCAATAGAGATAGAGATGAGATGATAATAGAGATAGAGATGATAATAGAGATAGAGGTAATAATAGAGATAGAGCTGAAATGATAATAGAGATAGAGATGAGATGATAATAGAGATAGAGATGATAATAGAGATAGAGATGAGATGATAATAGAGATGAGATGATAATAGAGATAGAGATGATAATAGAGATAGAGATGAGATGATAATAGAGATGAGATGATAATAGAGATAGAGATGATAATAGAGATAGAGATGAGATGATAACAGAGATAGAGATGAGATGATAATAGAGATAGAGATGATAGTAGAGATAGAGATGATAATAGAGATAGAGATGAGATGATAATAGAGATAGAGATGATAATAGAGATAGAGATGAGATGATAATAGAGATAGAGATGAGATGATAATAGAGATAGAGATTAGATGAGTGATAATATCAGGTACGTTTCAGAGGTTATGATGATGTTTGCAGAAGAGGTTATCATGGTATTTATTTACATTAGACGTTGCCACTCACATTCCATTCGAATCCGCCAATGGCAAGTCCAGCTGCAGCCGCAGTCCCTGCGATGCCCACAAAATGCCCACTGCCAATGTTGCTCGCAAAGAGGGATGCCCCAATCTGGAGAGCGGTCAGAGGAAGGACAGAGGAATGTTCATGATCAATCTATACAGAAAGTAATTATATTATTTCACAGTTTTTGGATATGGAAGGTCATTGAGGAGCACCTCATTCCTAAAGGAACATTTACAGCAACAACGGATGTTCCATGTAGGATAATGGGGCAAAGGTTGCCAAGTACATGGTTCATAGTTCAATAGAAGGGAAATATGCAATTAAGTTAGACCCTTCATGTGTTCTGGTACAATCAACACTAGTCATTATTGAGTAATTGGGAGCAGTCTCAAATGAAGGCCATCAAGATAAAAGATTATGACCTTATAAAATAATTTGTCTGATTTAAGTATGAGCTGGACACTTTCATGGAATACATGCACGTATTACGATAGTTCAGGAGAACAGGGTGTGTTTTTCCAAATATGGGCCAGTGTCATAAACAGTGGCCAGTAAAGTAGAGAGATGGATGCCCTTGAATGTCATAATGTATTAATGAGATAATTAATCAATAAGGACCGAGGGGGTGTGGTATATGGCCAATAGACCATGACGAAGGGCTGTTCTTAATCACGACGCAACGTGGAGTGCCTGGATACAGCCCTTAGCCTGTTGCTATTATAAACTGGTTACCCACGTAATTAGAGCTGTCAGCCAATCAGCATTCAGGGCTCGAACCACCCAGTTTATAATATGTAATAGACTGTCCTGAGAGAAGACTTATACTCACAGGCCACCACACCATGCTTCTTCCTGCCAGGAAGAATCCACCTACGGTGGCTCGGTTTGTGCTCACCATAGCCTGCAAAGAGAGACGGGTTAATTGAGTTGTTTTGAGATACCATATTCATGTATCAGGGATCATATTGATCAATAACCATGTGGTTACATGATACAGTCGTTTGCACCTCTTTCAGTTAAATATGAAAGCTCAATATACATTTTTGTTTATATGGTGTTTAATTGGTTTACTACATCTTGTAAGCATTGTTTGGGTCAATCATCAATCAGCACTACCCACTGGGCACACACTGGTTGAATCAAAGTTGTTTCCACGTAATTTCAATGAAACTACGTTGAACCAACAGGTGTGTAGTTAGTACTGTATCAACTCTCCACACATAGCTGAAACAATATGACAAATGCAAAAGTATTCCTCTGCAATTTAATTCAAACATTCTTGGTGACTTGGTCTATAAATGTCTGGCAATATTATACATTTTGCAGCTGGGCATAAATTGAAGCAATCCAGGTACTTCATTGAGAGGTCAGTGCTCTTGGTATTCATAGGCTACTTGACATCAAAGACATACATTTGAGGAGAATTTTGGCATAATGTTCCTGGCACAATGGCCCAATTGGACAATATCTGCAGCAACAAGTGTACTGCATGAGTCCAGCCATGAACCTATTAGGGATTATGTTTTTTGGAGGCCATCTGAATGACTTAGTAAAGAAAGTGTAGAACATCATAATAAATATTTAATTTTTGTAAATTTAAAGACTTTGTCATATTATCACTCAGAAGGAAACACATCGAAACACTATCCAGAGGCTTCTATTTTTTTACTTTAAAAAAAATCACATTCAGAATAGAGAAAACAACTTTTCTCCAGATTCAACTAAAACCATGATCTATTTTCCTTGCTGAGGGATTAACTATTCACAGACATATATTTGTTTTAGAGTGAACCGAATGGTCAATGGAAAGATTCAGAAACTCACCCATACTCCGACTGCCAGGACAACCAAAAAGTAGATCACAATGACAGAGATATCCGCCGGGTTGTTGAGGGCCACGGTGCCATTGTTAGACACACTTCTAACTAAGGAGAACCCCAAATAATCCTGTGTCATTTTGTCTGTTCTGAGCTGCAGAGGTGACCAGAGGACAGGTGTATTGAAGCCTCTCTCCTTAACTGCTGTGCTGCTGACTCCCCTGTTACCTGCAATGCTACTTATGTACTACTGACCCACAGATAGGTATGTGTGTGCACATGAGCACGAGTGCACGTGTGTGTGAGTACCAGTGGAGGCTCCTCAGAGGAGGAAGGGGAGGACTGTCCTCCACAGGGAATTTCAGAAATTGTAAATAGTGAAACATTAAAAAAGTTATGCTTTTTAGATCAAACTATACTAAATATATTAATGTCACCAAATAATGGATTAAAGCACACTGTTTTGCAATTAAGGTCTACAGTAGCCTCAACAGCACTTTGTAGGGTAGCACCATGGTGTAGCCGGAGGACAGCCAGTTCCCGTCCTCCTCTGGGTACATTGACTTCAATACAACATTTAGGAGGCTTGTGGTTCTCACCCCCTTCTATAGACTTACACAGTAATTATGACAACTTCCGGAGGGACGTCCTCCAACCTATCAGAGCTCTTGCAGCATGAACTGACATGTTGTCCACCCAATGAATGGATCAGAGAATGAATTTAGTACTGAAAGCATACGCTATAGCTAGCTAGCACTGCAGTTCATAAAATGTGGTGAGTAGTTGACTCAAAGATAGAGAAAGACAATAGTTGAACAGTTTTGAACACATTTGTTTATTCAAAAATTAAGGAGATGCAAGAGAGAGAAAGATTTTGTATTTTTTTCACTTTCACTTACCTAGCTAGTTTAGCCTACTCAAACACCCTGCTCAAACAGAGAGGGATACTATGTTAGCTAGCTGGCTATGGTAGATAGCTGGCTATGGTAGCTAGCTGGCTATGGCTATCCAACACTGGAACTCTTCCAAGTCAAGGTAAGCTTTTGGTTTTATTAATTTATTGCCTGTCGGTGTAACTGCTAAAATCCTTGCAGACTGTACACTGTAATGCATGATCGTAGCGGGTTTACTAACACCTTAGTTCTAGTATGTTGACTATGATGTTAGTTAATATGGTGACAACGATGTAGGATGTGTGTAGTGGTCAGCGGTTATGATATGAAGGTTTGGTTTGGAAAGGTTTTTTCGCCTGATCACAGACAGCTGATGTGTTGTGCACTGAAGTCCACAAGCTCAGGGAAAAGGTGAGAGGAGGAGAGCGTGTAGATGCGAGAAGCAATTCTACAACGATCAAAAGGATAATGCTGTTTGTATGTGGCTGCTATGAAAGTGAACTGTGATTGCGTGTGATCAGGGGTGTATTCATTCCACCGATTCTGTTGAAAAAAGTTTTTTAAACGCAAGCAAACGGAACGAAACAGGGAAAACATACCTGAATTTGTCCAGTAGAAAATCTTGTTTGCAACTGTTTGACTAATGATTACACCATAGATCAGCTAGATACAGGCAAGAGTGTGCAAGGCAGTGTTGAATGTGTCAATGTCTGTCACCTTGATTACTCCAATTTCTCTCAACCTGTGCACCTACGTTGTAAACGTTCATTCATAGGTTATAGCAAGTTCATGATGTGTGTAGGTGATATTTGACTATCATGTAGTAGCCTAAACCTATCGATGTTACATTGAGCTGGGTGAATGGAATATGAATGACAGTCATCCAATATGCTGTAATAGAAATAAATCCATGCTCATAAAAAAAAGATAATCCTCCCTCATCTTAAATGGCACCGGCCGCCATTGGTGTGTTGGTTAATAGTGTGTTTGAGACCATGCAAAGGTGTGTATGTGAGCTTGCCTGCCAATGAATGTGCAAATGCAAATACTGTAAATGAAGAAAAAAAAGATATTGGTGTCAGAAATCAAAGAATGTGCTTTATGGCAAACAAATGGTCATTAAAGGGGAAATCAGCAGTTGCTACATTCATTTTTTACATTTATTATATGTACCCATTGAATCTTGAAGAATATACAATAACCTATGCTTCATGAGCTTAGTTCAACTGTTGTACCCTATCAGAACCCCAAATATAAGCTTGTTTTACTCTTTATTATATAGCATAAAAACATGGTTAAACCTATAATTTTGATATCATGGTTGGTCAGTCCTTGCATCCATAGCTCTGTCTATGAATTTGAGAGTGGTTACATTTCTACAACCCCATCCCTCAGCTGTTTACCGAAACAGTGACAGGGAGTATATCTGTTCTTGTTTTTACTGCTGATTGACACTTTAATGATCAACTGAACAGGAAATACTTTTTAAAAAATCCTATAAAAGACAACGTGTGAGCCATTCCACTTTCAGAATTACACTAATCCCAGTCCTAATGGAAAGGGCTGATTGATAAAACCCTGAAAGTAGGTGACTACTGTAGGTAGATAAGTCAACTGTGAAAGTGCTGTGGCAGCAGGAGAATTGTGGACTCCTGGGAGAAAGAGCACAGCAAAGAGCACACAGGAAAAACAATATAGTGGGTTTTCGATTGAACACAATTAGGAAGGGTTTATTGGCTATAATAGGACATGTTTAATGGGGAAATATAGTAATAATAATAGCATTAAATGTATGTTAATGGACATGGCTGTTGACTGTAAGCCCATTCCATTAACTCTTCTGTCAATATTGTGATTTATTTCCACAAGGAAACTAATTCTGATTCAAGGTCAGTCAATCGAAAAGGTACTTTCTTCATAAAACTACCTCACCCACAGAGTAAACACACACACACACAGATAGTGGGTTAATTATTACTCTGCCCTGCCGTTATTCCTCTTCAGGTTGCTGGTGAAGACTTAAGTGTGTGTGTGATAAGGCGCTATCCATAAAATTATATTAATCTCTCATCTCATCACAGCTACGAACAATCTTGTTCACATAAATGTACATCAGCCATTAGTCTCTACAGGTATATAACATTTACAATGTCACTGCATGATCTTACCCTTGTATTTGTCCAATCTCATTATCACCTGATGCTTCATCACCAAACCTGAGCTTTTACCTCAGCAATTTCAAAGCCTGAACTATGCCCAACCTCACTCTTCCCTGAGATTATCAAGATGAGCTAGTAGCAATATAAAAGATAACTTTGATTGGTTTTAGGTCATGATTATTTTCTACTTCTGTCATCCTTGTAGTGGGATGTTTGTAATACCAGTCTCAGCAGAGACCTATAAATCAATGATAAAGTCAAAAGACTGCAATAAATGGGTTAATGAAACACGTTTTTCCCTTTAATGGAGTTGTTACATTATTACGAACCCTGTAGATAGGAGGGTAAAAGTACCAGAAACAACCACTAGGTGACTATCGAGTCTGAAGCTTAACATGGTCAGATGCAGGACAACAAAGAGCCAGGAAAGGTTTTTAAAAAAATATTAGTGGTGAAACAAGCCAGGGTTGTGTTCAATTGGGCATATAGAAGCAAAACTTTTGCAACAGAAAACCAAAATGGGTCATATTACACCTATTACTAGCCTACCGTCCGTTTCACTCCAACAGAAGTGTGCAGCTAATTAATTGGAAATTTAGACTGCACCAAGACACCATTCTGACTTTGTCCATCAGAGGAAGGAATACCATGAGAACATTCTCAACAAATACACAATAAAATCTAACACAGTGAACTAAATGAGTATGTGTGTGTAACACAGAGATAATCGGAATGAGAAAGAAAATACACGTACAGCAGGACACATCATGACCAAATAGCTCATGACCGCAGGGCCATAGATTCACTCATGGCGACTGAAGCACACGAGCATGCCATTCATCCAAGCATTCACACATAACAAGTTCCCAGGGTAGGTAATGTTTTAATGGCATTATTTTAATGACCACATTATTCATAATAATAAACAAATGTACTTGCACAACTGAAAACTCCAGACACTGTCCAATCAACCTTCAAAGGTGGACATTTCAAAATGGTAAGATGGCTGGCACACACGTTCACAGGGGCTAGCAGTGCACACAGAGGTCAGAGGGCAGAGTGGAAAGGGCAACAGACAGGGAATAGAGAGGAGGAACAACAGACAGAGATCTTACAGTGACAGAGGGGTGGGGGCATAGAAAGGGTTCAAGTCAAGGAGGAGAGCACAACATTCTGGTCAATAGTAACATTTCCACTATGCTGTGTAACGTAATGAAATACATTTTCCCTAATTAGAATTACAGACATCCACTCATGATCGATACTAAATTGTCCTCACGAGAACATCCTGTGGAAATGTCACTTGAATACCAACTAGTCAGTTAATTATCAGCAACTATGGAAGGGAGGGGATGGAATGGATCGAAGAAGAAAAAATACCACCTAGCGCACAGAAAGTGGGCCAGGGACAGAAAGCCTTGGAGGACAGAAAAGAGGGAGAGAGTTGAGGAGGACAGTATGAGAGGGTGAATGCAGCAGGGGAAGAGGTGAGAATGTAGGACAAAAACGACAGGCCACTAGAGAACAGATTCTTCCTGATGAGGCCTTAATTGAGCATGATAATGGCACAAAGAGACAAAGAGGTGAGCGATGAGGAAGAGATTAGAGAACAAAAGATCTGAAAAGAGTAAAGAATAGGGGGTAGGGGGACAGTGGGAAGGGGAGTGGCTAACTCTAGCTAAAGACAATCAGGGGTTAGGAGGAGGTGGTCTCAGGGTTGGGCCTCTCCCCCCTCGCTGTCCTGCTGGTCGCTGGTCCACAGGGTCAGGTTGTCCCGCAGCAGTTGCATGATGAGGGTGGAGTCCTTATAGGAGTCCTCGTTCAGATTGTCCAGGTGTCCGATGGCCTCATCAAAGGCCTCCTTGGCCAGCTTGCAGGCCTCCTCAGGGGCGTTCTGGATCTCGTAGTAGAACACAGAGAAGTTGAGGGCCAGACCTAGGCGGATGGGGTGGGTGGCCGCCATGCTCTTGCTGATCTCGTAGGCCTCCTTGTAGGCTCCCTCGGAGGACTCCACGGCAGAGGTCCTCTTCTCGGCTGTGGCCACCTCGGCCAGGTAGCGGTAGTAGTCGCCCTTCATCTTCAGGTAGAACACCTTGCTCTCCAGCTGATCTTCTCCGCAGCTCTTGATTAGGAACTGGTCCAGCAGGTTGAGCACATCCTGGCAGACTGTCTCCAGCTCCTTCTCGATAGTCTCCCGGTAGGCCTTCACCAGCTCCAGCTTCTTCTCGTTGCCGTCGGCCATGGCTCTTTGCTCGATGCTGGAGGTGACGCGCCAGGAGGACCGCCGGGCCCCCACCACGTTCTTGTAGGCCACAGAGAGCAGGTTGCGGTCGTCGTTATTCAGAGGCTCGCTCAGCTCAGTCACCTGGTGAGGACATAGAAGTGTTAAAAAGAATGCTGACAGGATGTGAAAATGCTACCATATCATAAACCTTCTATAAATCAAACAAATGTACCATTGACCTAACATTCCAATCCTGAAGAAATGCTCTAGAAATTGACCAATGACAAAGGTGTGATGTTGCAGGGTGCATGCATGCCTAGGTGGAGAAAGGCTATGCTGTATTTGTGGCTGAAGCTGTGCTTGATTCTTAACTGTAAACATTAAAGGCATTTTTTTTTTATAAAGATGTTTGTCTTATGCCTTTTGAGAAACAGGCTACTTTTAAGTCATTAGATGAATATGTATCCATCGTCATCGATACATTTAACTGCAGCCAATATCTGCCCTTGCAGACAGGGTCTGTGGGTGCGTTTGTAAAGGAGCAACATCTGGTAATTTTACATTTGAGTCATTTAGCAGATGCTCTTATCCAGAGCGATTTACAGTTAGTGAGTGCATACATTTTTCATACTGGTCCCTCGTGGGAATCGAACCCACAACCCTGGCGTTGCAAGCCCCATGCTCTACCAACTGAGCTACAGGCGGCCCTGGTCGTTTATAAACTTCCACCATCATATTTGTTCGTTATTTGAGAAAATGTACCTCTGTCTGGCATAAATTTGACGATTATTCTGTTAATTAGTCTATTACAGGAAAGGCAAAACCAGCTTTCAAGCTTGGAATATGTAGTTTTATTCACTCGGCCCAAAGTGCTGTAGTGAACGAACGCACCCAATGTGTCCCCGTTCAGCCTCTGGGCTGGTGCTACTCTACTACTACTGCATCATCGACCACCACCAGCTTCATTGTTAGCTCAGCTAGCTCTTTAGCTACCACATTCACTTCTAAAAAAGATTTGGCAAAATAACATAGCAACAGAAGCGAAATAGTCAACCTTGGTATTGTGTGCACCAGGTTTCACATTGATTTATGATGTTGCACAGAATTCTGGAAATTATTTCTTAAATCAAGACGATAATTCCATCTACTATAGTTAGCTAGTTAGCAAGAGGCTACATTGTCAGACTAGTGAATGATGTAATAATAGATTACCTTTGTTACAAACTGATATCAATTCCTGTCACATTTGGTAATTCTTCCAAGTGAGCTGCATTGCTCATTATGCAAAATTATGTCTACCTGCTTCATCGCTGAGGCCATGTCATCGTACCGCTCCGCCTGCTCAGCCATACGGGCTCTCTGGATCAGTTGCTCTCTATCTGCCATTGTCGCTGTTGATGTGCCAAAGGTCGGGCAGTCAGTTCCAAGATACAGGATACTATTGACGATTGCTTTTGAATACACCTAGCTATGTGTATTTTCCCGGTGACGTGCAACGCTACAAACAGCACATCAAATGTCACTGCGGATTATCTCTAAAAACCTACTTACAATACGAGGTAAACAATGGTGAATTAATTCGGTTTTTAATGCTGCCGAGGCGCAAATTAGAAGTAAGACAATCAGTGGCTACCCTCCAAGTCCTCGCTCGACTCTCTATCTCACTACCCGGTGGCTAACTAGCTACTGCGGCCTCCCACTGCTATCGACATGGGGTGCTGCTCCAAGCGTCCTGTCAATCCAGTCTATCGTGTGGAGGGGGGGGGGGTGTCGAAGCCTGCCGCTGATATTTCAAGATGACGTCACTTTCTAAAAATAGAAACGTACGCTGCAGGCGTGCACCTGCGCAGTGCGGCGTACTGCATCGGTTGCAGCAACTGAGAGCGCGTGCGTGTAGGGTTGCTGCTAGTGTGACCTCTCCTCACATATGGTATGCAAGTAAAGGTTCCAGCATATTAGGATGGAGACGAGAACATAGAGGACATAAGCAGTGCCTTTCCTCACATCTGCCCAGTCCCAAAGCCATGATAGCATTTATGCCAACCGCTGTAATGTACACATATGATACTGAAAGGTGCAGAAGACCTCTGTGTTGCTGACAAGTGTTATCTCCCTCATCCCTAAAAGGAAAACACTCCCCATTCCAGTGTTGCATCCTCTCTTCCCTGTAACTGGACAAGAGGAGGAGTGTATGACACACTTTTGTACATTATCAGGGCTGTGATATTATTCCAAGAATGTAGCAGAACATCTAGCTACCAGCAGTGTTGGGGAGTCGTGAACTACATGTAGTTCAACTAGTAATTTAACTATACTGAACAGAAATATAAATGTAACATGTAGGTCCTATGTTTCATGAGCTGAAATAAAAGATCCCAGACACTTTACATACACACAAAAAGTGTATTTCTCCCAAATTTTGTGCACACATTTGTTCACATCCCTGTTAGTAAGGATTTCTCCTTTGCCAGGATAATCCACCCACCTGACAGGTGTGGCATATCAATAAACTGATTAAAGCAAGATCATTACACAGGTTCACCTTATGCTGGGGACAATAAAAGGCCAACCTAAAATGTGCAGTTTTGTCACACAACACAATGCCACAGATGTCTCAAGTTTTGAGGGAGCTTGCAATTGGCATGCTGACTGCAGGAATGTCCACCTGAGCTGCTGCCATAAATTTGAATGTAAATTTCTGTACCATAAGCTAATAATGTCATTTTAGAGAATTTGGCAGTACATCCAACCGGCCTCACAACCGCAGACCACGTGTAACCACGCCAGCCCAGGACCTCCACATCCGGCTTCTTCACCTGCGGGATCGTATGAGGACAGCCAAGGTGGACATTCATTCTGCCCTCCCAGGTCCACCCATGGCTGCGCCCCTGCCCAATCATGTGAAATCAATAGTTTAGGGCCTAATTTATATATTTCAGTTGACTGATTTCCTTATATGATCTGTAACTCAGTAAAATCGTAGAAATTGTTGCGTTTATATTTTTGTTCAGTATACATTTTGCAGACTGCAGTAGCTTGGTGGTAGTTGAACTAAATTCAAATCTAGGTAGTGTTTTCATTACAATTTTTGCCACTTAGCGGTGTAACTAACTGATATTCCCTAAAAACACACCACTTTGATACAGCTATAACTTTTTCGTAGCACGTTATGAGAAATTGGGTTAAGGTTAGGGGAATTAGGTTAAGGTTAGGAAAAGGATTAGGGAAAATGGTCTCCTAACCTTTTTCAAAGTAACTTTAGTTAAGGGTAGCTTTAGTGTAGCTTAACTTCTTCCAGTGTGAAGTAATTGGTAGCTTGGTAAACTATATTTTCAGAGTAGCTTCCTCAACACTGGCTACCAGTCACTGAGAGGGGAAACTAGCATTACATTATCCCCATGCAATAAAACATCCTGAACAAATCCCATAATAACCGCTTGATATTTATTTTGTATTAATTTCTGCAACAAATGAATAAATGAATACTCCTCAAAGTACATGTTTTCAAATTCACAGTTGCACTCGTAAACACATTATGTAGAGGCGTATGCCAGGTTTAGATTAGTTCTCTTATTATTCACTTAACATGAAGGAAGAGTAGCAGCTCATCAGCAGGACCAGAGGAAGCAGTCTCTGCTCCTCAGGAATAGTCTTCATATTAACGGTCATAGCACTTGACCTTTCACCTTGACCTAGTCCTGCCACAGAGGGGACATAGCACACATATACAAGGTGTTCTTGTGGAGAATTCTTCCCAGAAACCTCAACACTGCAGCCAATGCAGACTCATTTCATACAGTACATTCCCACTTCAATAGAGTTGTCTGTTTCTCAGTTTCAACTCACTTCCCCCTCTCTATCTCTTCATCACGGAGCACTAGCATTCATTTTCTCCTGGCAGCTGTCCCAAAAGTTGACCAGCCTCTTGTCTTTGTTGGCGCAGAAGTCAGTGAAGTCTCTGAGCAGGCGGTCAGCCAGCTTCTCGTCCCCAAGCACGCCCGTCCTCCAGGCCTTGGTCAGCATAGTGTTATAGGCCCAGTAGTAACCCACCAGCTCTTCCGAGCCAAACAGGCCCTGACTGGCTGATGCTGTTGAATTCCTCCTCCTCCGCTGCTGCCCGCTAGAGTACTTCCTCTTGGAGTAGGGCAGCTGGAGGAACACTGTGCCTAGAGGGAGATAGAAGGGGAGCAGGGAGGACAGAGAGAGAGAGAAAGAGAGGGTAAGGAGAACAGTAGTGTGAGGGAGGGTGTTAGAGGTAACAAAGGGCATATTGAAAAAAATGTGTCTGACAGAATTAGAAATCATGCTCATCTTTGTTCTAATATGTGCCTACCTGTTACGTGGATGTATTGGGGCTTGTTCTCTGATGGGAAGTTGAAAGCAGAGGCAGAAAACTTGTCTTGAACAAAACCGAATCTGAGCGAGAGAGATAAGTGTGAGAATGTTTGGATAAATACCTAAAGACCTTTGCAGCACATATAGTGCCTCCATCCCACATTTACAGAGAACAAAAAAAAACAATGTTTTATTGTCACATACACCAGATAGGTACAGTGAAATGTGTTGTTTGCAGGGTCAGCCATAGTAGTGCGGCACCCCTGGAGCAAATTAGGGTTAAGAGGCTTGCTCAATGGCGCATCAACTGATTTTTCACCTTGTCCGCTCGGGTATTCGAACATGCAACCTTTCAGTTACTGGCCCAACGCTCTAACCTATAGGCAACCTGCTGCCCTATAAACTATGTATAGAGAATCACCTACCGGTACAGTATGGCCTCCTGAAAGATCTGCATTCTATCCCAATACGTCTCTGGTTCAAACCCTGCCAAACAATTATCACAGGGGAATAATGTTGACAAGCACGAACACCCAAAGCAACACACCCAATAAATAGTTTATGCTTATGTCCCTGTACGTTTACTTACAATCTATGTTAAAGATACGTGCTCTATCAAATGATAGAGACACACTGTGTACATGTGTACAATGACAGTGGTGTAAAAAGCTCCCAGTGTCTCCTCACCCTCAAACAGGTTGTCGCTGCCGTCCCTCAGCAGACGGTGGATGTGGAGAGGGATGAAGAGCTGGGCCCGCAGTGGGTCACCATACAGGTAGGAGGGCAGGGCAAAGGGCACCTCCAGGACGGGCACCAACAGGAACCCACAGGAGGCAGCCTTCCTGTGCCAGCCTTGGACCTGTAGAGATGGGAATATGGTGGAGAGTCAAGATAAACATGGGTCTTGTTGTCAAACTCTCTCGTCCAAGCAAACGTGATGTGTAGTAGTGTTGTCATGTTGGGAATTAGTGAGCCGTTTTGAGCCCATATGGTTTGATTATCAGCTGGCATGCCTTGTGACTCCTTAAGTATGACAACCTGAAATATTTAATAATTCAGCCGTTTACTTCATATCCGTGGCAACTTCAAGAAATATGTCAGTATGTCATAAAAACATCTTACATTAAATAATGCTGACAGGAACTCTGTCTTAATGTGTAGGGTGCAGGGCGCTAGACTAACTTTTTTCCACTGGTGGCACTGGTGCTACCAACATTTTCAGTCGATGGCACCAGCACATGATTTGGTCGCACCAATTACTCGCCACTGTGTGCCGTTAATGACTGGACCTGTGTCCCATAATGTACCTGCATTCCATACAGAACCAGACTAATAATGACTAGCCATCTTTTAAATTAGCTGCCCTTGCCGGGCTTGACATTCAGGTACATTTGCCAGTGGCAAAATCCCACCTAGCAAGAGACCGAGGTGTTTTTGTACTATACAATATACAGTGTAGGCTATATGTGATGGCAGAGTTTGCAAAACAAATGCCCCGTGATTGATACAAATCATCATGAGATCATTCTGCCAGGTAGGCCTACTTTGCAGTCAACATTTAATTGGGACGTTTTTTTGGGAAAGCCTTTAGAAATGTTCATTCAAACAGCGCATAATGAATGAATTGCGCATGGCAAAGATTCCACCAAGACTTCGGACCAAACTTTTTGAATACCTGGTTTGCATACCCATTGTTGCATACCCATTGCTGTTTGAATAAATCTTGATAAAAGCAAATTGTGAACCAAAAACAAAAATTGACCAGCAAAAAAAATAATCACTGGCACCCTAGCGAACAATAAAACATTGTCAAGTCAAAGGGTCGCAAATGCAAGTGTTTTGGAAGCAGTTTTGAGCCCTGAGAGTGTCTCAAGTGAGTCAATGGACATTCCCCCTCTGTCTGGCTCTGTCTTACCATCTCAAAGAGAACAGCTGCAGTGACGGCCATCCAGTGCAGCTTGACCTCGAAGGCAGCGTTAAGGGAGAAGTTGCCATGGTAATAGCAGCTGCACCACTCGGTGCGGTCGCTGCGATTGTTAACGTCCACGTCCAAGGTGACCGTCTTCTGCTCTGGTACAGTGGCAGCTGAGGAGAGAGAGGAGGGAGGGGAGAGAGAGAGCAAGGGAGTAGAGGGACAGGCCCAGAGATCAGGCCCAAAGGGAGAGATGGATGTAGAGATGGACAGGCAGGAAGAGGACATTTGCATGGATATTATGAGATTAAGAGGGTGAGAGACAGTTGTTGGAGTATATGGAATATGGTACGGGGGGGGGGGGGGGACACACACACCAAATGTTTGAGATGGAGTTAGAAACTTCACAATGAATGTTAGCAAGTTATCGAAAGTCAGTGAAGCCACAATATTCCACCATAGCATCCTCTCTTGCCCTGAAACACCTCTGTTATGCTCAGAACTTGTCTCCAGGCAGATTCGGTACCAGGGTTGGGGTAAATTCCATGTCAATTTCAGTCAATTCAGGAAGTACACTGAAATTCCAATTCCATTTCTCTTCAACATTTCTCTTTCAGTTAGGACAATTTGGAATTGGAATTTGGTTTACTTTCTGAATTGACTGAAATTGAAATGGAATTGACCCCAAACCTGTTCTGTACTGACTATGTTTTAAGGATGATACATTTAGAATGCTACTCCAAATTACATCACAATTCTTTATAAATCATTATTTTGTTGTCCATATGATTATTTCATTCTGAAAAGGTTAGTGTGTTATTTTTTAAATAGGCCTATACGTTTTAATTACCAAGTCAGTACACTGTTAATCACTGGAGACAACACAAACATGGTCATCATGACAAACATAGGCATACAGGAAATTCTTTCTACAGCCAGATTGTGGTGTCATTGTTTCATGATTTCCTGGAGAGGAACCATTGAGTTTATTAATGTATAAATTACTATATTTTATGGTTCTGAATTATGATTCACACCTTATTAATCTCACAGAAATTAGTCCAAATAAGACACATTTTATGGGAGAAAAGTTATTGCATTTATGTTTTAGGTAATGTTGGGTATAATGACCATATCTGTTTTCTGAGCAGATGGGGGCAAAGCCTACAGTTAGAGCTGTTTCTCTCCCAGTGTTAGACATTTTCATGGGAATAAGCTGGTTTATATTAACCATAAAACAACTCCAAACTCATCAGTAATTTAAAGTGGCAATCCTTAGTTGAAAAATTACAAAGCAGAAAAAACTGAGGGATGGGTCTGGAGAAATGTAACCACTCTCAAATGAATAGACAGAGCTATGGATGCAAGGACTGACCATCCAAGATATAGAAACTATGTTTTGAGGCTATACAGTATTTGTTTACATTTCCGATGTTTACAAACATTGGAGTAAAACAAGCTTATATTTTGGGTTCTGATGGGGTACGACAGTTGAACTCAGCACGAGGCATTTAGAAGTTATATTCTTCAAGTATCAATGTGTATATATCATTACTTTATACGTCCAAAAATGCATGTAGCAACTGCAGATTGCCTCTAAATTGCTGTAAAAGTGGCAGCATAAACAGCATCAAATCACGGTAAGAAAATCACAGTGAGACAGAGAAAGAAGGATTGGTCAAGACTCCCTAAATGCAGTAACATTCTCACAACATTTTATAGTGGAAACGCATTAAACAGTACAGAGAGAGAAAGCAAAGAGAGGACAATGCACTGCACACCACTGCTCTACTGTACCACAGCCACTTCTACCACAGCATGCACTAAACACTACCACACCAACTAGTTCTCTAATTGGACGGAAAAGAGAACTACCACACCGATTACTGCTCTGATTGGAGGAAGTAGACGCAAATCCCATCCATCAGTGATCTGATTGGATGGAGTTGTTTTCAATCAGTCGACAGTGGCACGAGTACTACCATTAGATGTAATATGTACTGTACTGTACATACTGACATGCCAATTCGAGCTACAATTGGAGGCAGAGGAGGTTGGGATGAGAATGGGAAGAGGTTTAGGTGTACCACCAACCCAAGCTCTGCAAGCTGGAGTAGATAGATCACCAGCAATCACATGCAGCCCTGTTTTTGCCCGTAAGGGGGATGGGTACTGAGGTCCAATGCCTTGTGTCACACAGAATGAACAATGTCACCAGGATAATTATTAGTTCAGATGGTAGATGGCAAGTCAATGATTAAATGATGTGAGAGCAATGTTGTGATGGTGAGAAATTCAAGTCATTGGAAAGTACTTCAAGAGTAAAATTGTGGTTAGTATGTAATGAATCATGGGCCAATTATTCAAATCTAAGAATAAATTATCTAGAGTTTGATGGTTTTGATGGCTGTTTGTAAGTTCCCTGAATGCCTCAATCAAATAGAATAGTAGCTCCTCAGTTATGGAGTGGTGTTAAGTTATTTAGAGATCAACTGTTAACAAGTTACTAATGATTTTTGGGAACTTTTTGTCAACAATTCAAACCAAGTTAATAAAAAAATGTTTAACCGGATCTCAACCAACCATGTCCAAATCTGATGACCAAGTTAGCACCACTTCATATTTGCATACAGAGGCATGCAGGAATCTTGTCTGGTGGCTCTGTGTGACACCTGCTATGGGACCCTCCCTCCCAAACCCCTAAGGGCCTGTTGCAGGGTATGTGTCTGACTGGAAGGGAGGGGGAGGCATGCTCATTCTGATTGTGGGGGGGAAGTCATGTCCATTCTGGGGTGGGGTTGAGGTTGGGGTGGGTGGGCTGAGGCTCAGCTCTGGGGGAGGAGCAGGCTGTGTGTACCTAGCAGTGCTGCGGCCTGGCTGCGTCCTCCAAAGCTGCGGCTGAAGGAGCTGTGCCTACTTGCATAGGACGCAGGCCGGCTGGGCAGCCAGGGCAGCAGGAAGGCCGGGAGGTCACAAGGTCGACGCTCCTCCAGGACAAAAGCAACCTCGAACCACTTCCTCTGAAACAGGGCAAAGTCCTCCAAGGCTGCCGTTGACCAGCCTTGTGCCACAGGAGGAGGTAGCTGGGATGTAGGGCCTAGAGTACAGTAGAGATGGAGAGATATATGTATGGTTATTATTGAGTCTGGTTAGTTACCACCAGTGGCTGGAAACCTCAAATGAGAACAATCAATATCGGCATGACTGAGAATCAATGACTGGAAAGAGGTCAGTGTGGGAAGCAGGCAGGGCTGGGGTCAATTCCATTACAATTCCAGTCAATTCAGAAAGTAAACCAAATTCAAAATTCGCCGCACTGAAAAGCATTGAAGAGATTTGGAATTTCAGTGCACTTCCTGAACTGACTGGAATTGAAACGGAATTGACCCCATGGTGGGCAGCATGGAGGACTACCTTGTTCTAGGAAAGCAAACCAACATTTTTTCAATTGATACGTTTTCAGATTAGCTTTGTGTAGACTGTAAGTGTCTCCCTAACCTCGCTCGGCGTCTTTCTCTGCCACTATCCTATAGAAGTAGAAGCCATAGACAAAGGTCCTCATGGCATCCCCTGATGCATGGGTAACCAGGCCCTCATCCAGCATCTTCTACAGAAACACAGGGGACACAGCAATACTGTTAAAAACCCAACACACAAATGCTGCATTCACAACATACAGTGTGTCTCTTTCACATACTTTAACAAAGGCAGATAAACGTATACCTACCTGCATGATGTCAACAGCCATGCCTTGTGTGGCCACGCCCTCTACATTGTTGACCAGCCAATGGACGATCTCAGCACTGATGAAGCAGTTAGGGGGCAGGCCCTTCTGCTCAGGTAGAAGCTGCACACCTGTTCTATATATATCACACAGAAGGACAGAACAGTAGCTCAAACACACTCATCTAACTGCAGGGACAACAACAAACCACAACTAAAACACTTGAGGTATGTGTTGTGGTGCACGCCAACACACTCTTTCACACGCACATTTGTTTTACTAACCTTGTGGGGACCAAACAATTGATTCCTATTGAAAATCCTATTTTCCCTAACCTTAACCCCAAACCCTAATTCTAAGCCTAACCCCCAAGCCTAAAATAGCTTATTTTCTTGTAGAGACCGCCGAAATGTCCCCACTTGTCTGAATTTTCCTGGTTTTACTATCCTTATAAAACAAAAAAAACACACACACACACAGGGTCTTACGTGGGGTGTTTGATGGCCTCTAGTATCTCCATCAGGGTGGAGGATGAGGACAAACATAAGGCTCCAGTACCAGATTGCCCACTGTAAACTCACAGACATAAAAGCCTGGTTAACTATGACTAATGCCATCATCATTCACATAACACTTTCCAATTAGAAACATGATTTTGAACACTTTACAAAAAAACAGCATTTCTAAACCCACCTGGTTTCTGTGGTTAAGCTGGGTCCTGTGTCCCCTGTTGCCTGCGCTGCAGCCCCACCGGTCACCGCCCCAGCCCCTACCTGACCACCTTTGTCTGTGGCCCCTCCTTCAGCAGGATCTGTAGAAATCTACAGGCCAATCAGCAAAGGTTAGAATTAAATCAAACAGTCTCAGGCAGTCACTCTGCTGCCTTCTATTTATTTCATGTATATTACATATCAATCACTCCTAGTCTCATGCTAGTTAGATACTGAAGAGGATAACTCACATCTGGGATACATTACCTTAGTTGACTTGGCTTAAATCTGCCAGGTACTAGTGTAATGTGTGGTCTCTTCACAAACCACCAATCCGAAGTAACAAACAATAGTGTGTCTAAGGTAGACTCATGCAGACATGCAGATTTCATGCCAGCAGGACAGTACAGGATGCAAGCTACAAAATAGCTACACGGACTGAGTTGACCTTTTATTTCAATATTTGCACTGTCTCTGTGCACACTTACAGGGCCCTACACACTTACACACACTGTCACGCCAACACACACACAAACACTCACTCCATCAATTTCTCACTCACACATAATATGAACATACATTTATACTGACTCTACACACCCACTCACATGCAAGCTGCTGCTACTCTGTTTATCTTAAATCCTGTTGCCTAGTCCCCTTACCCCTATACATATCTACCTCCATCACTCCAGTATCCCTGCACATGTACAGTGCATTCGGAAAGTATTCAGACCACTTGACTTTTTCCACATTTTGTTACATTACAGCCTTATTCTAAAATGGATTAGATATTTTTTTTCTCATCAATCTACACACAATACCCCATAATGACAAAGCGAAAACAGGTTTTTCTAATCTTTACAAATGTAAAACAGAAATACCTTATTTACATAAGTATTCAGACCCTTTGCTATGAGACTCGAAATTGGGCTCAGGTGCATCATGTTTCCATTGATCATCCTTGAGTTGAGTTTCTACAACTTGATTGGAGTCCACCTGTGGTACATTCAATTGATTGGACATGGTCAAATACCATTTTATTGGTCAAATACACATATTTAGCAGATGTTATTGCGGGTGTAGCGAAATGCTTGTGTTCCTAGATCCAGCAGTGCAGTAGTCTCTAACAATTCACAACAACACACAAATCTAAAAGTAAAAGAATGGAATTAAGAAATATATAAATATTAGGACAAGCAATGTCGGAGTGGCATTGACTAAAATACATAGAATACAGTATATACATATAAAATGAGTAAAGCAGTATGTAAACATTATTAAATTGACTAGTGTTCCATTATTAAAGTAACCAGTGATTCCATGTCTATGTATATAGGGCAGCAGCCTCTAAGGTGCAGGTTGAGTAACCGGGTGGTAGCCGGCTAGTGATGGCTATTTAACTGTCTGATGGCCTTGAGATATAAGCTGTTTCTCAGTCTCTCGGTCCCAGCTTTGATGCACCTGTACTGACCTTGCCTTCTGGATGATTGCGGGGTGAACAGGCCGTTGCTCGGGTGGTTGATGTCCTTGATGATCTTTTTGGCCTTCCTGTGGCATTGGGTGCTGTAGGTATCCTGGAGGGCAGGCAGTGTGCCCCCGGTGAGGCGTTGGGCAGACCGCACCACCCTCTGGAGAGCCCTAAGGCTGCAGGCGGTGCAGTTGCCGTACCAGGTGGTGATACAGCCCGACAGGATGCTCTCAATTGTGCATCTGTAAATGTTTGTGAGGGTCTTACGGCATAGTCAAATTTCTTCAGCCTCCTGAGGTTGAAGAGGTGCTGTTGCGTCTTCTTCACCACACTGTCTGTGTGGGTGGACCATTTCAGATTGTCAGTGTAGTGTACGCCAAGGAACTTGAAGCTTTTCACCTTCTCCACTGCAGTCCCGTCGATGTGGATAGTTCCTTTGTTTAGTTGACGTTGAGGGAGAGATAATTTTCCTGGCACAACTTCGCCAGGGCCCTCACCTCCTCCCTGTAGGCTGTCTCGTCATTGTTGGTAATCAGGCCTACTACTGTTGTGTCGTCTGCAAACTTGATGATTGAGTTTGAGGCGTGCGTGGCCACACAGTCATGGGTGAACAGGGAGTACAGGACGGAGCTGTGTTGAGGATCAGAGAAGTGGAGGTGTTGTTTCCTACCTTCACCAACTGGGGGCGGCCTGTCAGGAAGTCCAGGACCCAGTTGCACAGTGCGGGGTTCAGACCCAGGGCCCCGAGCTTAATGATGAGCTTGGAGGGTACTATGGTGTTGAAGGCTGAGCTATAGTCAATGAACATCATTCTTACATAGGTATTCCTCTTGTCCCGATGGGATAGGGCAGTGTGCAGTGTGATGGCATCGTCTGTGGATCTATTGGGGTGGTAAGCAAATTGAAGTGGGTCTAGGGTGACAGGTAAGATAGATGTGATATGATCCTTAACTAGCCTCTCAAAGCACTTCATGATGACAGAAGTGAGTGCTACGCGGCGATAGTCATTTAGTTCAGTTACCTTTGCTTTCTTGGGTACAGGAACAATGGTGGACATCTTGAAGTAAGTGGGGACAGCAGTCTGGGCCGGCAACCTTGCGTGGGTTAACACGCTTAAATGTCTTACTCACGTTGGCCACGGAGAACGAGAGCCCACAGTCCTTTGGAGCGGACCGCGTCGGTGGCACTGTGTTATCCTCAAAGCGGGCGAAGAAGGTGTTTAGCTTGTCCAGGAGAAGACATCGGTGTCCACGACGTGGCTGGTTTCCCCTTTGTAATCCGTGATTGTGTGCCACATACGTCTCATGTCTGAGCCGTTGAATTGTGACTCCACTTTGTCTCTGTACTGACGTTTTGCCTGTTTGATTGCCTTACGGAGGGAATAACTACACTGTTTGTATTCAACCATATTCCTAGTCACCTTGCCATGGTTAAATGCGGTGGTTCGCACTTTCAGTTTTGCCATCTATCCACGGTTTCTGGTTTGGGTAGGATTTAATAGTCACAGTGGGAACAACATCCCCTATACACTTCCTGATGAACTCAGTCACTGTGTCCGTGTATACGTCCATTTTTTTCTCAGAACATATCCCAGTCCGTGTGATCAAAACAATCTTGAAGCATGAGATTCCGATTGGTCAGACCAGTGTTGAATAGACATTAGCATGGGTACTTCCTGTTTGAGTTTCTGCCTATAGGAAGGGAGGAGCAACATTGAGTTGTGACCTGATTTGCTGAAGGGAGGGCAGGGGAGGGCCTTGTAGGCATCCCGGAAGGGGGAGTAGCAGTTGTTGAGTGTTTTTCCAGTGTGAGTACTACAGTCAATGTGTTGATAGAACTTCGGTAGCGTTTTCCTCAAATTTGCTTTGTTAAAATCCCCAGCTACAATAAATGCGGCCTCAGGATATTCGGTTTCCAGTTTGCATAAAGTCCAGTGTAGTTCCTTGAGGGTCATCGTGGTATCGGCTAGAGGGGGTATATACACGGCTGTGACTATAACCAAAGATAATTCTCTTGGGAGGTAATACGGTCTGCATTTGATTGTGAGGTATTCTAGGTCGGGTGAACAAAAGGACTTGAGTTTCTGTACGTTATCACAATCACACCATGAGTGTTTAATCATAAAACGTACACCACCGCCTTTCTTCTTCCCGGAGAGTTCTTTATTCCTGTCTGCGCGATGTACTGAGAACCCAGCTGGCTTTATGTACGGGGACAGTATATCCGGAGAGAGCCATGATTCCGTGAAACAGAGTATGTTACAGTCCCTGATGTCTCTCTGGAAGGAGATCCTCACCCTGAGCTCATCTACTTTATTGTCCTGAGACTGAACATTAGCGAGTAATATACTCGGAAGCGGTGGATGGTGTGCACGCCTTGGACTAGAAAAAGACACATGACAGCCCGCTTGGAGTTTGCCAAAAAGCACCTAAAGGACTCTCAGACCATGACAAACAAGTTTCTCTGGTCTGATGAAACCAAGATTGAACTCTTTGGCCTGAATGCCAAGCGTCACGTCTGGAGGAAACCTGCCACCATCCCTACGGTGAAGCATGGTGGTGGCAGCATCATGCTGTGGGGATGTTTTTCAGTGGCAGAGACTGGGAGACTAGTCAGGATCGAGGGAAAGATGAACGGAGTAAAGTACAGAGAGATCCTTGATGAAATCCTGCTCCAAAGCGCTCAGGACCTCAGATTGGGGTGAAGTTTCACCTTCTAACAGGATAACGACCCTAAGCACACAGCCAAGACAACGCAGGAGTGGCTTCGGGACAAGTCTCTGAATGTCCTTGAGTGGCCCAGCCAGAGCCAGGACTTTAACCCGATCCAACATCTCTGGAGAGACCTCAAAATAGCTGTGCAGCGACATTCCCCATCCAACCTGACAGAGCTTGAGAGGATCTGCAGAGAAGAATGGGAGAAACTCCCCAAATACAGGTGTGCCAAGCTTGTAGCTTCATACCCAAAAAGACTCAAGGCTGTAATCACTGCCAAAGGTGCTTCAACAAAGTACTGAGTAAAGGGTCTGAATACTTACGTAAATGTGATATTTCCTTTTTATTAATTTTTTTGCAAGCATTTCTAAAAACATGTTTTTGCTTTGTCATTATGGGGTATTGTGTGTAGATTGATGAACAATTTTATCAATTTTAGAATAAGGCTGTAACGTAACAAAATGTATAAAAAGTCAAGGGGTCTGAATACTTTCTGAATACACTGTAAATATGGTATTGGAACTTACTTTTTAAATATTTAAATATATAGTATACTTACTTACTTTATTGTGTATTTCATATCGCTTACTCTTATTCTCGTGTGTTTTTTTCTAGTATTAAATTGTTATTGATTATTGCATTGTTGGGTTTTGAGTTAGCAAGAAAGGCATTTCACTGTACTTGTGCATGTGACATTAAAACTTGAAACAGGACAACACACACACACACACTTCTACTCTAACAGATGCAGCGGCGTCCAGTGCCCCTAGTTACTGACCTGTGTGTGATAGATGTAGGAGGAACGAGGGCTACGTATAAAATCCAAAATGAAGGCAGCATCCTGTCAGCATAGGAAGAGGGATACACCACAGGATGAAAAACCCAGAGTCCATCAACAGGAAAACAAGTGAAGGAGAGAAAGGTGGGGAAGGAGAGAAGGAAACAAAAGCAAAGCGAAACCCCATAATAAGGAAGCAAAGATAAACCCCTATAAACGGCAAACCAACATTCCATGCATACCAACAACAAAAAATGCCCCCAACCAAAACACACACCCAAAATGCCCCAATTGAGCTCCCTTTAACCCAAGACAGACATTGAGCTCCTTTTAACCCAATACAGAAATTGAGCTCCCTTTTACCCAACAGAAATTGAGCTCCCTTTTACCCAAACAGGAAACCTTGATCGTTGTGTTCCTTCCCAAAACCACACAAAGACACCCACCTTGCGAGGGCTGTCCACATATGTAGTGGTCGTGGAGACAGTGGAAGACTCACTGGTGGCAGCTGAGGGTTTCCCCTGTTGTTGCTGCTCCTCTAGAGTCCTGCAGACAGGAAATGCATCATTATTGTGAGACCGGTACCTTCAATGTCAGATACCCTGTGCATCCAATAATTTGGAAACACACAAGGTTCCATTGAAAGCACACAGAAAGGACAACTACACTCACTTCTGATTCTGCTCCAACTCCAGGAGAGCTGATAAAGCAGAGGTGCCTTTCTTGCCTAGAGGGGGCGCTACAGGCTCTGGAGGGTAGGCAGAGAGAGGACCAGTCACCTGCAGACCCTTCATCGCCGGTCCTTTCTACAGACAGAATGAGAGGGGAAGACAGTATGACAAGAAGCTTAAAACTTCAAACAGCTCAAGACAACAACATTGGCATAGGATCATTGTTTCTGGCAGAGTCAGTTTCTCTCTTGGCTGGGTTTGCAAGACTGCTCAATCACATCATTTGGGTTAATCTTTTGAGTTTTTGTCTTTTTAAATGATTAAGACAGTGTTTTAGGGTGTTACCCTGATGATCCTGTCGGAGCGGTGGCGTCTGCGGATGCGGTTGAGTCCCTCCAGGAAGCGGATGAAGCCGTCCAGCAGGGCCCAGTCCCCGGTGCCCGTCATGCCCTCTCTGCCCGCCACCGTCCCCGCTCCCTCCCCGTACACGTCCCAGTGCCCCTCGCCGTCCGCCACACGTCTAGCCCCCCCAGCTGGCAGCAGCAGGAAGCGGGTCCGCCAGAACTTCAGAGAGTCTATCAAACTATGGCACAGGAACGGTAGATAAGGTAAAAAATATGAGTAATTTGGAAGTGTGACTGTATATACAGTGCATTCGGAAAGTATTCAGACCCCTTTACTTTTTCCACATTTTTTTAACGTTACAGCCTTATTCTAAAATTGATTAAATTAAAGTTTTCCCTCATAAATCTATACACAATACCCCATAATGACAAAGCAAAAACAGGTTTTTACAAATTTTTGCAAATGTATTACAAATAGAAAACAGAAATACCTTATTTACATAAGTATTCAGACCCTTTGCTATGAGACTCGAAATTGAGCTCAGGTACATCCTGTTTCCATTGATCATCCCTGAGCTGTTTCTACAGCTTGATTTGAGTCCACCTGTGGTACATTCAATTGATTGGACATGATTTGGAAAGGCACACACCTATCTATTTAAGGTCCCACAGTTGACATTGCATGTCAGTGCAAAAAACAAGCCATGAGGTTGAAGGAATTGTCCGTAGAGCTCCGAGACAGGATTGTGTCGAGGCACAGATCTGGGGAAAAATTCTGCAGCATTGAAGGTCCCCAAGAACACAGTGGCCTCCATCATTCTTAAATGGAAGAAGTTTGGAACCACCAAGACTCTTCCTAGAGCTGGCCACCCAGCTAAACTGTCACTCTGACAGAGCTCCAGAGTTACTCTGTGGAGATGGGAGAACCTTTCAGACAGACAACCATCTCTGCAGCACTCCAACAATCAGGCATTCATGGTAGAGTGACCAAACGGAAGCCACTCCTCAGTAAAAGACACATGACAGCCCCCTTGGAGTTTGCCAAAAAGCACCTAAAGGACTCTCAGACCATGACAAACAAGATTCTCTGGTCTGATGAAACCAAGATTGAACTCTTTGGCCTGAATGCCAAGCGTCACGTCTGGAGGAAACCTGCCACCATCCCTACGGTGAAGCATGGTGGTGGCAGCATCATGCTGTGGGGATGTTTTTCAGCGGCAGAGACTGGGAGACAAGTCAGGATCGAGGGAAAGATGAACGGAGCAAAGTACAGAGAGATCCTTGATGAAAACCTGCTCCAAAGCGCTCAGGACCTCAGATTGGGGCGAAGTTTCACCTTCTAACAGGATAACGACCCTAAGGACACAGCCAAGACAACGCAGGAGTGGCTTCGGGACAAGTCTCTGAATGTCCTTGAGTGGCCCAGCCAGAGCCTGGACTTGAACCCGATCAAACATCTCTGGAGAGACCTGAAAATAGCTGTGCAGCGACGCTCCCCATCCAACCTGACAGAGCTTGAGAGGATCTGCAGAGAAGAATGGGAGAAACTCCCCAAATACGGGTGTGCCAAGTTTGTAGCGTCATACACAAGAAGACTTGAGGCTGTAATCGCTGCTAAAGGTGCCTCAACAAAGTACTGAGTAAAGGGTCTGAATACTTATGTAAATGTGATATCAGCTTTTTATTTTTAATACATTTGCAGAAATTTCAAAAAAACTTTTTTTGCTTTGTCATTATGGGATATTGTGTGTAGATTGATGAGGGGTAAAAACAACTTAATCAATTTTAGAATAAGGCTGTAACGTAACAAAATGTGGAAAAAGTCAAGGGGTCTGAATACTTTCTGAATGCATTGTAGGTACCTGAAGTCCTCAGAGCCAGCAGAGCAGATGTACTGGTCCAGGTAGTTCCACTTGTACTCCTCCAGTCTCTCATGACCAAACTCCACCCAGCAGGACAGGAAGTGGGCCTCAGAGTGAGGGGGGCACAGACTGTAGCTGTACTGGATCTGGGCTGACTCATACGGGTACCTGACACACACACACACACATTACAGGTGAGTGACATGCAAACATAGTCTGATGATTTAGCTGGGAGTATGGCTCTAATGTAAGGCTGGAGACTCACTTGGGGAGGTAGCGGGTAACAGTGATGATTTTATCCTTCAGGCAGACTTTATGGAAGGTACGGCCCATACTGAGCCAGTACAGACTCTCCTCCTCTTCTGGCCTGCGCCGAGAGACCAGCCCTGAGAAGGAGGAAGAGAGAGACAGAGGGTAAATGACTGCACTTGGTCCAAACTGAGATTATTGTGGTTTACCAAATGATTAAATTATGCAAATAAATATGCTGTATAAGGGAATCATCTCTAAGTGAACGGTGTCAGCCAGTAGCTAACTGTGACTGTGGTGGTATTAGGTAACTGTGTCAGAGCAGAGCCACAGGCCTGGACAGACAGGGTATAGAACACCTCTGGTGTAGAGTGGACTACTGCTGAGGGGTGGGGCCACAGCGGGCTTGGGTTTCCTTTTGTTTGGTTGGACGATGATCTGGTAGCCCTGCATCAGCCGCTGACAGATAAACTCCTCAAACACCTGAGGGGCACTCATCACCGGGGCCTCATCATCCCGCCTGAGACAGAGAGAGAGGGAGGGTGAGAGGGGTGAGGCATCTGAAACAGGTGCATGTACAGTGAGGGAAAAAAGTATTTGATCCCCTGCTGATTTTGTACGTTCGCCCACTGACAAAGAAATGATCAGTCTATCATTTTAATGGTAGGTTTATTTGAACAGTGAGAGACACAATAACAACAACAAAAATCAGAAAAACACATGTCAAAAATGTTATACATTGATTTGCATTTTAATGAGGGAAATAAGTATTTGACCCCTCTGTAAAACATGACTTAGTACTTGGTGGCAAAACCCTTGTTGGTAATCACAGAAGTCAGACGTTTCTTGTAGTTGGCCACCAGGTTTGCACACATCTCAGGAGGGATTTTGACCCACTCCTCTTTGCAGAGCTTCTCCAAGTCATTAAGGTTTCGAGGCTGACGTTTGGCAACTCGAACCTTAAGCTCCCTCCACAGATTTTCTATGGGATTAAGGTCTGGAGACTGGCTAGGCCACTCCATGGCCTTAATGTGCTTCTTCTTGAGCCACTCCTTTGTTGCCTTGGCCGTGTGTTTTGGGTCATTGTTATGCTGGAATACCCCTCCATGACCCATTTTCAATGCCCTGGCTGAGGGAAGGAGGATCTCACCCAAGATTTGACGGTATATGGCCCTGTCCATCGTCCCTTTGATGCGGTGAAGTTGTCCTGTCCCCTTAGCAGAAAAACACCCCCAAAGCATTATGTTTCCACCTCCATGTTTGACGGTGGGGATGGTGTTCTTGGGGTCATAGGCAGCATTCCTCCTCCTCCAAACACGGCGAGTTGAGTTGATGCCAAATATCAAAATTTTGGTCTCATCTGACCACAACACTTTCACCCAGTTCTCCTCTGAATCATTCAGATGTTCATTGGCAAACTTCAGACGGGCCTGTATATGTGCTTTCTTGAGCAGGGGGACCTTGCGGGCGCTGCAGGATTTCAGTCCTTCACGGCGTAGTGTGTTGCAATTGTTTTCTTGGTGACTATGGTCCCAGCTGCCTTGAGATCATTGACAAGATCCTCCCGTGTAGTTCTGGGCTGATTCCTCACCGTTCTCATGATCATTGCAACTCCACGAGGTGAGATCTTGCATGGAGCCCCAGGCCGAGGGAGATTGACAGTTATTTTGTGTTTCTTCCATTTGTGAATAATCGCACCAACTGTTGTCACCTTCTCACCAAGCTGCTTGGCGATGGTCTTGTAGCCCATTACAGCCTTGTGTAGGTCTACAATCTTGTCCCTGACATCCTTGGAGAGCTCTTTGGTCTTAGCCATGGTGGAGAGTTTGGAATCTGATTGATTGATTGCTTCTGTGGACAGTGTCTTTATACAGGTAACAAACTGAGATTAGGAGCACTCCATTTAAGAGTGTGCTCCTAATCTCAGCTCGTTACCTGTATAAAAGACACCTGGGAGCCAGAAATCTTTCTGATTGAGAGGGGGTCAAATACTTATTTCCCTCATTAAAATGCGAATCAATTTATAACATTTATGACATGCGTTTTTCTGGATTTTGTTGTTGTAATTCTGTCTCTCACTGTTCAAATAAACCTACCATTAAAATTATAGACTGATCATTTCTTTGTCAGTGGGCAAACGTACAAAATCAGCAGGGAATCAAATACTTTTTTCCCTCACTGTAGCTGCTGCTCTATTAGTTGCTATATTTCTCAGTAAGGCAATAGACCATGCAGTCAGTGTTGCAGTAGTCATTTTGTATACTACGTGAGGTGTGTGTGTACTCTGCGAGTTACACTTTCTACCCCAACAGGTCAGTGTGTGGCAACATGTCGTACCAGCCCTCAGTGTAGTCGTTCTACAGTGTGTATGTGTATGTGTGTGTGTGTCCTGTACCTCTCCAAGTCAGTGTGTGGTAGCAGGTCGTAGCAGCCCTCAGTGTAGTCGTTCTGCAGGGTCTGCCATTCGGGGAAGTAGTCGGTGGTGAGGGGCAGACAGGCGGGTGTGGTCAGAGACTTCCAGTCTACCCCCACCGTGCAACAGAAGCTTGGCACTGTCGGGGGGGCAGACAGCAGCAGGGCTTCAGGGGAACCCCCACCACACACACACGAACGCAACCAGACAAAAATACCATACAACACAAAGACAGACAGACAGACAAACAAACAAACAAGTGCCCCATGGCAAACACACATACCACCCAACAGGGTGCATTTTGTGGAGGAGGAGGTAGGTAAGGAAATAGGAAAAGAAGGACAAGCAAAAGAGAGAAATATGTTTGGAATGAAAGGAAGGTGTGCAGAGGTGGTTGATAAAGTAGGAGGAGGGGAAAGTGTGGAAATGTGGAAAAAACATTTGGAAAGGAACAAAGATACAGGTTGGAATTATAAGAGAGTGGCGTGGGAAAAACAACAGCCAATGACAGACAGAAACGGACAAACAAAAATAAAAGTAGAGAAAGAGAGAGGGAGAGAAAAGAGGGGGAAGAAAAAAAGAGCAGAGTGTTATTCTCATTGCACCTGATGATGATTCCAGTGTCATTGACAGAGCTGGAGCTCTGATCAACACATGCAGGAGACTGAGGCTCTGTGACAATCGACGTGGCAATCTGTGATGATGTGATAAGCACGTGATAAGCCGTGATCTCATCAGCAGTGTGATTACAACACAAACATGCACGCATATACAGTGCCTTCAGAAAGTATTCAGACCCCTTGACTTTTTCCACATTTTGTTACATTACAGCCTTATTCTAAAATGGATTAAATGAATAAAAATCCTCAGCAATCTACACACAATACCCCATAATGACAAAGCGAAAACAGCTTTTTTGAAAATTCTGCTAATTTGTTGCAAATAAAAAACAGAAATACCTTATTTACGTAAGTATTCAGACCCTTTATTATGAGACTTGAAATTGAGCTCAGGTGCATCCTGTTTCCACTGATCATCCTTGAGATGTTTCTACAACTTGATTGGAGTCCACCTGTGGTACATTCAATTGATTGGACATGATTTGGAAAGGTACACACCTGTCTATATAAGGTCCCACAGTTGACAATGCATGTCAGAGCAAAAACCAAGCCATGAGGTCAAAGGAATTGTCCGTAGAGCTCCGAGACAGGACCGTGTCGAGGCACAGATCTGGGGAAGGGTATGAAAACATTGCTGGAGCATTGAAGGTCCCCAAGAACACAGTGGCCTCCATCATTCTTAAATGGAAGAAGTTTGAAACGACCAAGACTCTTCCTTGAGCTGGCCGCCCAGCCAAACTGAGCAGTCTGGGGAGAAGGGCCTTGGTCAGGGAGGTGACCAAGAACCCGATGGTCACTCTGAAAGAGCTCTAGAGTTCCTCTGTAGAGATGGGAGAACCTTCCAGAAGGAGAACCATCTCTGCAGCACTCCACCAATCAGGCCGTTATGGTAGAGTGGCCAGATGGAAGCCACTCCTCAGCAAAAGGCACATGACAGCCCGCTTGGAGTTTGCCAAAAGGCACCTAAAGACTCTCAGACCATGAGAAACAAAATTCTCTGGTCTGATGAAACCAAGATTGAACTCTTTGGCCTGAATGCCAAGCGTCACGTCTGGAGGAAACCTGGCACCATCCCTACGGTGAAGCATGGTGGTGGCAGAATCATGCTGTGGGGATGTTTTTCAGCGGCAGGGACTAAGAGACTAGTCAGGATCGAGGCAAAGGTGAACGGAGCAAGGTACAGAGAGATCCTTGATGAAAACCTGCTCCAGCGTGCTCAGGACCTCAGACTGGGGTGAGGGTTCACCTTCCAACAGGACAACAACCCTAAGCACACAGCCAAGACAACGCAGGAGTGGCTTCGGGACAAATCTCTGAATTTCCTTGAGTGGCCCAGCCAGAGCCCGGACTTGAACCCGATTGAACATCTCTGGAGAGACCTGAAAATAGCTGTGCAGCAACGCTCCCCATCCAACCTGACAGAGCTTGAGAGGATCTGCAGAGAAGAATGGGAGAAACTCCCCAAATACAGGTGTGCCAAGCTTGTAGCGTCATACCCAAGAAGACTCGAAGGCTGTAATCGCTGCCAAAGGTGCTTCAACAAAGTACTGAGTAAACGGTCTGAATAATTATGTAAATGTAATATTTAAGTCCTTTGATCTCATGGCTTGGTTTTTGCTCTGACATGCACTGTCAACTGTGGAACCTTATGTAGACAGGTGTGTGCCTTTCCAAACCATTTCCAATCAATTGAATTTACCACAGGTGGACTCCAATCAAGTTGTAGAAACTCATCTCAAGGATGATCAATGGAAACAGGATGCACCTGAGCTCAATTTCAAGTCTCATAGCAAAGGGTCTGAATACTTATGTAAATAAGGTATCTGTTTTTTTATTTTCAATACATTTGTAAACATTTCTAAAATCCTGTTTTTGCTTTGTCATTATGGGGTATTGTGTGTAGATTGTTGAGGGAAAAAAACGATTTAATACATTTTAGAATAAGGCTGTAACCTAACAAAATGTGGAAAAAGTAAAGCGGTCTGAATACTTTACGAAGGCACTGTATGGCTCATACAAACACATATATATAGTACATGCAAAAAAACACACTACACATACCACATAGAAATTATGGACAGTAATTTATGCATTTACATTTTAGTCATTTAGCAGACGCTCTTATCCAGCGCAATTAGGGTTAAGTGCCTTGCTCAAGGGCACAGACATATTTTTCACCTAGTCGGCTTGGGGATTCGAACCTTTCGTTTACTGGTCCAATGCTCTTAACCGCTAGGCTACCTACCGCCCATGCAGACAGACAGGAGTCACACACACACAAATACCTGGAAGAGGCTAATTAAGCACACATGAGAGCAGAGATTCTAATACTTTTATGTATGATAGAGTACATGATAGCAGATACATTAAGGAGAGAGATGTGAAGCCGGGGGGGGGGGGGGGGGGGGGGGGGGGGGGGGGGGGATATAGAGGAAGCCGAAAAAGAGTTAGAGAACCTGGAAGATAGAGAATGGAAGTGAGAGATAGTCAGAGGTAGATAGAAGGACATTAGAGAGAGAGGGGGATGTGCGTGACCCAATAATGTGTGACCCTTTATGAACCCTTGTATTTCCCTCAGTATGATGTTTGAGGCTCACAGAGACAGACACCAAACGGAGGATTCAGCCAATCAGGGGTCCAGCTGAATAAGCGTTCAGTTCATCATGTTAGGGCTTATTCCAATTATCAGTTTGGCTGTCAAGCAATGTTCCCAACCAAACTGATAGGATATTACTGTGTACATGACGTGTGAGACTGTGTCCAAGTGTGTCTGTGTCGTGTGTGTGTTTTCTTTCATAGGGCAGCACAGACTCACTTGGATCCAGACTGCCAGATGAAAAGTCCTCAAACGAGGAGCCACGGTTTACCGGTGTTCCTGCACAGACACTATCAGCATTAAAACCAATTGCGTGATCATCAACCATATAACATTAAGAGAAAAGATAACTGGCAGGGTTTGTGTGTGCTATATACAATGCTTATATAGTGAGTCAGATGCACTAGTGTGTGTGTGTGTGTGTGTGTGTGTATACCAGTGCTGTTGCTGCTGGCTGGGCTGCCATGAGTATACTCCTCCATCCCTCCGCTGGAGTACAGCCCATTCTCTCCTGCCTGTCGTCTCTCTGATGCTGTCCGTCTGAACATTCAGTTCACAGGGGGGAAATAATCAATAGACTCAACTATAATTACATAAAAGAGGCATGACCTTCCCCCTGGGGCGTGTCTAACCTGCCAGTGGCCTCGTGATAGGCCAGTTCCAGGAGTTCGGCGGAGGTGTGGGCGGGGTCTCTCTGCTCGCTGCCCTGCAGTTCAGCCATGTTCTGTCTGGTCTGGTGGTGGATCTGGATGGCCTCTCCCGACGGACCTGGAACACGTGAAAGATGTTCTGTACAGGAACGTATGCATTGTACCTGTATCATCATGACTGCCCTGTGCTTGTGATGCACTGATACTTGAATTATTTTATTTTTTACTTTGTCTCAAAATGTGTATCAGCCAATTAAAATCGTCAACGTAGTTGCACGTGATAAAATGCTACATGTTAGCTGTTACCATTATATAACATCGCACATTTAGCCCTATCCTAACCTGACCAGGTGGTTGTGATTATTTCCTGTAACAAATTCCGCATCAGCCTATCAAAGATCTTAGACTTTATATCCACCAACCAATGGCATTTCATAAAATAGGTCAACTCGGCCACCAGAAAGATAATGTAAACGCCCAAATGTTACTTTTGTTCCACTTGGTCTGTCACAAGTGTAGTGTGCCAATATTGCATGATGCATCCTTGACTAGGCTACTAACTACTAACGTTAGACAAAACTCTAAAGGCACCTTTTCGAATATATGACAAAATCCCAAGTTTTTCCTTATTCGTTTTATATAAATTTATGTGCTTTTACGGGAAAAAGATCAAGGAGGTCTATACAACTTTTAAGTTTATCGTCCATCAACAAAAAAATGTCAAAGAGCCTCATGGTCTTGTCAAATAGCTGTCATGTACCTCCATTACAAATCACTGCCAGGTTGCATACACCGCTAAACCGGTTAACTGTGAATTTGCGGGATACAGTAACCACGGGTTCGAGGCTCCCTCACGTCAAGCTTTATTGTTAAGGAAAAAACTGTTCACTGCTGGTCCTCGATGCTCGATTCAAATAACGCACTTTATTATTAGCAGTGTACTTGTCTATAAGGCTGAAGAAAGATGCAGCTCCTCGTTAAATGTATTCTTAATCTTAATTTTCGGGGTTCCCGAGTGGCGCAGCGGTCTAAGGCACTGCATCGCAGTACTTGAGGTGTCACTACAGCCCCGGGTTCGATCCCAGGCTGTGTCACAGACGGCCGTTACGGGGAGACCCATGAGGTGGGGCACAATTGGCCCAGCGTAATCCGGGTTAGGGGAGGGCCGGGCGCCTGCAAGTTGACTTCGGTCGCCAGCTGGACGGTGTTTCCTCCGACACATTGGTGCGGCTGGCTTCCGGTTAAGCGAGCAGTGTGTCAAGAAGCAGAGCGGCTTGGCAGGGTCGTGTTTCGAAGGACGCATGGCTCTCGACCTTCGCCTCTCCCGAGTCCATAGGGGAGTTGCAGCGATGGGACAAGACTGTAACTACCAATTGGATATCAGAAAAAGGGGTAAAAGTAAAAAATTGCTTTGGACAAAATTAAGAAACCACTGCAATCAGCATCTCTACATGTATGACAGCCATTCCATTCCAGTGTCTGTTGAATTCCAACACAGGCACACCTCATTCTATTGAATTAGGTACTGATTAGGTGATCACCTGAACCTAAACTTATTTAACAAGGAAAAGTATAAAAACCACTGCGGTGGTCATCACTATCCTCTTGCAATAGGACCAGCTGGATGGCAGAAACAGTGCTAATAGTACCTAAAAAGTAATATTAATCAAAAAATAACTATTGACCATGCCAAAAGAGTTGAAAAGGAAAGTTTTGAGAGAGGAAAAGAAGGGTTCAATTCTGTCTTTACTGGCATAGGGATACAGTGAGCGTCAGGTTGCTTCCATCCTTAAAATTTCAAAGACGGCGGTTCATAAGAAGAAGGTCAAGCAGTAGACATTGGGGACAACAAAGCTACAGACCGGCAGAGGGCGAAAACGACTCTCTACTGACCGGGATGACCGCCAACTCATTCGAATGTCACTCAACAACCGTAGGATGACATCAAGTGACCTACAAAAATAATGGCAAATGGCAGCTGGGGTGAAGTGCACGGCGAGGACGGTTCGAAACAGGCTCCTAGGGGCAGGGCTGAAGTCGTGCAAAGCTAGAAAAAAGCCCTTCATCAATGAGAAGCAAAGAAGAGCCAGGCTGAGGTTTGCAAAAGACCATAAGGATTGGACCGTAGACAACACCTGTTCGTCTAATGGTTAGACGGAGACCTGGAGAGGCCTACAAGCCACAGTGTCTCACACCCACTGTGAAATTTGGTGGAGGATCGTTGATGATCTGGGGGTGCATCAGCAAGGCTGGAACGGGCAGATTTGTCTTTGTGAAGGACGCATGAATCAAGCCACTTACAAGGTTGTCCTGGAAGAAAGCGTGCTTCCTTTTGCTCTGACATTGTTCCCCAACGCTGAGGATTGGTTTTTCCAGCAGGACAATGCGCCATGCCACACAGCCAGGTCAATCAAGGTGTGGATGGAGGACCACCAGATCAAGACCCTGTCATGGCCAGCCCAATCTCCAGACCTGAAGCCCATTGAAAACTTCTGGAATGTAATCAAGAGGAAGATGGATGGTCACAAGCCATCAAACAAAGCCGAGCTGCTTGAATTTTTGCGCCAGGAGTGGCATAAAGTCACCCAACATCAATGTGAAAGACTGGTGGAGAGCATGCCAAGACGCATGAAAGCTGTGATTGAAAATCAGGGTTATTCCACCAAATATTGATTTCTGAACTCTTCCTAAGTTAAAACATTAGTATTGTGTTGTTTAAAAATGAACATGAACTTATTTTCTTTGCATTATTCGAGGTCTGACAACAATGCATATTTACTGATATTTTGACCAGTTGTCATTTTCTGCAAATAAATGCTCTAAATGACAATATTTTTATTTGGAATTTGGGAGAAATGTTGTCAGTAGTTTATAGAATAAAACAAAAATGTTATTTTTACCCAAACACATACCTATAAATAGTAAAACCAGAGAAACGGATAATTTTGCAGTGGTCTCTTACTTTTTTCCAGAGCTGTTTATATATAAAATAAACATCTCAATTTTCTATGTGTTGGATGCACTTCCCTTCGCAACACACAATTCATGTAATTCTACATTTCAAAGGAAAAAATACTATATCTCACCTGGGATTCCAACTTGCCGCAAACAGCGAAAATTACCAGGAGCTAAGCTCAATACACTGTGAGCTAATCGTCCAGTTTGATTAGCAAATGGTGCCGTTTGACATCTGTTAAGGACACTCTTATGAAAAAGTGTTCTATCACATCCAACTACGTCAACATTTGTAATTGGCTGATGCAGAATTACAGAAAATAATAATGTCCAGCTGGTGTTGTTAGAATAGAGCCAAGTGTGCCATGTTATTTGATGGGAAAAGCTAACATTTAGCGTTCTATCACGTGCAACTACGTCAAAGATTTTAATTGGCTGATGCAGATTTTGAGACAAAGAACAAGTTTAAGCTTAAACTGCCGGGTTTGAGTGTGTGTCTAATTCTAAGTGGATGAAGGTGTGTGATTGTGTTTGTGTCCTCACCCACGGGGAAGGTGTGCATCCAGCGCCTGCGGTTGGAGGTGAGCTTCATGGGCATGCGTGAGGGGGCGAAGGGGTTAATGAGAGCCCTCTGAGGGGTGTAGCCCCCTGGGCGCACATGGAGGGTGGACTCAGCACTCCCCACCGTGAACCTCCCCGGAGCACTGGAGTCCCGCTGAGACTCCATCATCTTCTCCAACAACTCTTAGAGTGAGAGCGAGAGAGAGAGAGAGAGAGAGAAAGAGAGTCAGACACACATTAGCACAGTTGTAATAAACACTCTTATGGCTACTCATCACATGATTAGATAACATACCCTCACGATTAACCATCACACTAATCACTCATACAAGGGGTTTGTTTCCTGGTACCTCTGGTGCTGGTGTAGCCCAGGGAGCTGCTGACCTCTCCGTACTGGGCTGGGGGCAGACGGGGGATCAGCAGGATGTTGGACACCTTGCCCAGACTGTCATCAGAGGCCAGGCTCCGCTGCTCATCAGGCCCACAAGAGCGGACAGGGGGGGACACACCGCCCCCTATACCCCCACTCACGTCCGCAGACCCCCAGCTTCTCCTTCCACTCACTTCCCTCTCTCGGACCACCCTAGAAGACCGTCGCACTGAGTTACTCCTATACTTACTCCTAACCATATTCATTGGAAGTGTGTCATAAATGTGTGGTTGTGTTTGAGCAGCACCTGAAGTTGGTGCTCCTCTGGGCTCGGGACGGCCCGGGGAGTCTGAACACCTGTGCATCATGGGCATCGTAGTCCACCTGGATGGGAAGGCTGTTCTCGTCCTTCGGAGCCCCAAGAGCTGAGAGAGACAATGAAGAAGAGGCACAGTTCGTTAGAGAAGAAAAAGGAATGATAGTTCATCGCAGAGGGGGAATTAACCAATAAAGACATTCTCTCTTACTGTGCTCTTTGTTGTTCTTGAATTTTTCTGCATGGAGCTAGATATAAACAGAAGGAGAAAATAAATGACAGGTGAGCTAAAAGCCTAATGAAAAATATTGGCTGAATAGTAGGTGCATCTGGATTAGGTCTATATACTGTAAGTACCTTGCGTCCTGCCAGCTTGATGCGAGGAGTAAAGCAGCTGCAGGAGTTCTGGCTTTTGGATGTGTAAAAGCTGTGGTCATGGTAACAGAAAGAGATAACATTAGAAGAACATCCCCTTCTCTAAACCCAGGGATATTCAACAGTCTCCCATCCTGAAATATATTAACCTCGCTCACCCATATTACCCTTCCTCTGTCCTCCTCCATCTCTCCATCTTTATCCGTAAGCTGTGTCTGTCTGTTCTTACCTGTGGTTGATCCAGTGTGGCAGGTTGTAGTCATCCCCCAGTCGTGAGTCTCCAGGCACTGTCCTGTTGTGCAGCTTGTCAACATCACAGGGAAAACATACAGTAACCATCCAATACAAAATACAAAGATAGTGACATATTGTAGAAAATCATAACTCAGAAACTGGTAGCAATAACATACATTCTGTATCTGCACATCAGACCTGGGCAGAAAATAGTTGTATTTTGTAGTTTATTTAAAAATACCAACTTTTCAAATACTCAAGGTAGTCAAATATAGTTTATATAGTTTCAACTTGATGGGTTCTGACTTCTAAACTTGTTACTGAGGGAGAGAGGGGAATGCAGAAAGTTTACATTGTGTCAGAACATGTTATTGTTAGATATTTGGTATCCTATGGAGTGGAGAAGGGCCACAGTCTGGTTTCAGTTGTTGGGTTGTAATATGAAATACTTTCTACACCAGAAGTTCATGGTTATATGTAGGAGGAATGTATATGGTGGGGTCACTGATAAGGGTGGATAGCTGTGGATTAGTGAGGAATGGGGGCCGAGGTCAGGTCAGGTCAGATGAAGTGAGAAAGAACAGGCATCACTAAAGTCCTGTCTAGCAACAGAGCTGTATTGGCTGTCAGATGTGTAAGGAGGAGACTCAGCATAGGAGGAAGGTTTAAATACCAGTGCTTGTGTAAATATGTCTTTGTCTTATGCAGCTGTGTGACCCAGTGGGTGAATAAACTTGGTTTGAGCTTCACTAGTCGTCCGTGTGTTTTACTCTGTTTATTAAGAATCTAACAAACTAAAAGGCAACTATTTTCTTTGATATTCAAATACAGGTCTCAGAAAACCAAATAATATTTGAAGGTATTTGAAAATATGCAAGTTATTTGAAAACTTGCCGAATATTCGATGAAGAACCAAAAACTACAACAGTTAGTTGAATTAGTCTAGATATATGACCATAAACACATGGTTTGGATGGCTCTTAGATATGAATATAGCCTATAGGCTAGAATTAAATACATGGAGGACATGGAATCACCTCAACATTAGAGTAGACAACTTTTGCAGTTTCAAAATGACAAAGGTAACTAAGGTAATACAGTAACACTTGAGATCAAGTTCTTATACATGTGTAGTAACTTATTGATTATTACAATAGCAATGTTGTTATAAAGGACTTTGGAAATAGCTTTATAATTTTATAATAATGGAGTTATTTCATAATTGGAATAAGGAACAGTAACTATTCCTTGTGTACAGTAGTTACAAAACTCAGCTCATTGCAATGCAAGTATTATGTATGCTAATAAAATGTTGCTCAAAAAGTAATTCGATTTTTATTAAAACAGGCACAAGAACAGTTTAATGTTAAGTGTTAATGAGGATCCTAATAGTAACAAAATATGGCTATTACGTGTCAAAAGGAAACTAAATACCCCAAACTGCCTTCTACTTTTTTTTAAGTAGTTGCTTTCTGAGATCTGTATTCAAATAGTTTTGGAAAGTAGTCACTTTCTGAGATCTGTATTCAAATAGTTTTGGAAAGTAGTCACTTTCTGAGATCTGTATTCAAATAGATGTGGTCACCGCCAAAGTAACTATTTGTTCCCCTTCCACAAACATAGTTAAAACAGGTCTGCTGCACATCGACTTGAGTCCAAATAATTTGGTCAAAATGAGGATTGAGGCATTTCCAGGGGTTAAAGAAAAAGTTAATCCATGACTGAAACTTAAGTCGATCTCAGGAAAACTTTTTGGCTCGAGGGCCACATCGGGATTTCGAAATTCAGCGGACGGTCGGACAGATTTTTTTATGACAGATTTCTTTGTCAAAATCGATTTGTGGCCCAGAAAAAGGGCAGTTATTTGAAAATATATAGGTCCAGTATCATTTCTACATACTTTCTATCTAGTTTTAGACATTCAAGTGTGGCCTGGAGCTTTTTTAAAAACTAAAATAATAACCCCCCACAAAATAATACAATTGTTTACTAAAACCCTCATGCGTCATCCATATTACAAAAATCCATTGCAGTGACGGAGAACTTTAACCTCTGAGTTTTTATTTGGGATCAGTCCGTCTTACCTTAAATAGAGGCACTGCATGGAGTGGCTGCTCTCCCATACACACCAAGTCTACACCGATACCTGGCAAAGGAAAACAAATATGTCAGAATAATCACTTTAGTCCTATCACCTTCTAATAGCAAATAATTTATGACCATCAATAATGTTTATGACTGTCCATCCCATTACTGTTGTTATAAATACCTACCGTTGTCAATCATGCGCTGCTTGGTTAGGATCATGAGCAGTCGGTCCACTTCAAACACTCCCACCCCCGGGGTGATGACCACAGACATCTGACCGGTGCGGTCAAAGTTGCGGTTTATGTAGTGCTTGTCAAAGACTGTGAAAGGCACAGGACCGTATTTTTGAAAGTCATAAGGAGACAAGATGATATGTGGCTCATTATGAACACTGAGCATCACACAAAATAATGAGCAGATGATGCACTCACCGTTAAAAGACAGGTTAATGGCCTCAAGGTAATTCCCCTGAGCAGCAGTAGAGTTATGGCCGGAGGGAAAACCAACTATCACAAAAATAACCACATGTACACAAGTAAACATAAATAACATAGTAATGTTCATAAGTGCCCTGCTCATAACGCTAAATGTACAAAGTTGTGTCTGATTCATTACCTGCTTCTTTTAGCCGCACCAAGACAGGATACTGGATGAAGAGCTTCTTGATGGTGACCAGTAGAGAGACCCACTCATCACGTCGCTCAGTCTGAGCCACTACCCTACAAAGACACAACACAAGAGAAACAGTCAGTCAGACCTTTGACAGATGAGGGAAAGAGTTAAACTGGTAACTATAACTGAAATCAGTAGACATACACAAATGGACATCATGAAGATATAATTGAAATAGACTTAAATAATGAGGCTGAAAGACAGTAAACCTGTAGAAATCTTCATAGAAACGGCCCTCGTGGTCCTGTCTGATGGAACCTCTCAAGATCTCAGGAAACTCCTCTATAGAAGATGGGAAGAAAAACAGAACATCTAAATCTAATAATAGCTAGCATGTGATATTCCTGATGTCTCATGGAAACAGGAAGAAAAGGCTCACCCAAGGTTTTAGCATTGTAGAAAGTGCGCGAGAAAAGCACCACTGTCACTTCATGGCTGCAATACCTCTCCTGAAAAAGTCAACAAAATCTCACCAGGATAAATACCTTAAGAACTTTTGCATCGTTTACTGCCTAGAAATGTGTTGATTACATTTATTTAATGGGTTTATGCATTGCAAGGGTGACACAGAACGTAAGTCACAAACCTTCCATTTGGCAAAAAGATCAGACAAAAAACCACTGACTGCCTTCTCAAAGTAGAGATCCCCTGAAAACAAATGAAAACTTTATTTTCCTCCTCATTGACAAATTACAGGGCTCATTGCTCAATGCCAATCTCAGTAAACCACCCACTCACTCAAGACAGAAGAAACACTCAGACTCAATCTCACACACTCAACAATACACATCTAGCCAAACCAACACCTGATAACCTGGGATAGAAGAAAAACTAACCGTAGATATCAAAGTCCCACATTTCACAGCTCATCTGAATGAAGATGTACACCATGGCAGAGGTCGACCTGAACACCACCTGCATTAAACATCACAAATATGAAAAGCAATCTATCGTAGGGAGACTGGAGAACATATTTATTAACTACATACAGTGTCTACATTTCCAGTAGTCTACCTGCAATATCTTAATAGGCAGTTATTTTTTAAGGTGACATTGCTTACCCTGGTGTCTTCACTGATGTATCCACAGGTGACCTTCTCTCCTTTCACCCATAACTCACTGGCCTGGGCTCTGAAGGTAACAGAGAGAGGATACAAAGTAAGGGACAGAAACTCACATAATAACATAAAACATATTTACACATGCAATAACATATCTATTATTATTAATGCGTTAAGAATGGTATTGCATACCTGATCCCTGCAAATTCCACTTTCTGGGTCACATAAGCACAGGTGCTCACCTAAGATAAATAGAGTGTTAATGAAGTTCTACTAGGCACAGATTCAAGAAGTAGGCTACCTTAACTAAACACCGATAGCATATACACAGGTATTCAAACAGACTCCCTCTCACCAGACTCTTCTTCAGTCGCCACATGTCTCCCCTTCCAATGTATTGGTCTTTGAAGGTGAGCTCTACGAGGTCCAGAGTTACATCCTACCACAGAAATCCATATACAGCATGAGCTCTCTTTAAAAATCAGCTTGAAAATGCAGAGTACTGTAATTCAATCAAATCCTATTGGAAATATGATGCATAGAAAACACACCTTCGGATCCACAATGTTAACGATTACATCCTGGTATGCCCGGAGTTTGAAGGCTTGCGCCACCGTCTGGTCCACACTGATTGTCTCTAGAGGAGAGAATGAATACATTGTATTTAGGCTACAGATTTACTGATGAGCTTCCCTTCTGCATGTCATTTACAATCAAATGGGATATTGATCAGTTCATTAGCTAGGTTCTATAGGGGCTTCCCCTAAAACTGGAGGAAATGAGTCATGCTTTACCTTTCTGGAGGTCTTCTTTGAGACTCTTCACCTGCAGCAAGAGAGGGCTGTTGGAAAAAGAGGAGAAACTATCATAACTTTTGACCAATATATAGACCCAGGCAAAATATAACTTCTTGGTATGCATGCTCACCTGTATTCATCTGTGGGGTGTGCAATCTCAATTATGTCCCCAAGGGAAACTTGAGGGAACACCTTGGGGTTCACCACCAGCTCATCATCTGTGCATCAGGAGGGGTTATTGTCAACGACAGAACAGCATTCATTTCACCCAACACAAGATAAAACACTGTGAACCGTTTTACACCGTCACTGAAAGGAATTCACTCACCACTGCCTCCAAAGCCTTTCTTGTGCACAACAAGTTTGTATGTTTTATTCTTCATGATGAACAAGCTAAAGAAGGCACACCGAATGTATGTTACCAAGAATGCATGTTATCTAACCATTCAGTTACACCCAGCTCTATCAAACCTAAGGAACGAGAAGTTCTGTAGACACAAATAACACCCTATTAGTAACACAGAGCTCGCACGCATGGGACACCACTGACTTGACTGTCTCGTGATTGTGGCTAACGCGTTAGCTGCTACAGCTAACTTGTGAGCTTTTAGCAAGTTACCTCTACCTGTAAACACAACGCGAGACAATGCATACAGAAGTTGATTGAAGTTCAGACCTGCCTTTACAACGCATTAACATGAAAAATAGGTTAAACGTTATTGAAATTATACGCTTCGTACTTTGTTGTTTTTACTGCACAGCGATGGTTCAACTTCCTGCAAAACATGGAGTATACCCGCCCACAGAATATAAAGCCATTCAGCGATTGGTTTCTTGTCAGTTGCTTACGCTAGCTGATTGGGTGTTCACAATACAACGTACCAAGTGGTACTGGTTACTGGGTGTGCTTCATTTTCATTCCCGTGCACTCTAGCACAGATTATCTATTATATTAACCACATACTCTAGTGGCCGCTCTAACAATGAAAGGAATGTCTTCAACAATGGATGACAGTCGGGAGGAGGCAAGACCATTCTAGACCAAGGTGAGACCATTCTAGACAATGTGAGGGCAGATACTCGTGTGCAAAACAGGTATAACGGTTTCCACTAGTTACCACAGCCAAAAGTCAAAATTGGCTATATCGTAAAAATGCATGAAAATTTGATTTTTGATCTTTATTGAAGGTTAGGGTTAGGCATAAGGTTAGCAGTGTGGTTAAGGTTAGGCTTAAAATCACATTTTAAGAAGAGAAACTGTAGAAATAGACGGGGGTTATGACTTTGTGGCTGTGGTAACTAGTGACGATAAGGCACAACTCCTGTATAACGTGTTTTTTCGTCCTACTTATATCAATACACTCGTAACAACCTAATAATTACGAAACTTCTATTTGATCAAATAAGCCACAAGTAGCAAATAAGCCATTACATTTTTTGTTAACCAAATTCGACACTCTCATTGACCTCCATAAAAAAAACGCCACAAAAACGCCATCGCTTTCGCTTCCCCTCTTCCTCTCTGACTCTAGTCTCCCTTGGCCAGGTATGGAACTCAATCGGGATCGGGATTTCGAAATTAGTTTTTTCTGTTGTTGTGCCAGTCACTGATAGTCACTCAATTAGCCCATGTCAACAAAAAATGTATAGATCGGTAAGTTAGCCAGCTATCTAAACTTGTAGTAATCAAGGTCGAATTACAGCCCCCATTGATTTTGTTAGTCAGTCTCACTCAGATATCAGATAAAAAACAGCAAACATTTCTCTCCACCCTATGGCATAATGTGTAGAAAAGCAGGAAATTAGCTGTAAAACTGCTAATTTCCTCTCCGCCCCATAGCAAAATTAGTAGAATTGCATTAAATTAAATCTAAAACTTAAAAATGTGCATGATATTAGTTATAAACTTGCTAAATCTTCTCTCCACCCCATGGCAAAATGTGTAGAATTACAGCAAAATAGCTTTAAAACAGCAAACATTTCTCCACACCCCATGGCAAAAAGTGTAGAATTGCACGAAATTAACTCTAAAACGTTTAAACAATCTCACTGGGGGGCAACTATGGCCCCTCATGATGACTTCAGATTTTTGTGGCCCCCACCCACATCAAAGTTGCCCATTCCTGACCTAGGCGGACGGGTTGCCTCCAATGGTTGCTTCCTACAATGTTAACACTGGTCAGTTCTACTTCATACCTTTCAGATCGTCAGTATGGTTGAAAGGATGGATTATATCCTTCGCGCTCCGCGCAGGTCGAGTAATAATAACAACAAAGTCACGCCGGTGACGTGACAGCGTGGGGAGGACGTGCCCGCAGTTCATATAAAACCGTACGTCAGACCACGCACTGTCTCTAACCGGTGCCCCTGCACATTGACTCTGTACCGGTACCCCCTGTATATAGCCTCCCTACTGTTATTTTATTTTACTGCTGCTCTTTAATTATAATATATATTTTTTTTTTTACTTAACTTATTTTTTTTGTCTTAAAAACTGCATTGTTGGTTAAGGACTTGTAAGTAAGCATTTCACTGTAATGTCTACACCTGTTGTAATTTGATTTGATTTGATTTGATTTCTTCTCGCAAAGTTGGCTTAGCCGTATCGCGCAAGTTGACTGCTCTGCGGCTCCCACTTGAAAAAATGCATTTAAAAAATCAAAAAATACCATACCATACCATCTAACCCTAAACTTACTAAAAACCCACCACAATACTCCACTATTTAAAACTATCTAGTCCTTCCCAACATCTTTGCAGGAACAAGGCGTTTTTATGCACTCCGGGCGCGGCCAAATTAAGAAGTAGATGACAGCGCGTTACAGAGCGACCAAAACAAAGATCTACACACATGCAAGAGGCATTTCACACTCGATACCAAAACATGGATTTAATATAATTCTGAATTTTGTCTGGTTTTTGGAGAACCACCTGCAAATGGACACAGTCATTTATAAAATAGAAGAAAGCATCGCCAAGCACAGGGTTAGTTGAAAAATTCATTGCTAAACTTAACACTAGCGAAGCTGTAAAGCAGCATCACATATCGTTGTTACACAATTTTGTAGCTTATTGAACCTGTCCTCGATTGAGGTAATTCTTTAAGTTCATGCATATTTATTTCTTGAATTTACTGTTTGTGTTAATGTAGTAGCTAACTGTTCTTTCTTTCCTTTAATGCTAAATTATTTTGTCACTGTTTTTGGTCAGTTGTGAACTCGGTCAGAAACTAGCTCTGTAGCACATTACAAAGTGAGAACCATCCAGTGAAAGGAACTGAGATATTTAGATATTATATGAAACTTTATTTTGATTAGGGGTAATTTAACATGTACATTTACGTCATTTAGCAGACGCTCTTATCCAGAGCGACTTACAAATTGGTGCATTCACCTTATAGCCAGTGGGATAACCGCTTTACAATATATATATATATATATATATTTTTTTGTAATGTCATCCACAAGCCAGCTCTGTCTCTGTGCAGAAACAATTCAGCCTAGGAATGAGGTTAGGAGTAATAACAGAAATATGCAATAAAAATATTGGAAATGTATCTGCAGAATGTTAGGGCTAGACAATACATAATGATAATACAGTATATAACAAACTATCAAACCACTTCTTCTACAAATGAGTCTGAAATGCACCCTAATTGCAAAAATTTAACAAAATACTGAATTCATAAAATACTTTACAATGCATAAAATAAAGGTAATTGATGACCGGATTAAAATCAAGGAAGTTGATACATTACGTCCCAAAATGGCAGTACTAAATGATGATTATAAAGGCTGTAGACTCTTGTGTGTCCACGTATGAATGATACCAGTGAAGACTGAGAAATAAGAGGCACATGTCAGACACAGCTTTTTCCACTTTTAAAATCCACTATTTCAACATCTTTCTTCACATCTCGCTCTCCTTCCTTCTCTTGACCCCTACTTCAAGTCCTTTTCTCTTTTCTCAGCAGCAATTCGTATTCACTGCTTTGGACTGGGGCTCCTCCAGGTTGGCTCTGTCAGATTCTAAAGAGAAAGATACCAAGAACATCAATAAAGAGTACTGCGACAAGTCCAGTCTGAGAGATGAGCAACTGACAACATATTTATTCCCAAAGCTTAAAAAAAAAAAAGTCAATTATTTTCCTCTCTATGTATTTCCCTCCATCTACACTCTCTGACCCAAACCCCTCTGTTGTCCTTTGAGTTGTCTCTTACTGATGCTGTCTCCTCCTCCTATTCTAGTGGAGGTGATCCCTCTCTCCATGTCCTTCAGTATAGAGTCTTCAAAGGCCAGAGATGCCACCCGGAAGAAGAACCCCTGCACATTCTCCCCTACAACACAGTCACACCGACAGTGAGTGTCATTATCACATCATCAAAATATTTACAGTAACAAGACCAGCAGCTGCATTGATTGCAAATGACCCAGACATACACTACCGTTCAAAAGTTTGGGGTCACTTAGAAATGTCCTTGTTTTCGAAAGAAAAGCAATTTTTTTGTCCATTAAAATAACATCAAATTGATCAGAAATACAGTGTAGACATTGTTAATGTTGTAAATGGCTATTGTAGCTGGAAACTGCTGATTTTTAATGGAATATCTACATAGGCGTACAGAGGCCCATTATCAGCAACCATCAGTCCTGTGTTCCAATGGCACGTTGTGTTTGCTAATCCAAGTTTATCATTTTAAAAGCATTAGAAAACCCTTTTGCAATTATGTTAGCACAGCTGAAAACTGTTGTGCTGATTAAAGAAGCAATAAAACTGCCCTTCTTGAGACTAGTTGAGTATCTGGAGCATCAGCAATTGTGGGTTCGATTACAGGCTCAAAATGGCCAGAAACAAATAACTTTCTTCTGAAACTCGTCAGTCTTTTCTTGTTCTGAGAAATGAAGGCTATTCCATGCGAAAAATTGCCAAGAAACTGAAAATCTCGTACAATGCTGTGTACTACTCCCTTCAAAGAACAGCGCAAACTGGCTCTAACCAGAATAGAAAGAGGAGTGGGAGGCCCCGGTGCACAACTGAGCAAGAGGACAAATACATTAGAGTGTCTACTTTGAGCAACAGGCACCTCGCAGGTCCTCAACTGGCAGCTTCATTAAATAGTACCTGCAAAACACCAGTATCAACGTCAACAGTGAAGAGGCGACTCTGGGATGCTCTCCTTCTAGGCAGAGTTGCAAAGAAAAAGCCATATCTCAGACTGCCCATCTTAATCTTTTCTTTTTATTGGCCAGTCTGAGATATTGCTTTTTCTTTGCAACTCTGCCTAGAAGGTCAGCATCCCGGAGTCGCCTCTTCACTGTTGACGTTGAGACTGGTGTTTTGCGGGTACTATTTAATGAAGCTGCCAGTTGAAGACCTGTGAGGCGTCTGTTTCTCATGTATTTGTCCTCTTGCTCAGTTGTGCACTGGGGCCTCCCACTCCTTTTTCTATTCTGGTTAGAGCCAGTTTGCGCTGTTCTTTGAAGGGAGTAGTACACAGCGTTGTACGAGATCTTCAGTTTCTTGGCAATTTCTCGCATGGAATAGCCTTCATTTCTCAGAACAAGAATAGACTGACGAGTTTCAGAAGAAAGTTATTTGTTTCTGGCCATTTTGAGCCTGTAATCGAACCCACAATTGCTGATGTGTCACACCCTGGCTCTGGGACTCTATATGTTGAGCCAGGGTGTGTTCATTCTATGTGGTATATTTCTATGTTGGGGGTTCTAGTTCTTCTGTTTCTTTGTTGGCCTGAGTGACTCCCAATCAGAGGCAACGAGTGTCAGCTGTGGCTGGTTGTCTCTGATTGGGAGCCATATTTAAACTGTCTGTTTTCCCTTGGTGTTTGTGGGTTTTTGTTCCAGTTGGTCATTGTTACCTAGGACGTTACGAGTCGTTTTGTTGTTTTGTGTCGTGTGTGCACTTTAACTAATTAAAGTATGTTCGCTCAACACGCTGCGCCTTGGTCTATTCAATATGACGATCGTGACAGAAAAACCCACCATACCAGGACCAAGCAGCGTGTCCAGGAGCAGGCAGCTTGGACGTGGGAGCAGATTTTGGACGGGCAGGGGTCCTGGACCTGGGAGGAAATCCTGGCCGGGATGGATCGCCGGCCATGGAGTGAGACTGTAGAGAGGCGACGGAGAGAGGAGCAACGGCGTGATCAGGGTCGTCGTCGGACGGTCGAGAGGCAACCCCAAATAATTTTTAGGGGGGGGCACAGGGCATGGACGACGGGGCTGACGGAGGCAGAAAAGGGGCGTATTCAGAAGGCCACCAGGTTACGGGGGCCACTGGTCAAAGTAGAGCCAGTGGTGTGTGTCCCCAGTACGGTCCGGCCTGTTACGGCCCCTCGCACCAAATGGACGGTGTGCGTCGCCAGCCCGGTCCGGCCTGTCCCTGCTCCTCGCACCAAGCCTACGGTGTGCGTCGCCAGCCCGGTCCGGCCTGTCCCTGCTCCACGCACCAAGCCAGGGGTGCGCATCGTCAGCCCGGCCCGGCCTGTTCCTGCCACTCGCACCAAGCCAGGGGTGCGAGTCGTCAGCCTGGTCCGGCCCGTTCCTACTCCACGCACCAAGCCAGGGGTGCGAGTCGTCAGCCTGGTTCGGCCCGTTCCTACTCCACGCACCAAGCCAGGGGTGCGAGTCGTCAGCCCGGTCCGGCCCGTTCCGGCTCCACGCACCAAGCCAGGGGTGCGCGTCGTCAGTCCAGCACAACCCGTGCCTGGGTCACCGGTCCCTGGTAAGGTACCGGTCAACGGCTCCACTACGGAGCTGAAGCTAACCGCTCCTGCTACGTCCAGTTCAGCTCCAGCCAGCGGGGCCAGACCGGACCAGGGGCGCTATGGGGGGTTTATTGGAGGGTGGTGGGAAAGGCCGGAGCCAGAACCACCGCCGAGGAGGAATGCCCACCCAGCCCTCCCCTGTTTTGTTCTAGTGGAGGCGCGGTCGCAGGGGGGGGTACTGTCACACCCTGGCTCTGGGACTCTATATGTTGAGCCAGGGTGTGTTCATTCTATGTGGTATATTTCTATGTTGGGGGTTCTAGTTCTTCTGTTTCTTTGTTGGCCTGAGTGACTCCCAATCAGAGGCAACGAGTGTCAGCTGTGGCTGGTTGTCTCTGATTGGGAGCCATATTTAAACTGTCTGTTTTCCCTTGGTGTTTGTGGGTTTTTGTTCCAGTTGGTCATTGTTACCTAGGACGTTACGAGTCGTTTTGTTGTTTTGTGTCGTGTGTGCACTTTAACTAATTAAAGTATGTTCGCTCAACACGCTGCGCCTTGGTCCTCCTCTATGTATGACGATCGTGACATGATGCTCCAGATACTCAACTAGTCTCAAGAAGGGCAGTTTTATTGCTTCTTTAATCAGCACAACAGTTTTCAGCTGTGCTAACATAATTGCAAAAGGGTTTTCTAATGATCAATTAGCCTTTTAAAATGATAAACTTGGATTAGCAAACACAACGTGCCATTGGAACACAGGACTGATGGTTGCTGATAATGGGCCTCTGTACGCCTATGTAGATATTCCATTAAAAATCTGCCGTTTCCAGCTACAATAGCCATTTACAACATTTACAATGTCTACACTGTATCTCTGATCAATTTGATGTTATTTTAATGGACAAAAAAATTGCTTTTCTTTCGAAAACAATAACATTTCTAAGTGACCCCAAACTTTTTAACTGTAGTGTAATTCCCACACTCCATATACAGTGAAACAGTTTAACCTCTGATTACACAATAAGCACATTGCACATCTGGAGCCATCTCTATGTAATTATCTTGTGGTCTCTAAAACCACAGCTATGCTAATGTCAACATGAACATCACAATGAAGTCATGGTGTCATGTTATAATAGGGGTCTTTGCTCCGGTCTGTACCTGTCTTGGCCGAAACACACCAAAACTCAGCTTTCATTTCAGTTGCCATCTTGACGGCATCTCTCTCAGTCCTCTTGCGCTCCTCTGGAGCCTTGGGCACAGAGAGAGAAAAGATTCAGCAAAAGCATAGAAAGGAGCCAAAAGACAGAGCTAGCGTGATATGGTTCTTCATTACGGATATGACAAAAGCATATTATACACCTACAGTGGGGAGAACAAGTATTTGATACACTGCCGATTTTGCAGGTTTTCCTACTTACAAAGCATGTAGAGGTCTGTAATTTTTATCATAGGTACACTTCAACTGTGAGAGACGGAATCTAAAACAAAAATCCAGAAAATCACATTGTATGATTTTTAAGTAATTAATTTACATTTTATTGCACATCAGAAAAGCAGAACTATTACGGAGCCACTCCTTAGTTGCCCTGGCTGTGTGTTTCGGGTCGTTGTCATGCTGGAAGACCCAGACACGACCCATCTTCAATGCTCTTACTGAGGGAAGGAGGTTGTTGGCCAAGATCTCGAGATACATGGCCCCATCCATCCTCCCCTCAATATGGTGCAGTCGTCCTGTCCCCTTTGCAGAAAAGCATCCCCAAAGAATGATGTTTCCACCTCCATGCTTCACGGTTGGGATGGTGTTCTTGGGGTTGTACTCATCCATCTTCTTCCTCCAAACACGGCGAGTGGAGTGTAGACCAAAAAGCTCTATTTTTGTCTCATCAGACCACATGACCTTCTCCCATTCCTCCTCTGGATCATCCAGATGGTCATTGGCAAACTTCAGACGGGCCTGGACATGCGCTGGCTTGAGCAGGGGGACCTTGCGTGCGCTGCAGGATTTTAATCCATGACGGCATAGTGTGTTACTAATGGTTTTCTTTGAGACTGTGGTCCCAGCTCTCTTCAGGTCATTGACCAGGTCCTGCCGTGTAGTTCTGGGCTGATCCCTCACCTTCCTCATGATCATTGATGCCCCACGAGGTGAGATCTTGCATGGAGCCCCAGACCGAGGGTGATTGACCGTCATCTTGAACTTCTTCCATTTTCTAATAATTGCGCCAACAAGTTGTTGCCTTCTCACCAAGCTGCTTGCCTATTGTCCTGTAGCCCATCCCAGCCTTATGCAGGTCTACAATTTTATCCCTGATGTCCTTACACAGCTCTCTGGTCTTGGCCATTGTGGAGAGGTTGGAGTCTGTTTGATTGAGTGTGTGGACAGGTGTCTTTTATACAGGTAACGAGTTCAAACAGGTGCAGTTAATACAGGTAATGAGTGGAGAACAGGAGGGCTTCTTAAAGAAAAACTAACAGGTCTGTGAGAGCCGGAATTCTTACTGGTTGGTAGGTGATCAAATACTTATATCATGCAATAAAATGTAAATTAATTACTTAAAAATCATACAATGTGATTTTCTGGATTTTTGTTTTAGATTCCGTCTCTCACAGTTGAAGTGTACCTATGATAAAAAATTACAGACCTCTACATGCTTTGTAAGTAGGAAAACCTGCAAAATCGGCAGTGTATCAAATACTTGTTCTCCCCACTGTATGTGTGCCTATCTACAATATCTATTTACAGTAGCCTATCTATCTGTCAGGAACCATGTACATGTTTGTGCACTCACAAGAAGGTCACTCTTGGTTCCGACCAGGAAAACAGAACAGGAGCCAGGTTCATTCTCCCTCATGGCCTCATCTAACCACTGCCTGTGAGAGATAAAGAGACATTTCATTTGAGAGGACCTTTGATTGTTCTGATTTATCTTTGTGCTCGCTCTTGATTTTATAATCTATTAAATAAACCTACCATGTGTGCTCCAAGGTCTTAATGTCTGCCATGTCAAATACTGTGATTATCACTGTAATAAAAACACAGAGGCTTGGATACAGCAACAGTGAACTCCTCAGGGTTTCCATATTCTACAATGGCTGCGTTTACACAGGCAGCCCAATTCTGATATTTTTTTCACTAATTGGTCTTTTGACCAATCACATCAGATCTTTTCACATCAGATCTTTTTCAGAGCTGATCTGATTGGTCAAAAGACCAATTAGAGGAAAAAATATCAGAATAGGGCTGCCTGTGTTAACGTAGCCAAAGGCATCTCACTGGCTGTCTCTGTCTTACCCTGAGCTCCTCTGTAGTATGCTGAAGCGATACATTTGAATTTTTCCTGGCCAGCTGTGTCCCAGCTATGTAGAGAAAGAGAAGGAAAAACAATCACCTTTGAATACAAGTAAAGAATCACAAGTCTCTAATCAAATAATAAAGCCAATAATCAAACTCAAACCAGAGCATGACCCTCACTCACATCTGAAGGGAGAATGGAGCTCCTGAGAGCTCAAACCTCTCAATCTCAAAGTCCACTCCTATCGTGGCCTTGTAGTCTCTGTCAAATACATCTTTGCAGAACCTGAAAGTGCAGCACAGAATATACAAACATGTTAGGAGGCTGTTTACCACCTAAAAGGAAGATGATATAGCAGCCAGGTCGCAAGCTGAATCCTTTACCGGTTGATTAGGCAGGTCTTGCCCACATTAAGGTCACCAACAACCACTGCTTTGGACATCTTCAGTCTGTCACATCTTCAAAGGAAATATTTAACAGCTAAATCCACAGTTGCTTTTCCAGATAAATCCAATACCAATCAATCAGTGAATCAGTCAATGAATCAATCAATTCATCTAACCAGGCAACTCACCCCTGATGCCTGTCAGATCTGTCTTTACAGGCAGCCTTAGCCTGAGCATCCCAGTCCTCCTTAATCTGCAGACAGGCCTGTGGAGTATAACACTGGAAACAACAGACATCACTCACTGATGTACAATCACACAGAAGAGTTTAAATGCATTGTTTGGTATCTGACATACTGAAAGCATTTTTACCAGTCTACGAAGTCTTGCTGTTCCAGTTATTCCTGCTGACATTACTGTTAAAGCTCTTCTCATATCCAGGCTTGAAAAATGTCACTCAAACTCCCCTGAACATTTAATTTAATCTACTTTTGAAAAGGCACCAAGAGACTGTGTGGGGAAAAGAGCTAAATCCTTGCGTATTAGGAATACAGTATGTCTGCCACATCCTCTGAAGCTTTTGCAGCCCTGGCAATTTACGTCTTCACTACTTATTTGATTTGATTTGACAATTTAAAATACATCAAATGTTACAGGCAACGGATACATATGCCAAAATTGTCAAGGATACATACAGTTGAGGTCGGAAGTTTACATACACTTAGGTTGGAGTTATTAAAAATTGTTTTTCAACCACTCCACAAATTTCTTGTTAACAAACTATAGTTTTGTCAAGTCGGTTAGGACATCTACTTTGTGCATGACACAAGTAATTTTTCCAACAATTGTTTACAGACAGATTATTTCACTTATAATGCACTGTATCACAATTCCAGTGGGTCAGAAAGTTTACATACACTAAATTGACTGTGCCTTTAAACAGCTTGGAAAATTCCAGAAAATTATGTCATGGCTTTAGAAGCTTCTGATAGGCTAATTGACATCATTTGAGTCAGTTGGAGGTGTACCTGTGGATGTATTTCAAGGCCTACCTTCAAACTCAGTGCCTCTTTGCTTGACATCATAGGAAAATCTAAATAAATCAGCCAAGACCTCAGAAAAAAATGTGTAGACCTCCACAAGTCTGGTTCATCCTTGGGAGCAATTTCCAAATGCCTGAAGGTACCACATTCATCTGTACAAACAATAGTACGCAAGTATAAACACCATGAGACCACGCAGCCGTCATACCGCTCAGGAAGGAGACGTGTTCTGTCTCCTAGAGATGAACGTACTTTGGTGCGAAAAGTGCAAATAAATCCCAGAACAACAGTAAAGGACCTTGTGAAGATGCTGGAGGAAACAGGTACAAAAGTATCTATATCCACAGTAAAACGAGTCCTATATCGACATAACCTGAAAGGCCACTCAGCAAGGAAGAAGCCACTGCTCCAAAACCGCCATAAAAAAGCCAGACTACGGTTTGCAACTGCACATGGGGACAAAGATAGTACTTTTTGGAGAAATGTCCTCTGGTCTGATGAAACAACAATAGAACTGTTTGGCCATGATGACCATCGTTATGTTTGGAGGAAAAAGGTGAGGCTTGCAAGCCGAAGAACACCATCCCTACCGTGAAGCACGGGGGTGGCAGCATCATGCTGTGGGTGTGCTTTGCTGGTGGGACTGGTGCACTTCACAAAATAGATGGCATCATGAGGAAGGAAAATTATGTGGATATATTGAAGCAACATCTCAAGACATCAGTCAGGAAGTTAAAGCTTGGTCACAAATGGGTCTTCCAAATGGACAATGACCCCAAGCATACTTCCAAAGTTGTGGCAAAATGGCTTAAGGACAACAAAGTCAAGGTATTGGAGTGGCCATCACAAAGCCCTGACCTCAATCCTATAGAACATTTGTGGGCAGAACTGAAAAAGCGTGTGCGAGCAAGGAGGCCTACAAACCTGACTCAGTTAAACCAGCTCTGTCAGGAGGAATGGTCCAAAATTCACCCAACTTATTGTGGGAAGCTTGTGGAAGCTACCCGAAACGTTTGACCCCAAGTTAAACAAAAAGGCAATGCTACCAAATACTAATTGAGTGTATGTAAACTTCTGACCCACTGGGAATGTGATGAAAGAAATAAAAGCTGAAATAAATCATTCTCTCTACTATTATTCTGACATTTCACCTTCTTAAAATAAAGTGGTGATCCTAACTGACCTAAGACAGGGAATGTTTACTAGGATTAAATGTCAGGAATTGTGAAAAACTGAGTTTAAATGTATTTGGCTAAGGTGTATGTAAACTTCCGACTTCAACTGTATACAAAAAAGTCAAGAGACTTGTTTCTATTGTGGTTCTCTATTATCTACTCAGAATCCTGTGCTGAGCAAGGAGAGTTTAGGTGTCACTGCATGTTGTGAGCCTAAATAGCAGCAGCTGACGGAGAGGCCTCCTTGGGTACGGTAGGTTACTAGACAACATTAACATTAACTTTATTAGCGCTGTTTTCAGAAATAGCCAGCCCTGTGATTCCACACACTCAATCAGACATCTGTAAGCCCCTGTGTGGATGTCACACGGTTTCAATAACTAGGAGCTCATCAACCACTTACTCTTGCCCTCTCCATTCCAACCTGTTTTGAAAGACAGCACTTGTGACTTTTAACAACTGTATACCAGAGCCACTAAACATTTATTGTAGCTTTGAGTTGATCCAGATGGCCAGATGGCTGTGTTCAGGTACCTTTGGGAACTTGGATATGACCCGGTCTCTGCTCACAGGTGGTGGGAAGTGCATCATCCCGTTCCTCATCTCCTGCATTATGGTAAGGCTGTGTGGTGGTCCACCTGTGAACGAGAATCGTGGCCATGACCAGTGCAATGTACTGATTAGCTATATTAATTCCCATGCCATAAGTGTGCAGATTCCCGTGAAGGGTGCACCCCCTTCTCTAAAACACACAAAAACACTGCAGTATGGTTATATACACATCAATATGCACATCAATAACCATACTGCAGTATTTTAGAGAAGGGGGTTCACATTCATTATTATGTAGGCAATGTAGGGCAGTGCACAAATTAGGCTACATCGGCCTAAGGTTTAAACTCCAGTGTCCATATAATTAGATAGGCTACAAAAAGCTCTGAAAATGACTCAACGATAACATTTCTCAGATTAACAAAAACAGTATGTTCAGCGACAGTGATAATAAAAAACACTATGAAGTGTGGAGAATCTAGATTTGTGTTGTGCAAGTACTGCGGTGGAAACTAGCTATGATCACTGTCTACTCTTACATATTATAGAACACAAAGTGACAACGCTACAATATAGCAAGTCGCAATGAAAGGTCAACATTTTGTCAATGAAAGTATCCGCAACATAGTACCGTGTACCTTGAAATGAAGAATGATGTGTAAACTACTCACGGATTCTTGTCAACTGTTCCGTTGTTGCTGCTAAAAAATCGTTCACTTCAATCTCGAGCTGCATGCATCAGGTCTAGCCCGCATCTCCATGACAACTACCTTTCCGTGCCCCACGGGGATATTTGTCATGTGATAAAAGCATGGCAGCAAGGCACAAACGCGTAAATTCAACGATTTTTTGGCTATTAAGATGTCACATATATCGAGTTGAATGTGGACATTCTAACAAACAACATGTTTTGGATGTTCCAGTAGCTAGAATCATGTACAATTCTAAATGACGTTAGGTCTATGCGGGTATTCTGTATCTGCTCCTGTGCATACAAGGGCCGTGTGCAACTATCTGCAGTCTATTCCATCTATTCGCATTTATGAGAAATCCTGGCAAGAACAGTAAAGAAACTGAAGTATGCGTTTGATTTTGTTGCTAGTATTATGCACTTTCTGTAGCAAGAATAGTGGTCCATCTCTTTCTTCCCCCTCTTCTCTCGTCAGTATTGTTGAACACACAAGCTCTCAAAAGGATACAGAGAAAAATGTAATTGATTGCCCTGGACCTCCAGGTGACTGCAGATTAAACTGTCTGTGTGATGGCAGTGAATAAGACCAATCATTAAAATGATCCATAGCTCTGAGAGGTTTAATTTCCCTCTCTCATTAAGAATTTATTTGCTATAGAGAGTCGCTCATCAGCTGGAAGTGTCTCAGTGGGGAGACATGTAGAGGCCACTCACTGCTAAGCACTGTTTCTGAGTGGGCACAGGTAGGCAATTATCTGGCTGGTGGTGGGTGGGCAATGTTACATACATTTATAAAATAATATCCCACCTCAGACAGGTGTCTTCTCAGTATGCTGTGATTCCTTCACTGCTGCAAGTTCCATTCTCACCAAGGTGAGGCAGCAGAGTTCTAGATACAGAGCCACCCATGTATACTGCTGGCTGTCATGCAAAACAGGTTTGATTTTACCCCACTTACTACTTACATTATCCTCCTATCTTATCATTATAAAGGATTGTCCAACTGTCAAGTAGGTTCCAGGCCTGGAGCCTTAACAGGATCTGTGCCAAAGTTTTGTCAGTGCCAACTATTGTCCTCTTTATGTCCACTAACCCAAATGCATGTGAGATAACAGCTCCTTCTCACCCAAGGTGGAAAACATCACTGATCAATAATGATGGACTGTAAGGCAGTGTATGAGGCCTAATTGCACCCCTCACCTCCCTAACATTAATGCTATCCTGTTGCAAAGCAATATGGGCCTATCAGTGACAGAGACAGGTGGCAGATTTTACATTTACATTTACATCATTTAGCAGGCACTCTTATCAAGAGCGACATACAAATTGGTGCATTCAACTTATGATAGCCAGTGGGACAACCACTTTTCTTCTTTTTTTTTTTTATGGGGGGGGGGGGGGGGGGGGGGGGGGGTTTTTTGTTTTGTTTTTTTTTTTTTTGTGTTTGTTTTTTGATTTTTTGTTGTTTGTTTTTTTTTTTTCTTTGTTTGTTTTTGCTTTTTTGTTTTCTTTTTTTTTTTGTTTTTTTTTTGTGTTTTGTTTGTTTTTGGTGTTTGTTGTTTGTTTTTATTTTTCGTTGTGTCTTTGTTGGTTTTCGATTTGTTTTCTTTTTTTTGGATTTTCGTATCTTTTTGATCTTTTGTTTGTTGTACAGATGTGATTTTTTTTTTTTTTTTGTGTTTTCATTTTTCTTTTGTTTGTTTTTTTTTTCTTTTCTTTTCTTTGTATTTTTGTTCGTTTTTGGTGTTTGTTGTGAATTTTGTTTTTGTGGTCTGGTGGGAGCATGGTCTTGTTCTGATGTTCAATGTGTTTTGTGAGTTTGGTTCTTGTTGTGTGGTGTGGGGGGTGGGGGGGGTTGTGGGGGGGGTTAAAGGATTACTTTATACTATTCCAGGTATTCCTTAAAGAGGTAGGGTTTCAAGTGTCTCCGGAAGGTGGTCAGTGACTCCGCTGTCCTGGCGTCGTGGGGGAGCTTATTCCACCATTGGGGTGCCAGAGCAGCGATAGGCACTTTAGTAGAGGACCATATCACACTGTCTGGAAGATGACTTTTTAATAGACATTCATATGTCCTCTCTGACTTTCAGAATAGAACTTGGGCCTGTTATTGTGTTTGTTTCATGAAAATGTTGTGCATGTTCAACCCTTCTGTTGGTAAAGGGCATTTTCAGTCATCTTCTATTACTACTGCACTTGAGAAAATTAACTGTGATCATTTGAGCTCAGAGTCTTTTGAGGTGTCTGTCATAAGCTGCAAATTGCTCAAAAATCTATAAATCCAGTTGTGATCCCATGGAGTTACAACAACAAGATACAAAGCAAATAGAGATAAAGCCATTTGCTTTACACTTGAGCACACAATGCATTTCAACACCAGTAGATGCCTTAACAGCATTTATGGTGGAAACACAGCATGCTCCAGAAACATTGCTCTATACTCTCAATGTTATAATTCCTAACAATTTGTGAGTGCATAACTTGTTTCCATGTATGGCTGCTCGCTTTGTTCCGCATTGTTTCCACTTTACCCACAAACAACATTGTGAACATTCACTCTATAGATGGTCAATCTGCTGTGGACACCACAGTGGTTCTTTCCTTTGCCATGGGATCTACTGTAAGACATATTTTGATTAAAATTATATTTCCTTGATGGATGGATGATTGAGAACATTGACGGTCCTGTCTGTTTGTTCTCCATACGCTTTCAATTATACACGCATAACCAGCTCTCCTCTCATCCAGTAACTCAAATGTTTTCTGTAGAGGAGAGTGGGGTAAATTGAGCCAAAGGGATAAGTTGAGCCACCCTTGTTTCCAGGAAACCATAACAAAAATTCATAATTTGACCAAATGTTTAGGAAGAAGTCATAATTTCATGGAGTCTGTGAAGGAAGAAACCACATGGAAAAAGTGGTAAGCAAGTTAGGTAATAAAACAAACAGATTTCCACCAAGTCAAATTATTTTATTGTGTTGGGGTCTGTTTAAGCTTCAATATGAGGTCCTGAACCTAGAATGGAAGTACATCCTTGTAGTTGTGTGGGCTAATATAGTCAAAATGTTTGCCTTGGTGTGGCCAAAGTTTGAGCCAATAGCAATTTGAGCAAATTGAAGTGTTTTCTTCCCAGGCATTATCGCTGGGATATGAGGTAACAGCAAGGCCTGGCCTATGTTAAAAGTGTAAACAAAAAAGTACAAAGTCTTTGTTAGGTGTTAAGCCTGTGTTAAATATGTTTAAAAATGCTTAAAAGACAAAACAGCAATTGTGATTGTGTTGAATTGTGTTTGGGAAATAAAGATAGACATGGTTTTAAAAAGGTAGTGGTAATATTTCATTCAGTACAGAAATGTGTAGGCAGCTTAACTTACCCCATACCCAAGGTAAGTTGTGCCAAGAGACCACTTTTTTTGGACAAGCTATGTTTTCAAAACTGTAATGTTTACATTAATTCATATTATTTTCAGGGTTCGATTTTAGTCATTTAGCAGACACTCTTATCCAGAGTGACTAACAGGAGCATTTGGGGTTAAGTGCCTTGCTCAAGGGCACATCAACAGATTTTAAACTAGTCGGCTTGGGGATTTGAACCAGCAACTTTTCATTTACTGGCCTAACGCACTTAACCACTAGGTTACCTGCTACCTTCGGAAAGTATTCAGACCCCTTGACTTTCTCCACATTTTGCTAGGTTACAGCCTTATTCTAAAATAGATTAAATTGTTTTTTCCCCTCATAAATCTACACACAATACCACATAATGACAAAGCAAAAACAGGTTTGTAGACATTTTTGCTAATTTATTAAAAATAAAGAACTGAAATATCACATTTACATAAGTATTCAGACCCTTTACTCAGTACTTTGTTGAAGAACCTTTGGCAGTTATTACAGCCTTGAGTCGTCTTGGGTATGATGCTACAGGCTTGGCACACCTGTATTTGGGGAGTTTTTCCCATTCTTCTCTGCAGATCCTCTCAAACTCTGTCAGGTTGGATGGGGAGCGTTGCTGCACAGCTATTTTCAGGTCTCTCCAGAGATTTTAAATCAGGTTCAAGTCCAGGCTCTGGCTGGGCCAATCAAGGACATTTAAAGACTTGTCCTGAAGCCACTCCTGCATTGTCTTGGCTGTATGTTTAGGGTTGTTGTCCTGTTGGAATGTCAACCTTCGCCCTCGTTCTGGAGCAGGTTTTCATCAAGGATCTCTCTGTACTTTGCTCCGTTTATCTTTCCCTCGATCCTGACTCATCTCCCAGTCACTGCCGCTGAAAAACATCCCCACAGCATGATGCTCCCACCACCATGCTTCACCGTAGGGATGGTGGCAGGTTTCCTCCAGACGTGACGCTTGGCATTAAGGCCAAAGAGTTCAATCTTGGTTTCATCAGACCAGATAATCTTGTTTCTCATGGTCTGAGAGTCTTTAGGTGCCTTTTGGCAAACTCCAAGCGGGCTGTCATGTGCCTTTTACTGAGGAGTGGCTTCCATCTGGCCACTCTTACCATAAAGGCCTGATTGGTGGAGTGCTGCAGAGATGGTTGTCCTTCTGAATGGTTCTCCCATCTCCACAGAGGAACTCTGGAGCTCTGTCAGAGTGACCATCAGGTTCTTGGTCACCTCCCTGACCAAGGCCCTTCTCCCCCGATTGCTCAGTTTGGCCGGGCAGCCAGCTCTAGGAAGAGTCTTGGTGGTTCCAAACTTCTTCCATTTAAGAATGATGGAGGCCACTGTGTTCTTGGGGACCTTCAATGCTGCAGAATTTTTTGCGTACCCTTTCCCAGATCTGTGCCTTGACATAATCCTGTCTTGGAGCTCTACAGACAATTCCTTCGACCTCATGGCTTGGTTTTTGCTCTGACATGCACTGTCAACTGTGGGACCTTATATAGACAGGTGCGTGCCTTTCCAAATCATGTCCAATCAATTGAATTTACCACAGGTGGACTCCAATCAAGTTGTGGAAACAGGATGCACCAGAGCTCAATTTCGAGTCTCATAGCAAAGGGTCTGAATACTTATGTAAATAAGGTATTTCAGTTTTTTATTTTTAATACATTTCCTAAAATGTCTAACAACCTGTTTTCACTTTTCATTATGGGGTATTGTGTGTAGATTGCTGAGGATTTGTATTTATTTAATCCATTTTAGAATAAGGCTGTAACGTACAAAATGCGGAAAAAGTCAAGGGGTCTGAATACTTTCCGAAGGCAGATATCTTTGTTAGAATGAATACTATATTTCCCTTGACAGTGTGATGCTGAATGTTAAAATGGCTCAATTTACCCCACTCTCGCCTAGTCTCTTATTCAGTCAGTATCACTCATGACAGTCACAGGGTATGGTTTCAGCAGGCCTCTGCTTTCTTTGCACTGGAATTCATTTATTTTTACAACTCAAACAAATGCCCACTATTACTATTACTCCATAACCATACTCACAAAATAGGAGTCTTGATGGAGACCCTCTCTCTCTCTTTCTCGCTCTCACTCTCTCTCTCTCTCTCGCTCTATATGAGGCTTTGATCTCAACAAGGTTAAAACTATATGCGGCTACATGGTCAGCAGGTCAGGGTTGAGATTAAGTAATCAGGCATGGCTCTGACAGCCACTGTCCGGTCCCCAGTCTGGAATGGTAGACTCTGGTCACCTGTTGAGGGTCAGACTGAGCATCCTCACCCTCAGAGCTGCATACCTCATCAGCACAATTTGAGATGTAGAAATTAGGGATGGATATATTCCGTGCTCCCACCCATCCAGGACATCTACTCAAAACGGTGCCTGAGGAAGGCACGCAGCATCATCAAAAACCCCACACACGAGCTGTTCACTCCCTTACCGTCGGGCAGATGGTATCGGAGAATGAGGTGTGATACCAACAGGCTCAGAGATAGTTTCTATCTACAAGCCATCAGACTGCTGAAGACTTGAGCTAGACTGACCACCTGCTCTGATTCTAAGCACCTTAGCACACATGCACTCACTCATGCACACACCTACACAGACATACACTAACACATATACATTCATGCTACACACACATCACAACTGCTGCTACCAGACTGTTATTATATTGATCAGTTTATATACTGGCCCCCATCCCCCCCTTCTCCAATACACGTGTAAATATTGGACTATGAATTATGCCTTCCTGTATTATACTTATGCAAAAATATTTATTATATTCTACTTAGCCATTTACTTTATGTTCGTATTCTTATCTTTTATTATTTCTTATTGTTGTTGCATTGTTCGAGAAGGAACCTGTAAGTGAGCATTTCATTGTACGATGTCTGCCATGCGTATCCTGTACATACAACTAATAAAAACACTTGAAACTTAATACATTATTGATTCAAATGCATTGCATTTTAACACATTTAATCCATCGTTATTTGATGAGCTGGAACATAAATTACTTTTCTTTTTCAGCAACATCAATCATTCCATGTGAGCTTACTTAATGAAGCAATAATGCATAGATTCTGCTGCTATACATTTTATGTAAAGGACGGTTTATACTTGGTCTAACGACATGTCTGTAGACAATTAGAATGCGACAAGTGTCGCTGGTCAAAACAACATTACATTTATACTCCGGTGGAATGTCTGTAGATTGTCGCTGCGACTGTCAGTTTATTTGTAGCACTGACATGAAAAAAGTTTAAAGGTTGCTTTACAGTCCGTCTATCGACATGTCTGTAGACAATTGTCGTAGCGACGTCATAAACATTATTTTGTCATCCGACACCAAACTTGTCATCGTTATGAAAAAGTATAAACACAAAACGACAGCCTCTGCATGACATCAGCGGACAGGTGCTCGAAATAGCATACTTTCTCTGTTTTAAAACCCATCCGTTTAAAATTTAATTCGGTAAATGGCAACCTAGCAGCAAGCCAGGCAACTAAAAGCAATTTTCTAAACAATGTTTTGGTTCATTGCTAGCTAGTTAGCTAGCTGGCTAGCCAGTTCAAATAATGACCAGAGGATAGCTGACAACGTCTTAATTTTAGCTACTTTTTATTATTTATTACATGAAAATAAACCCATAACAACATTATTATTTGCAAGGTAATGGCGAGCTTACAGAAAATCACTTACTGCCACAGCGTGACGAAATACAAGTAGCTCATTCTTTCTGAGAATTTTAGAACTCCTGCATCAACTTGTCACAGAGGATTTGGTCTGGTTGCTGTGGCAGTCCGGTAACCACAACAACGGACGTTGCGACAGTCGCAGAGACTTCAACATTTTTCATGTCTGTGAGATAAGGAAACTGACAGTTGCAGCGATGGTCTACAGACAGACATTCCACCGGAGTATAGATTAAATGTTGTTTTGACCAGCAACACTTGTCGCATTCTAATTGTCTACAGGCATGTCGTTAGACCAATTATAAACCGGCCTTTCATAACAACAATTACAAGTTTGATGTCGGACAACAATGGATTTTCATGATGTCACTACGACAATTGTCTACAGACATGTCGATTGACGGACTGTAAACCAGCCTTAAAAAGCAGGCGCTGTGGATGGCCAAACAATGACCTGTGGAACCATTAGCAGTAGGATCGGGGTCATACAGAGTTTGTGCTCTGAGTGGAATGTTTGGCTATCCCAACCACCTCTGCCACCCTGTAAAATCTCTGCTGCAACAATTTATCACATAAATCAATTTACCAGTAATTTAATTGCCTACTCTAATTGTGTGTTAATTATTTGTCCCTCCCTGGTAGTGTAGCATTGTGGCCCAGAGAAGGAACAGGCTCTTTTGATGGGGATTTTGAAGAGAAGAGCGAGAGATGGTCTAGGAACAGCATGTCCCACTCAACATTTTGAAAATATTTAATGGCGGGTGTGGTGTGAGATTAGAATTAAAGGCATAAGATACAGTAAAACATAATACCAGCGCTTCATCAGCAGTGTGTGGAACCTGTTCTCATAAAGATCTGAAACATAGTAGTGTGTACTGTATTTCCCTGTATACTCCCACCCTACCCATGACCACCATCCAAAAACACATTCTCTGCACAACCAGAATCTGCATAATTAATTTGATGTATTATTATTTTTCTTTTTATTGTTCTGCTAAATGGGTTGTTTTTTGTTGAAGTGAACATCCTGTAAAGTCAAGCCTGAAGCCCTTAGCTGAGTTGTTTGCACTTCATCCTCTTCGTTGAAAAGGTGAGGGTTGGAGGAGAGAAGTAGAGCAAAGCTTTCCTCTCTCTCTCTCTCTCTCTCTCTCTCTCTCTCTCTCCTCTCTCTCTCTCTCTCTCTCTCTCTCTCTCTCTCTCTCTCTCTCTCTCTCTCTCCTCTCTCTCTCTCTCTCTCTCTCTCTCTCTCTCTCTCTCTCTCTCTCTCTCTCTCTCTCTCTCTCTCTCTCTCTCTCTCTCTCTCTCTCTCTCTCTCACTTACAGTATTCCAACTCAACCTTTTATTTATCGTTTTAACAGAGTGAACCTTACAGTATATTTACACATCATACCCACTATAACAATTTCCATGTAGCCAGCGCAAGGAGGATTAAACTGAAGCGTTTGTTTTTTCGCATTCATATTTTTTCAGTCTTCAAACTTTTTTCCCTTTAATCCTCCCCCGACCCACTCTATCATCTCATGCTGGGTTTGTAATGAGCTTGTCATTGGCGTCATCATCGTCACCATCTTCATCATCAACATTGTCATCATCATCATAATCTCAATTTATAGAACTCTTTTCAAAACTTCCTCTTAGACAACAGCTGTACAATCGTACACAGTGTTTGACTTTTATATATATTTTGGGGAATATATTAGTTAAGCCTAAAATAACAGAAAACAAATCCAAAATAACAAATTATCAATATCCCAAAGTAACAGAATCATGCATGTTTTAATGTTTCTGTCAATAAAACTGAAAAGGTAACATTATTGATGGGATCTATTTTTATTTACACTAAAATTGGCACTGTTTTTTATGTCTTTGTTGCTGGAAACTGGAATGATCTTAGAGAACACCATCCACTCTATGGAGTGTAACACTCAACTGGTATGTCAGAGACTTGCTCTAAAGGGCAGGTTTGACAAACCTAATCTTTTTTTAAACAAAAAACAAAACAAAATGTAGAGGGACAAACAGATAACCTTAAAGAGCCATTTAGCCCTCAAGAAAAGAGATACAGTGTGTGTAGAAAATACTCTTTACTTTAGCTTTCGACTGTGGCAGTTTTCTCCTTTGGATGGAAACCCTGCGACATAAGTAATGTCCTCCAACCATCTTCCCAGGACACCTGTGACTCATCATCTCCCTATAACTTGCCTGGTAAAAATTATTCTCTTAAAGCAGCATTAATTGACTGAGGCAAATCAAACAACCTAAAATGACAAACATAACTCTGAAACTGCCAGTAAAGAACTCCTGCTCAATACCAGGTTTGACAGGCAGAGGGTAGATGTAGCTGTCTTCAGTTTCCATTGTTTCCACACCAAACAAGTGCTTGACAGTTGATCCCAAGTCCTTGTGTGTGAGCAAACATAAGGATGTGTGTGTACATGTGTTTTTGTGTGTCTCTACATACTCATATATTCAGTGCAAACACATTTATGCTGACCTTGGGTAAATCCCATCTCGACCTTTGACCCTCAACTCTAATATTTCAAGCAGATCAGTTGATCCTATAGCCGTCCCTGACTATCCCAACCCCCTCGCTCCACCTTGCAGGTTCTCGCTTTCCTTCACTTCCTCAAAGAGACTGACAGACAGGCTTTGTGTGTAACGGGCCTGGTAGCGAATGGGTCTGCTGCTGCCATGCAGCCCTCTCTCCCCTCCCCACCCTATCCCCAGTCCTAGCACAGCCCAATGTACTTGAGATTGTTCTGGATGATCACGTCCGTGACGGCGTCGAACACAAACTGGATGTTGCTGGTGTCTGTGGCGCAGGTGAAGTGCGAGTAGATCTCCTTGGTCTCCTTGTTGCGGTTGAGGTCCTCGAACTGCCGCTGCACATAGACCGCCGCCTCTTCATAGGTGTTCTGACCTCTGTAGTCGGCGAAGCACACGGTCAGAGGGATGCGCTTGATCTTCTCGGCCAACAGGTCCTTCTTGTTGAGGAAGAGGATGAGTGAGGTGTTGGTGAACCAGTTGTTGTTGCAGATGGAGTCAAACAGACGCAGGCTCTCTGCCATACGACTCTGTAGAGAGGAGGGATGGAAAGGGAGAGAGAAGAGGCAATAATGAGAAAATTGTTGTTCCCTGATGTAAGACACAGCCTATTGATATATAAAAGAAAGAGGCTGACGTTGGGCTAAAGCTGAACAAACAATGAACCAGCAATCTCACAGGATCCTTTCAACGCTATCTCATAGATGGTGTTAAATTAGTCAATTTTTGATTGTGAATATGATTTGCTTTAACTGCTAAATCTTCCAAAAAAGAAAATAATATGTTTCCAAAAACTAATTGAAAATGAGAACAGGATTTGACCCTGTAGTGTAGATTAAAATTATTTGTGGCAGTTGTTCAGATCTCCACTGGAGCAGCCAAAGGTGTGGTTTATATGTTGTGTAAACATGGACTGGAGACTAGGTCAAAGACATGCACTTGAACTCTCATCCCGCAGGAAAACTGAGCAAGTCTTCTCTCTCTCACTTCAAGCTTAGCATGAGTAGAGAACTGTTACTGCCCACATGATAAGCACTAAATGAGTTACTGGAACTATGCACAGTTAAAAAAAACATAAAAGTCAGATGAATATGAAATGTATCACAAATCAAATGTACAGACAGCCTTGCCCTCTCTGACGTAAGACAAATGGGTCAAATGAGTATGAAAGGTATTACGTTTCAGGGAATTTCCACGGTATGTTACACTGAACATAACCATGAACAGGAACAATTGTCAGTGTGGACAGATGGACTAAGCGACAAAATAGACTTGATAGGTTGAGTACATCTCTTAAGCCCATCTCTTAAGCTCAGTGATGACATATTTATTCTACCTTTGAGCTTTAGCAATGGGAGTAAAAGCATAGCCTGCCTGACATTGGCTTTGCCCAAAACACAACTTCACTGTTTTCTTTCTATGATTGCAAGATTGTGTTTTTAGAGGCATATTAAATTACGCAATATACAATCTTGTGGTTCTTAGTTTTTTGCCACCAGACCAAGACCCAATTGTTTGTGCTGCCTCGGAGATGTCAGCTGTGTATTATCCAAACCCCAAGGATACATTTTATTTTCCTTCTAAGATGTTTTCCAAATTCATGAATGGGAGCCAGTTCTGTTAGCAGAACTCTGAAAAATGTTTAGCCATGGGGGCCACAGTCATAACTGTCAAGATCACATGCTCCCAAAAATGCAATTTTTTGTGAATGTTTGTGTTTCAAACCTCTAAAACACATGAAATGCAAAATGCAAAATGCAAAACCAAAGATGACTGTAGCCCTTTACACCTGTACCCATATACGCGTATATTTGGGCACTGATAAGCACCTAAATTGGAATGCAGTGGCTGTACAGTAAAATGCTATAAATTACGTCAGAGCTCAGTAGGATTTTGACTGACAGCCATTCTGAACTTGAGCACCGCACGAGACAAGAAGTTGCCCCCATCCCTCCCACTAATTGGGCAAAAAAAATTGTCGTCTGAGTGAGGGAAATGCTGTAAATTAATGAGTCGTTAAGGATGATAATAAATACTGCTTTGATGTCATACAACAGCCTGGTCTCATAGACTAGACATAACATAGTAAACAAAAATCCGGGACACGGAAATTAGTATGATATGTTATGTTTGGTATGGCTACATAAGACAGAATTTAACTTAAGGAAATCTCATTACGGACAACTTTAGCATTTTAGCTAATTTGCAACCTTACAACTACTTACTACTTTTTAGCTACCTTCAACTACTTAGCATGTTAGCTAACCCTTCCCTTTAACCTAACTCCTAACCTTAACCCTAACCTTACCCCCAATCCTAACCCCTAGCCTAGCTAACATTAGCGTTAGCCACCTAGCTAATGTTAGTGTTTGCCAGCTAGCTAACTTTAGCCACAATAAATTGGAATTCGTAGCATATCATTTGCGGATTGCAAATTCGTAACATACTGTACGAATTGCAATTCGTAACATATAATTGGAATTGGAATTCATAACATACTGTATCATACGAATTGTAATTCGTAACATATCATACCAAATGGATGATGGACGTCCACAAATTAATACATACCATACCAAACGTAACATATCATACTAATTGGAGTGTCCCGGATTTTTGTTTACTATGTTAGGTCTACCCCTGAGTCCAGATCGCTGTCATACAAGCAAGCCAAGCACCCATGAGTCCAAATGTGCACTTGACATTTCCATATTATAAAACTCATGTCATATACAGTGTCAATGTTTATGATCACTATGTTTGATGTACAGTTACAAGATGACATGGTGTCATACCCTGGGTTGTTCTGAACAGAATGAGCCTGTTTGTCTGTTGTGAAGAATATTTGTCTCAGAACACACACCTGAATGCACTCATGACTCCTTTCTATGCACATCACAATTACGTTCTGTTTCTCTGAATTGCCTTGTGAAAGCCTAACACTGTACGATCTTATTTTATAACTTAGCTAGTCATGTTGGCAATAGAACAAGCTTTCAAATTATGCCCACCTGACCCAGATTGCTAATTAATATTGGGCTGTTTTTTTTAAATACATTTTTTCACCTTTATTTAACTAGGCAAGTCAGTTAAGAACAAATTCTTATTTACAATGACGGCCTATACTGGCCAAACCCGGAAGATGCTTGGCCAATTGTGCGCCGCCCTAAGGGACTCCCAATCACGGCCTGTTGTGATACAGTGACGCCTCAAGCACTGAGATGCAGTGCCTTAGACCACTGCGCCACAATAGTAATTGTGTGATGGTGGGGATACAGGGTTGTGTTCCAAACAAAACAACTACAAGTGTGCTTGCTCTAGTTCCTCAACGGCACAGTTAGGAGAGCTCAAAAAGCACCTTATAGTTGAGGACTCTTCTTTGAGTCATAAAAGTGCATTGAAATTATTTAGGAACAGTGCACACTTTGGAGAGGTGTGGCCACTTGGAGACACCAGTTAGTCCTCTCACTCAAACCCTTGCAATTGTTTTCCTTATGTTGCACCTACCCCATATTTTCCAGGAATAGTCTTATCATGTTACTGAATGCATCCAGAGTATTTTCAGATTTTGTTATCAACAAATGTGTCGAAAAGTACACTAAATGTAAAAATGCACATAAAATCAATAGTGTAATGTTTGGATTCAATCTTGTGTCAGGTGAACTGTTGTGTCCTCAACTTTGGTCTAATAATTTCCCCATAATATCCAAACTGTTCCCTTTCCATTTCTACCATATGCTTTTCATATTTCTTCTGTAAGAAACATTTCAATTTAGCCCTATCCATATTGACCAATTCCCACGCGTGTAAAGAGTTAACAGCTCCCTAAATCACTGACATACTGAAATATATATTCACATATTACTGGGGAGAGGAGTTGTTATATATCAAAGAAGAACAAGGAAACAGTTGTTGGTCATGCAGTGAATCATAGTTTGAGCACAAGGGAGTGCTGGGTAGTTGGTGAAGCCAAAAGTGAAAAGATGAACAGTCTGACTGACATCAGTACAGATGCAGCAAGTAGAGCTATGTCATGCATTATGTATTCCCAATATGCACAATATCTATGGGATTAAGAAAAACCTGTGGCCTGATAGATTTCATATTCCATTAAAAGCCCCCGGTACTAACATTATTTACACTAGACATACTGCAAGAATGTGCCTTTGTGTGTAAAGGAATGTGTGTGTATGTGTGTGTGTGTGTGTGTGTGTGTGTGTGTGTGTGTGTTTGTGAGAGAGAGAGAGAGAGAGAGAGAGAGAGAGAGTGAGAGAGAGAGAGAGAGAGAGATAAATGGGAAGCTGCAGGCATGTGGTGTGTATCCAGTAGCTTGTGACTGAGTGAGGAGTTCAGTTTGAAGACTGGGCTGCTGTTTAAAAGGTTACACCAAACATAATGGTGCTCTGAGCAAATCACAAGATATGCTCAGAGAGAGAGAGAGAGAGAGAGATGGATAGAAGGATAGAGAGCGATTACAATTAAAGATAGCTTAACAACAAGAGGGTTGTAACGTATAAAATCTCTGTTGTCTCATTTACTTGAACTATAAACCATCCACACTTATATGTAGTGGCGTACAATGTGTAGTGTTTTGCAATGTTGAACAAGGGACTAGGCAAGTGAACTCATTTGTATACTGTAAGTTCTATGAACCAATCATCTGAATATACAGACTTGTTATGGATCCGGTGCAGTGGCGCGAGACGCAGGCTATTTTCTCTGGCATAAGTAGGCATCCTTAGGGACTGAGCTCAGGACCCTAAGGAGTGTACACTAAATAAGGTCAGAGCCAGAGGCTCCCCCCTCCATGTGTTCTCAGTGTGTCTACAGCAGAACCCTGCTGCGTGGAGAGGAAGGCAGCAGCCCACCCACTGTGCTTTGGGACTCTCTATCCTCTTTACCTGCTCACTCCATCATTGTTAGAGTTACAGCTTCACTGAGGGGGAGAGAGGAGGGAAGAGGGTAAAGGAGAGTGGATACTAAGGTAGCAGCACACAGCTGCCCCTCCCCTAGAGCCTACACACACCCTCACCCTCCCTCCCCATGGCCTGTCGGCAGCGCCCCCTCTCCCTGAGCACTCTAGACACACAAGCCTTAATTAAGATTAAGTATTAATGAGGAGGTTCAATCCCATGTTAATGCTTTGTTTCCAGTAAATATCAATCATTGGAGTGAGTGAGGAGCCACCCCTACATAATTCAATTAAAGTCATTAAGGTTAGATTCGAATGGCACTACCTTATATACTGAACAAAAATATAAACGCAACATGCAACATTTTCAACGAGTTTGCTGAGTTACAGTTCATATAAGGAAATCAGTCAACTGAAATAAATTCATTAGGCCCTAATCTATGGATTTCACATGACTGGGCAGGGACACAGCCATGAGTGGGCCTGGGGAGCCAGGACCACCCACTGGGGAACCAGGCCCAGCCAATCAGAGAGTTTTTCGCCACCAAAGGGCTTTATTAGACAGAAATATTCCTCAGTTTCATCAGCTGTCCGGGTGGCTGGTCTCAGACGATCCCTGGGCTGGCGTGGTTACACGTGATCTGCGGTTGTGAGGCCGGTTGGATGTACTGCCAAATTCTCTAAAACAACGTTGGAGGCGGCTTATGGTAGAGAAATGAACATTCAATTATCTGACAATAGCTCTGGTGGACATTCTTGCAGTCAGCATGCCAATTGCACACTCCCTCAAAACTTGAGACATCTGTGGCATTGTGTTGTGTGACAAAAACTGCACATTTTAGAGTGGCCTTTTATTGTCCCCAGCACAAGGTGCACCTGTGTAATGATCATGCTGTTTAATCAACTTGTTGATATGCCTGTCAGGTGGATGGATTATCTTGGCAAAGGAGAAATGCTCACTAACGGGGATGTAAACAAATGTGTGCACAAAATTTGAGAAAAATAAGCTTTATGTGCGTATGGAACATTTCTGGGATCTTTATTTCAGCTCATGGAACATGGGACCAACACTTTACATGTTGCGTTTATATTTTTGTTCAGTGTATATCCACTGTACATTAAGACATGGGACACAAATAATACAATTGCTTCAAGAATATCATGCACAACGTTTTCCATTAATTATGTTTCATTATAATTGCCAGAGCCTCAAAGAAAGGGCTCTGTATACACACTACACTATTATTAATTAAGGTAGTTTATCCCTCACTCTCTCTGTTTTGTAATGCCACCTGAATATTTTGAGCTAGCATTACCTCACATATTTTCACCCAATGCTCTGTAGCTGTCTTTACTCCACCCCATCCCTCTCTCTTCTCTCCTTGGCTGTACACTGTGCTGCTGCTCACTGCAGCCTCATTCAATCAACAGCTCTTGGCTCTGCAAGATTCAATTAAATGTGCAGCCTATAAACAACATTTAATTCCAGGATCAATTCAATTCAAGAAGCTTCCATGATTAATTTGAGTGTATTCAACATTTTACGGTCATTGATTTCCCCAATACACCCCCATACCATAACAATTGTGATTTACAATGTATACGTTCCTCAAGGACCCTAAAGTCTAAAGCGTATATCATAGTCCAAAACGTGTATGCTTACTCACAGCAGTGTTTTAGAATTTTGCACTGTTGGCTTTCAAACTTTTCGAATTCTCTGCGCAGCTCAAGCAATTTCTCCAACTGTCAACACATTTAAATGAATAGAGGACGTGTACCAGAGCCACGTTGGTTGTTGGGAGGTGCACATTTGATGGTGGACGCGTTGCTATGTCACAATGAGACGCCTGACTATCGCATGTCTGTGGACTATGATTTATGCTTTACTCTCATGACAGCCTGGTCTCATAGACTAGATGTAACATAGCAAACGTAAATTCGGCACACCCAAATTAGTATGATGTGTTATGTTTGGTATGGTTACATAAGACATATGGTTACTTAAGGCAGTGGTCTGATGGGTGATCGTATAACGCGACTGTCTAGCAACCCAAATGTTGCGAGTTCGAATCTCATCACGGACAACTTTAGCATTGGCAACTTTTCAACTACTTACTACTTTTTTGCTACTTTTCAACCACTTAACATGTTAGCTAACCTTTCCCTAACCCTAACCTTAACCCTTTAACCTAACTCTTAAACTTAACCCTAACCCCTTACCCCTAACATCTAGCTAGAATTCATAATAATATGCCATTTAGCAGACGCTTTTATCAAAAGCGACTTACAGTCATGTGTGCATACATTTTTACGTATGGGTGGTCCCGGGGATCGAACCCACTACCCTGGCGTTACAAGCGCCATGCTCTACCAATTGAGCTACAGAGGACCACATAACATACACTACATGACCAAAAGTAGTGCTTGTCGAACATCTCATTCTGAAATGATGGGCATTAATATGGAGTTGGTCCCCCCTTTGCTGCCATAACAGCCTCCACTCTTCTGGGAAGGCTTTCCACTAGATGTTGGAACATTGCTGCGGGGGCTTCCATTCAGCCACAAGAGCATTAATGAGGTTGGGCACTGATGTTGGGCGATTAGGCCTGGCTCACAGTCGGCTTTCCGATTCATCCCAAAGGTGTTCGATGGGGTTGAGGTCAGGGCTCTGTGCAGGCTAGTCAAGTTCTTCCACACTGATCTCGACAAACCATTTCTGTATGGACCTCCCTTTGTACAAGGGGGCATTGTCATGCTGAAACAGGAAAGGGCCTTCCCCAAACTGTTGCCACAAAGTTAGAAGCACTGAATCGTTTAGAATGTCATTTACATTTTAGTCATTTAGCAGACGCTCTTATCCGACTTACAGTTAGTGAGTGCATACATTTTCATACTGGCCCCCCGTGGGAAACGAACCCACAACCCTGGCGTTGCAAGCACCATGCTCTACCAACTGAGCTACAGGGGACTACTGTAGCGTTTAGATTTCCCTACACTATAACTAATGGGCCTAGCCCGAACCATGAAAAACAGCCCCAGACCAATATTCCTCCTCCACCAAACTTTACAGTTGGCACTATGCATTGGGGCAGGTAGCGTTCTCCTGGCATCTGCCAAACCCAGATTTGTCCGTCGGACTGCCAGATGGTGAAGCGTGATTCATCACTCCAGAGAACGAATTTCCACTGCTCCAGAGTTCAATGACGGTGTGCTATACACCACTCCTGCCGACGCTTGGCATTGCGCATGGTGATCTTAGACTTGTGTGCGGCTGCTCGGCCATGGAAACCCATTTCATGAAGCTCACGACGAACAGTTCTTGTACTGAAGTTGCTTCCAGAGGCAGTTTGGAACTCAGTAGTGAGTGTTGCAACCGAGGACAGACGATTTTTACGCGCTACAGAACCCGGCGGTGTTGCCTACCAATTCGCGGCTGAGCCATTGTTGCTCCTAGACGTTTCCAATTCACAATAACAGCACTTACAGTTGACTGGGGCAGCTCTAGCAGGGCAGAAATTTGACACACTGACTTGTTGGAAAGGTGGCATCCTATGACGGTGCCACGTTGAATGTCACTGAGCTCTTCAGTACGGGCCATTCTACTGCCAATGTTTGTCTATGGAAATTGCAAAGCTGTGTGCTCGATTTTATACACCTGTCAGCAACAGGTGTGGCTGAAATAGCTGAATCCACTAATTTGAAGTGGTGTCTACAATCCTTTGGCCATGTAGTGTATATTGTTCTTACTATAAAATCATATAAAATAAAATAATGGCACGGGACTTATAAGCATATTTTGTCAGCTAAATGAACAAGCCTATGGCATGGTGCATAGCCAGATAACATACAGTAGATCAACTCATATTCTGTTCTTCGAAAATACATTTTCTTCATATCATACTGTTTCTTTAGACTTGCCTAAAATAAATAATGGATTTATTGTGATGGTGTATATTACATTGATTTATTAGACTTTTTTAAATGTAGATGTTCCAAAGGCGTGGAGGCCTGGAGATGCTAAACGTGTTTATGTTAATTAACCGTAAATTACTGTGGCAGTCTTTTGCATGACAATAACCGTCTGACAAAATGTAATGACCGCCACAGCCCAAGTGATGGACATCCCCAAATTAATAAATACCATACGAAACGTAACATATCATACTAAATGGAGTGTCCTGGATTTACATACAGAATAATACGAAATGCTCTGAGAGCAGGTTGCTCATGACTACTACTGGTTGCTATACACCACTATAATTTACAGCCAGAGGGCTACAACACAGTGCACTTCACTGTGTGTTGGTTTACATGCATGTTTGGGAAAAGACAACAAAAATGGCTTAGCAGAAAGGCTCTACTTGGATTATGAGAGGCAAGGACTAACTGAGTTTGAGATCTTAAATTCTGTTTAAACACCTCATAGTTGGTGAGTGTTTCAGTAGCTAACCCAATAATGGTCCTACTCTGTCATCCTATCTGCTGTGAAACACAGTTTCCAATTATACACAATTCCCCATTCATTAAAATGAAATTGTATTAGATTAACTCGTTAAATTATGACTTTCATATTAACAGCGTGAGAAAGTATGCTTACGCTCCTTAGGAGATTTTAAACCTATTTAGAAGTGTAGATGTGTGGTCCTATTCTGGATCCTCTGGAGTCACTGGACACTTTAATTTAACATCTCTACTATGTCTATGGGGCTTAGAGTGCAATCACATGTCACTGTAACAGCTCTGTGAAATGTCTGTCCACTGTACACCACTACAACCAGAAAGCCCTTGTACTTTGTTTTTTCACCTCACATACACACAGTATGCAACCCAGTTGTTCAGCCCTCCCTACCGCATACAAACATTTATTAATTTACAGTACACACACGCATGCAGGCAGAACACACACACGTGGATGCACGCATACACACACTCTCCCTAAATCACAGCTCACTGTCAACAGCCCAAGATTATTAGGAGCATTCGACTGGTCTGTTACTAGGCAACTGAAGGCATGGCAACCAATTCATTATGAAGACAGGGATGGGACAGGAAAAATGCATCAGGGAGTGGGTGGGTGGGGAAAGAATTGTAAGACTTTTTCCTCACAAAGACAGACATCCTCTCTAAAAACCCTGTGTAGCGTGCCCTACCAGTGATCCAGTACTACACTACATGTGATGGAGTAAGAGAGAGACGAGTTCTAATTCCTAATTCTATGGTTACAGTACTCATGATTCTGCCCATTCATTTCCTGCTGGTTTCTCAGGTGGTGATGAGCTCCAAATCAAAATCAAATCAAATTTTATTGGTCACATGCGCCAAATACAACAGGTGCAGACATTACAGTGAAATGCTTACTTACAGCCCTTAACCAACAGTGCATTTATTTTAAACAAAAAAAGTAAAAATAAAACAACAACAAAAAAAAGTGTTGAGAAAAAAAAGAGCAGAAGTAAAATAAAGTGACAGTAGGGAGGCTATATATACAGGGGGGTACCGTTGCAGAGTCAATGTGCGGGGGCACCGGCTAGTTGAGGTAGTTGAGGTAATATGTACATGTGGGTAGAGTTAAAGTGACTATGCATAAATACTTAACAGAGTAGCAGCAGCATAAAAAGGATGGGGTGGGGGGGCAGTGCAAATAGTCCGGGTAGCCATGATTAGCTGTTCAGGAGTCTTATGGCTTGGGGGTAGAAGCTGTTGAGAAGTCTTTTGGACCTAGACTTGGCACTCCGGTACCGCTTGCCGTGCGGTAGCAGAGAGAACAGTCTATGACTAGGGTGGCTGGAGTCTTTGACAATTTTGAGGGCCTTCCTCTGACACCGCCTGGTATAGAGGTCCTGGATGGCAGGAAGCTTTGCCCCAGTGATGTACTGGGCCGTACGCACTACCCTCTGTAGTGCCTTTCGGTCGGAGGCCAAGCAGTTGCCATACCAGGCGGTGATGCAACCAGTCAGGATGCTCTCGATGGTGCAGCTGTAGAATTTTTTGAGGATCTGAGGACCCATGCCAAATCTTTTCAGTCTCATAATTTGAGGTCATCATGTGTTCCCCTAGCCTCCTGTATCCAAACTGTTTCCCAAATAACCTCTGGACCTGTCCTGTCCAATCCCTGCAGATAAAATCTCAAGGCAGACACACACCATGCCCACTCTCTCTCCTCTCCCCTAGAGCAAGCACTGCCCAAAATAACACATTCCAGCTCACAGAAACCAATAGTCCAAACCCTAACAATTATTAAGCTATGCTCTTGTTACATAATTTGGTTCATAATTTGGTCTGTCAATGGCTGAGACACATCACATGGGCTATCTAATCCAATCAGGTACTAGCGTGCCATGGCACAAAATAAAACAAATACTATTTTTACATTTAACATCAGACGATTGCACATGTTAAAACAGATGTGAAATATTGTAGTTGAAGGTCACCATTGCAACTGGGTCCATTTTGTTATAGAGCATGATTGAAGGATGACTGTCGTTAGTGAGTTATGGAGGTGATACTATAGTGCCATACGAGCGCCATTATTCAAGTAATTGTAGATCCAGAGCTTTTTCTCTGTGGAGAAACCTCACCACTCTTCTCCCAATTCTGCTACACGCTCTAGGTAGCTTTATCTTGCTAATTTGTGTCCCTCTCTTTCCCTATCTCTCACCTAACCAGACCTGGGTTCAAATACATGTGTATTTGATTATTTGTTATATAAAATAGCCTACTATTTGAAAGTATTTTCAAATACTATTTTCAAATGCCTGGGTTAAATGCATGGGAGTGTATTTGAGTCAGTGTATTTGAGTATTTTCAAATACATGCCAATACTTTCCAAGTACATTCCAATATTATGTCTTTTCAAATAAAAAATATCTGAATTAGTTTGAAATGTATGTGAAAGTAATTGAAATATTTGAAATTGTATTTGAACCCAGGTCTACACCTAACTGCACTCCACTATTCTTATCAGTCCCATTCCCACTCTTTTTGCCATGGACTTTCAACCACAACCTATCCCTTTTGATTAATAACAGTCCCAAAGAGGTCATACCTAAACCATCAAACATACACGTACACTGCCAAAAACAAATGGCATCAGTAAACTGCCTAGAGATAGTGTCAGGGCTTCAAGGGTCCCTTCTTGTCTCAGACAGTCCTTCAAAGATAGATTTCTGCACCGATACACACACATAAAAATAATACCTCAAATATACTCATGTCTAAGACTCAATCGTTCAGGCCCTCTCTGATCCATCCCCTTTCTGTTGCCATGCATGAGAGTAGAGAGAGCGAGAGGAGAGAGAGAGCTCCATTTTAGAGTGAGCTGCATTTGAGAGTGAGCGGCGTCAAGTTGAGTGCTCACCACAGCCCCATTCTCCATGTCTCCCTCCCTGCCTCCCTGTCTCTCTCTGATTCCCTCTCTGACTCCATGCCTCTCTGCTTGTCTCCCTGTCTTCAGACACATTCTCATATGGCTCCGAGGGTTTATGAGACACATTGAGACATAATGCTACATTGAGTCAGACACTAATATTGCTAGAGCTGTTTTCATCATTCCTAACATCATGCATCATAGTATGTCCTGAAGGCTTGAAATACACCAGAACTTAGTTTGCACCAGAACCAAATGTTTATTTGAACAGAATACTTCATAAGATGCTGATTGGAACACTAAGCCACTGTGTAGGCCTATCAACATTACATAGCATCTAATTAACAATGAAATAGTATTCATATTATTCATGCTCATCCCTCAAACCTTAAAACCTCATTGGGTTGAAAAAGTATCTTGCAGTAAAGGGGAAAGCTGTGTAAACTGTTCCAGCAGACATTTCACTGATAAGGGCCCAAATCAGCCGTGCCTGCCAACCACACCCAGAGTTCATAAACAATGTCCAGAAGGGTGGGGCCTCAGATTTCCTCCAAACAATCCCCTTTTTTCATTTTCTATTCCTCACTTCCTCTCCTTCTCTCTCTTCATTTCCCCACCTCTTAGTTAATTGTTCCTGGACCTGTGACATCCTACTGCTGAACAGTGCCATCGCAAGCTGCTAATTCTCACAGGTACACCCTCACACCTTACACTATGAACTCAATTAACGCCTAACTGCATTTTCCTCTCAAGAATGTATTTATAACTTGCTAAAACGGGTGGCCGGTAGCTTAGCGGTTAAGAGCGTTGGGCCAGTAACTGAAAGGTCGCTGGTTTGAATCCCCAAGCAGAGTGGGTAAGAAATATGCCCTTGATAAAGGCACTTTAGCCTAATTGAGCCTGTAAGTCACTCTGGATAAGATGACTAAAATGTAAACGTATTGATTTCATGTACTAACTCAGCGAGCGCCTAATACATCTTGTCTTATTTATGTTACACGTGAATTATCAGGCCACAGGAAGGTAGAGTATAGCTAAAAGTTACAAACAAGAATGTGATGCATTGTTGTTATCAACTTTCCCTTCATTTCTCTAACAGCTAAGACCCAACATTCTCTAGCTGACCCAACATGTGCTAACATGTTTTCCGAAAATATAGTGTAGGAGAATCTAGACTTCCTGTAGACCATGACGGAAGCATTTAGTATACTGTTTCATGAGAAGTAGATGCAGGAAATGCAGAAGGTTGTAAAGAGCGGTATAGAGTAGTGATGACGCAGCAGAGATAACATCAGGCTCGTGCTCTTGCATGTGTTATCTGCTCCTAATGCTTCTCACAACAGGTAGCCCTTTTCTTTGGTACAAATAAATAAAACAAAAAATACATAAATAAACTGTTAGCCCTCTATGTAGGAATACAGTCTTCCCTTTTCAGCTTTCATGGGGTAAAGCTATCATATCCACACAGAATGTCAGATATACAATATATTCCTCTTTGAAGGGTTAGTTAGGGTTTGTTACTTGATCATTTACTTGTTTCTAACTCCAACATTCTGAGGACACTCCAATTTTGAGTGATATGATGTCTATTAAATTCAGCAGAAATGAGAAGTGTGGCCCTAGATGTAATGCGCCCTGAGAAGTGTGAAAAGGAGAACACCACAGTGCCATAGCTAACAGCATGCCCCAAGAGTGTGGACAGGAACTGGATGGTTGTGTCATGGCTAATGTTGCATATGTTGCCCAATGGCTTCCCTTACCGTCTGGTTGTCCTCGTATAGCTTGAGGTCATAGCCGCTTAGCTCCACACAGAAAATGATGGCGGTCACACCCTCGAAGCAGTGGATCCACTTCTTCCTCTCCGAGCGCTGCCCCCCCACATCCACCATCTTGAAGGTGAGCTCCTTGAAGGTGAACTTGTTCTCCACAATGCCTGTGGTCATGTCACGGGAGCACAGGATGTCCTCCACGGTGGGGATGAACTCGTTGGAGGAGATGCGGTCCAGGTCGTTCAGATAGTAGGCAGTGTTATCCTCCAGGTGGTACTCGTTGGAGCGGCAGAAGCACTCCTGCACGCCTGAGTCGGCCCACAGGCGCTTCATGACCCCCTGCAGCTCCTCTGTGATCTCCCCTTTGCTCTCGGCCGGCCCGGTCAGAGCGAAGAGCTGCACGGCATCGTAGGCGCGGTCAGGGTTGTGGAAGTCGATCTTGAGCGTGGCGAGGGCGCGGATGATGCGTGTGAGCGAGTCGATGGCGTTGTAAAGGATGAGGGGCTTGTACTCCTTGCAGGCGTCCAGATTGAAGCCTCCACTGTGGATGATCTTCATCTGCTTGACGATGGTGCTCTTGCCAGAGTTGCTGGTGCCCAGCAGAAGGAGCTTGATCTCACGCCGCTGCCGCTGGCTCTCCGAGCGCAGGTGGCGGTCAATCCGCCGGGAGCGCCGCGCCGCCTCCTTCTCCTCCGAACTTTGCCGGCAACCCATGGTCGTCTGCCACGCGGTGAACACCGAGGAAAACGTGGTGATCACAGAGGAGAACGTGCCGGGTGGCAAAAGGGGCGTGTCTGGGGTCAAACCAAAATAATCTGAAAGATCAAAAGGAGCAGAGATAAGAGACTAGGCAAAGGAAGAGAGGGATGGATGTCAGAACAGGGATAGGATTACGTTTGAATCTTCAAAGCTGCAGGGGCTTGATGGGAAGAGAGAGAGACACCTTCCACTCAGAGCAAACAGAGAGAAACAAGAACCACAGAGCAGGAATGACTCAGGAATATTTCATTCTCCTCGTGGTCTAGAGGCTGTCCGTTGGTCCTCTGTGGGTTTATCCCAGGCTTTGGGACTGGCGTTAGCACAGAGCTCTACCAGGACATGGTGGGATGCCCACACAGAGCCTGGAGCTGGGGCTTGGGCTGGACAGCCTGATGCCAAGGGTGCTGGGGGTCATATCAAGGGTCACCCCCTGAGGAAGCTTACGGAGCAGGAATGGGGATGGAGGTGTTAGTGGAGACAGTGTTCGGGGATGATGTGTAGGTGCAGCAAATCCCCCTCGCTCTCCTCCCTCATGGCTCTCACGTCACCGCTCCCTATCTTTGTGACTGCAGTCATCCACGTCAGTCCTTCACGTGGTTTCTGCCTCCTCTCTGGGCTATGTTCTGCTCTGTTTCCTCCTCGTGGTGGTGCGTCTCAGGCAACTGAAGGCCCCCGTTTCTACCAACAAAAGAGGGAGAGGAGAGACATGATCAATGAGCACAGACATGATGAATCAGAGCATAGGAGCCCGAGAGGAGCCCGAGAAGTGGAGCTGAGCTGCTTCATTAATGTCTCAACACAAAACACACAAAATGCACTTACTAAAATATACACTCACACAAACATGTAGACCGTGACACACACAAAGGACACAAAAGATCATACCCCCAAAGCTGACAGTGTGTGTCCACTACAATGCATGTGGAACACACAGCACACGTTTTCTTGGTCAAAGTCCAGACCTGTATCTCAGATCCTCAGCTGTGTCGCCATACTGTCCCTCTCAGTGCTCACTTCCTCTTTCCTGTTTGTTTCTAACAGGCGTTTCTCCTGTCTATCTCCCTCTGCAGCCCTGTGTTACCATAGACCTAGTCAGAGCTGAGTCATACACAAGAAAACACACACACACATGCACACACAAACGCGCATCCACACACACACGCATCCACACACACAAAAACAAACACAAATGGTATCCGGGGTGTGAAACGGAAACAGATGCAAGATTAATGTCTCTACCCCTAGCCGCTCTCCCCTTCGCCCCTGGACTCTCCCGCTCTCCTGTCTACCTAAGGCTCTGGAAACTGATATCAGGTGTACTGTTTATTTACTATCACAGTGGAAAATAACTGCCTCAAGCCGACAGGTGCCTCTCACTCTTTCATTCCACTGCAAAGCCTGATCTCTGCCTCAACCTCCAATTTGTTATCCTGCAGGTGCATGGCTCATAACAACAGTCAGGAAGAAATCTCAGCTTTGGATATCAAGCCTACAACAGAAAACGAACAGATTGCCTTCAAAAATACTGTCTACAAAAATGCTGAAAACATTTGCACCATGTGGATTTTTATGGATGATTAACATTTTCTTAGATCATATAATTACAGTGTTAATCCACTGCACTTAATGTGTTGGAATACAGCACAGTCAGGTCCAGAATTATTGGCACCCTTGATAAAGATGAGCAAAAAATGCTGTATAAAATAAATAATACCAATACTGAGCTACACTGAGTGTACAAAACATTAGGAACATTAGCTATTTCCATGACATAGGCTGATAAGGTGAAAGCTATGATCCCTTATTGATGTCACCTGATAAATCCATTTCAATACGTGTATATGAAGGGAAGGAGACAGGTTAAATAAGGATTTTTAAGCAATTAGACAATTGAGACATGGATTGTGTATGTGTCCCATTCAGAGGGTGAATTGGCAAGACAAAAGATTTAAGTGCTTTTGAACGTGGTATGGTAGTAGGTGCCAGGCGCACCGGTTTGAGTGTGTCCAGAACTGCAATGCTGCTGGGTTTTTCACACTCAACAGTTTCCCGTGTGTATCAAGAATGGTCCACCACCCAAAGGATATCCAGCCAACTTGACACAACTGTGGGAAGCATTGGAGTCAACATGGGCCAGCATCCCTGTGGAACGCTTTCAACTCTTTGTAGAGTCCATGCCCCGCAAATCGAGGCTGCTCTGAGGGCAAAAGGGGGTGCAACTTAATATTAGGAAGGTGTGCCTAATGTTTTCTACAAAATCCTCCCCTTCATCTACACTGATTGAACTGACATCAATAAGGGATCATAGCTTTCACCCGGATTCACCTGGTCAGTCTAGGTCATGGAAAGGAGTTCCTTTCCTTTTTTGTATTATTTATTTTAGACAGTCTTTTTTGCTAATCATGACCAAGGGGGCCAATAATAAAGTATATTACAGTAAATGGGCTGCATTCAGAGCTTGGACATGTTAAGAGTGAACGCCCATGGGACTCTGTGATAAATAGATGCACATTGTGACAGGACAGACCGTATGCTATTGGTTGTGTAACAAATGTGAAATCACGCTGTGGCCTAATATTGTTGGCCAGACTACACTCCTCAGACCTGTCACAGAGAGAGAGAGAGAGAGAGAGAGAGAGAGGAGAGAGAGAGAGAGAGAAGAGAGAGAGAGAGAGAGAGAGAGAGAGAGAGAGAGACGAGAGAGAGAGAGAGAGAGAGAGAGAGAGAGAGAGAGAGAGAGAGAGAGACCGCATTCCTCAAAGTTAGTGAGGTCCACTCTTGGAAAGACTAGGAGGACTGTCTGACACAGCAGAAGCATTACCCAACACAAACAGGAAGGACAGTATTGTTCTTCTGCTTCAGGCACCTGATTGCCCAAGCTCTCAAAATGGCAAAGCCAGCCAAACCAGTTAGAAAGCTGCACATCACTGATTTTCAGAGGCCATAAAAGGAGTTATTACAACGAACGGTGCATTAGCTATTTTCAATGTGCAATTTCAGCGTTCTTCAGCATTGCCATACTGCCTCTGAGGTGATGCTTCTTTAGATCATTGTTGAGGAGGTGGTGGGATGTGTATTTCTTCATGATTACGGAACAATATCCCCACATTTAACACAGGCTCTTGTGAATGATATTACCCATGTCCCTCTCTGAATGTCGTACACTTAAGGGTGGGTTTATTTGTTCAGTTAGATTAGATAGATTGACGGTTTAGTTATTAGTTATATGGCGAACTAGCATGGTATTTGTCTTTTGGTGTTAACATTACAAGCATGTAAAGGCAAACATGCAACTGAGACAAATTATCAAAGCTGAAATAGACCAACGTGCAAATTATTTTGATCAGTTCATGTATCACTTTACTTCCTTTCTCTGTATTTTGGCTTGTTTCAGTTGTTCAGTTGACCTGTTTAATTCTACATGTAGGCCACTGACTTGATGGCATGGCAAGGTATGCATTATGTTAGTGTGAAAGCACAAACACCAGGGGCAAGATAAGGCACGAGGTCGGTCGGCAGGCCTTCCACTCTTTCTCGTAAGGGACGTGTTAAGTGAGAGAGGGCATATGGGGTTAGTATCACTTTACAAATATTATTTCAGTCAAGTACAATACCTTACCCTTTTGAGTCCATATGAAACCGTACTATTTGAAACTGTATAACTGGATGCACTTTAAACCCGATTACCCAGAGCACACATCACCAGTTCACTAAATCAAGGACAGTAGTTGTGATGTGGAGAATAATGGTGTTGTGTGACGTAGTGAGGATGTGTCCCTTTAAGAGTAAGAGAGAGGAGGGAGAGGAAGCGTTGAAGGGGCCGTGGAGAGAGGCCAGGCCAGACTCATGTTTAATGGTGAGCACTGAGGTAATGTGATAGTCAGGGTGAGACCAACTCTGTCACTATCTCGCCTTTCCTTCACTGCTCGTTGCACGCGACACAATTGCTTCCTCTCCCTGAGCTCACCTCATATTTCTAATTCGCCGTGCCGCAAACAATTACAATATCTAATCATTATTAGAAATGAGCACATGTACTGCAGTCACAGTCTGTCACGGTTGTGTAATGGGCAATTTCTGTCATGATAGTGGAAAGCACCAATTTGCCATCAGAAAGAAGGTCAATCGTATTAGATTGGGAGGTGATGTTAATCCTCAGAGGGTTGGGTAACAGAAGATTCCTGGTTAACGGGCATAATGCATGCACAGGACTCTATTACAGCCTTGTAGGCATGCATGAACAATTAGTTCCAATGTACATTATGTGCAAATTGTGTAAAACCCATACATGCATGACATTGCATCAGTATGTGTATTACATTTACATTTTAGTCATTTAGCAGACGCTCTTATCCAGAGCGACTTACAGTTAGTGAATGCATTTTTTTTTTTATACTGGTCCCCCGTGGGAATCGAACCCACAACCCTGGCGTTGCAAACGCCATGCTCTATCAACTGAGCTACATCCCTGCCGGCCATTCCCTCCCCTACCCTGGACGACGCTGGGCCAATTGTGCGCCGCCCATGAGTCTCCCGGTCGCGGCCGGCGGTAACAGAGCCTGGATTCGAACCAGGATCTCTAGTGGCACAGTTAGCACTGCGATGCAGTGCCTTAGACCACTGCGCCACTCAGGAGTACATGGAAATGGAAAATGTTATGAATGACATTCTTGAAGCAATTGTATTATTTGTGTCCCATGTCCTAATGTACAGTGGATACACACTGAACAAAAATATAAACACAACATGTAAAGTGTTGGTCCCATTATTCATGAGCTGAAATAAAAGATCCCAGAAGTTTTCCGTACGCACAAAAATATTATTTCTCTCAAATGTTGTGCACAAATTAGTTTACATCCCTGTTAGTGAGCATTTATCATTTGCCAAGATAATCCATTCACCTGACAAGTGTGGCATATCAAAAAGCTGATTAAACAGCATGATCATTACACAGGTGCTCCTTGTGCTGGGGACAATAAAAGGCCACTCTAAAATGTGCAGTTTTGTCACACAACACAATGCCACAGATGTCTCAAGTATTGAGGGAGTGTGCAATTGGCATGCTGACTGCAGGAATGTCCACCAAAGCTGTTGCCAGAGAATTGAATGTTCATTTCTCTACCATAAGCCGCCTCCAACGTTGTTATAGAGAATTTGGCAGTACGTCCAACCGGCCTCACAACCGCAGACCATGTGTATGGCTACGTGTGTGTGATCGGTTTGCTGATGTCAACGTTGTGAACAGAGTGCCCCATGGTGGCGGTGGGGTTATGGTATGGGCAGGCATAAGCTAAGGACAATGACCATAGCTGCATTTTAACAATGGCAATTTGAATGCACAGAAATACCATGACGAGATCCTGGGGCCCATTCTTTTTAAGGTATCTGTGACCAGCAGATGCATTACTGTATTCCCAGTCATGTGCAATCCATAGATTAGGACCTAATGAATTTATTTCAATTGACTGATTTCCTCATATGAACTGTAACTCAGTAAAATCTTTAAAATTGTTGCGTGTTGTGTTTATAATTTTGTTCAGTATATGACACCAGGACTATGCACACATCACCATTTTTTCTCACTCTTTTTCACATGTAGAATGATCTTTTCCTTACAATTAATTTAAAAAATAGGACTATGAAAGAGGTTGCAAAGGGATCACTTTGCTAGCGTCCCTTTATTCGATGGGCTGAGTTGAATTAAGTAGAATTAATCCAGAGGCACATACAGGTTGTAGAGTGAGATAATGAAAGCAAAGCCAGACAATTTAAGAATTGAGGAACAGGCAGGTGCTGTTTTTGTGCTAGTGTGCTGTTTAGTGATGATCGAGTTGCTAGACAGAGGAAAAATGTAAAAATGTAAATGAATGTTTTTCTCAGGTCATTATGTTTTCAAACGAAGGAGGTAGAGTGGAGCATGTGATGAGTATGGAAAAAGAAACAGTTGGGTTTTTTGTTAACTAACAATGGTTTAAAAATGAGGTGTACAGGTGTGTGTGTTCATGTTTCTGGGGAGACGGTTTTATATTTGAAGAGGGATCATGTTAGGTGTTCAAAGTAGAGCAAACATACTGTCCATTGTCCAAAGGTTTCTGACACAACAGCCAGCTTGACATAATCAAGTAGAAATACCGGTATACAGGAGTGTGATTTTCAAATTCAAAAATACACCTAAAGAGGTGTGTTGTTTTAGATATGATAAACTCTGTATACTAGTAGTTCTGAGAGCATGCAGCATGCAGTGGCTCCCTCAGGCCCAAGGTTACCAGGCCTACCTAGTATGCTACTGCTCCATCTCTCATGTCACTGAACAGGCCTGGCTCTGGCAATAAATAGATTATGTAAGTCCTGACAAAAAGCACAATGTCATCTCTGTCTTATTGATGAATACCGTTGTTACGTAAAGCATCTCACCAGCAGTTGTATTGTGCGATATGCCCCA